TGCACTGCTGAAAACCTTGTCTAGAAAGATCATTGCAGACCATAGCAAGCAGATGAAGTGATGGGTAGAGCATTATTAAGAACTGTACTTGTGGGTAAACATGGTCTCTGACACAGCAGTTGATAGCATCCAGACTCTGCCTGTCTTGAAAGAGCTGAATATCCCTCCGTCCCTTCCCCTGATAAACTGAAGGACACCATCAACTCCTAAGCAGGTGGTAAAGCACCAGGACAAGACGGAAGCCCAGCAGAAGTGCTGAAAGCTGACCTCAGTTCCTCCCTCATGATGCACCGCCACAGTCTTCCCTTCCAGATTTGGGGGGAAAGGATCCATGCCACAAGACATGTGCAACCCTAGCATTGTGACCCTCTGTAAGAACAAAGGTGATTGCCATGATTGTAATAACTACTGTGGGATCTCAAGACAAGGGATAGTGGGATGGAAAACCTCATAGACTTCATGGTAATCTAGGCTGGTTCAAGAAATGTCCAGTAATATTCATAGATTCTCTGGAGGAACTTGCTCAGACCTGGGTAAAAATATGCCCCATGTCTATGTGCTGAGCCACAGAGTGATATATGTTGCGTACTGAATTGTAAACATTTTGGCGTACCAACTCTGAAATGACAAAAATATATCCTGCAGCGCCACAGGATAGTAAATTACTCCTGGCCAATGGTGTTGAAATCCCTTGCAAGTGAACAGCTAACAGTAAACAAAGATTCAACAGACACACAGATGAGCACCTGCTCTGAACAATTCCATTATTAATGAGAAACTGGTTAGCCAGAAGGTGCTTCTAATGAAATTCAGATGGGAGGGGGACCACAGGAGCTGCCATCTACTGCTTTCCCACAGATCTTAGGTATCTCTCTCTCTCTCTTACAGTGGAGAATACTTGTCAGTGGGGTGCAGCAGGGTAAGATGTTGGAGAGACAAGTGCTAAGAATCCAATAGCCACAGGAAGCAGCTACTGGTCTGAAACTAATTTAAACAGAGGAGGGATGGGAAATGGCAATTTGCTGACCTCCCTCTCAAGGATTTCCGATTAATATCTCTATATCTAAGCTGAGGTGCTGAATATGAAGGCAGGGAACTCATCTACAAGGCAGCCCCATTTTAATCAAACCCCTGCTTTTTCAACAGAGTTGTGCAACATACATCACAAGCAGAGAACTGGTACAGTAAGCCTGCAACTTACACACATTCAGCTTTACGCGCTTGGCAAAATATATATATTTTAAATGGAAAGGGGGTGGAATCCAGAAAAAGGGACTTCGACAATCCTATCCACCATTGCACCCAATGTGTCCTGCTTCTACGCGATCTTGGCTTGAGGGTGCGATCCCTGGAACGTAACCCTTGCATAAGTTGCAGGTTTAGCCCCATGTTTCCACAGGGCATTTTTTCCATCACTGAGCTTTCCATTAAAGGTAGTTTTAAGATCTTATAGTGACTGTTTTAAAGAGACAGGGCCAGAATTGAAGAGAAAACAGAATTGGTTTGGTCTTAGACAACCTGGATCAGAGGATGTTCATACCATATTAGACCTGTTGAATGATGGGTGATGGAAGAGCAGAAGAGATGGCTCCAGGGGGTCACACAAATATCAAATGATAGTTCCCCAACACTGGAAATCCCATGACATATCTGGTATTGTGGACCTTGCAACTGGCAGCCCATAAGAAGATCCTATCCAGTAAAATGCAAAAGTAAGGAAGTTTTCATGCGATTTGGAATGGATTCCTAGAACTCTTTGCTGAGTAAGAAGTAGAGCCTATGGTATTAAAAAACGCATCACATAGAGTTCAACCTTTTCCGTATTGTATCATAATACCAACAGCAAAACCTAATAGGCAGCCGTGCTGGCTCTTCTTATGGAGGCCCCACTGTTTTTTGTCTGCTTGTAGCAAGACTTGTTCTTCTATATGTTTGGCAATTCTGTTCTTTAATAATACATTAAGCCTACCCATCAGTGAGCTTCAAGGCTGGGCAAGAATTGAACTTTAGACCTCAATACTAGCCATATACTCTTAACCATGGTATGACTTTTAGACTTCTCATAGGCACCTAGTTGGCCAATGTTGGGTGAGATGCTAGATACGGTGGGGCTTTTGGTTGGATGCAGCAGGTGAAGAATCCCAATTTGGAGTGGTTGGAAATCTGAAGGACTGCCTCTTCCCACATACTCTTCCCTGGACCATGAGGCTGGTTGGGAAGGCCCTTCTGGTGGGGTTCTCCTCAGCTGAGATCAGGAGATCTACAACTCAACAAAGGGCCTTCTTGGCAAGAGCACTCCTGTTGTGGAGCACTCTCCCCTCCCAGACTTATTTGGTTTCTACTTGGTCTATCTTCCAGCGCCAGCTGAAGACCTTCCTCTACTGCCAGGACTTTTGACTTGGGAACATTGAAATGTATTTTTACTTTTATTAGTTTCTGAATTTGAAAACTGTTGTGACTCGTCCCATTATCACTAGTGATCAGGGGCAGGACATACTTTTTATATATCTATAAAAAGAACATTTGCAATTATGCAATCACCCAATTAAAAATGCATTGCACCTCTTTATAACTGAACAATAGCAGTTAAAGGAAAGCAGTGGCCATGTTCAATCTGCCTGTATGGTAAAGCTTGAAAGCCTGCAGTCCCTTGCACTGCCTGTCCTTTGTCCACGGGAAGATATCTGATTTGGGGCACCTTACTGAGCATCAGGTAGAACAAGAAACATTTGTCATAGCAGAGATTGGCAGGAAAGGGCCTCAGAGTCTCATGCAGCACCCCAACGTGACCATAAGGCCCTGCCATTCACTCTGTGTCACAATTAATGAAAAACAATTAGACACTGTCAACCAGGGCTAAATCTTTCAGACACACAGCCGACCTCTGCCTGGGGTCACATCCAGTATTTCTTCCCCCCAAAAGACCCTCCATTCCCAATCACCACAGAGCTTTCCCAGTGGTTGGAGAATGACGTTGAGTCATATATTCCCTTCTGCTCAATGGATCTTAAACAATGGCTCAGTCCTTGCTTTGACTAAAGGGCTCAGAGCTTGGGCTGCAGAACTGTATGTCCCTGATGAGAAGGTATTTCTTCTTGAGGGCTCTTACAAAACTAAGGCCCTTTCGGGTGCCCAGAATTTTAGTCAATCAAAGCAGACTAATTAAGATGGGAAAGAATAAAATCTCCTCTCCTCCCTGCCAACATCCGGAGTGCTCGTTCCTTTGGCCAACACATTTATTCCGAGGGTCGTGACCTTTGGGGGGAGATCACAAATGGGCATTGGGAGGTTGTGACCCTTTCTAAGCAGAGAGTGAAGGAGTGAGCAGCTATCCCCATCTATTTCCTTTGGTGGTATGGGGTCGCAGGCTGGGAAGGGTCAAGCACTGTAGGATTAGTTCTTTCATCCAGGCCACCCATTAAAAATCCCAGATCATTAGCAACACATTAATGCTGTCTCAGAAAAAAAAAGGGTTGATCCCCCATTACCCAGTACTGCCTCTCAGCAGAGCAATGAAGCCAGTTGCTTCACAAATTCCCCGAGGACACTGGGATGGCTGCAAGGAGCTCTAGAATTGATCCTCCATTCTTCCTAAACCGAGCTGCACCCAATTTTTCCTGGAACTCAGAACGTTGACTCATAGTAAGATGCCTTATAGCAAGTTAGATTTTTCTCCATCTAGCTCAGCATTGTTTGCACAGAAAGGGAGTAGTTCTCCAGGCTTTCAGGTGGGAGTCTCTCCCAGCCGTATCTGGAGATATACATTCAATTAATAACAACAAGACCACTGCTAGGGATTGAACCTGAGACCTGTTGCGTGCATGACAGGTGCTCTGCCACTGAGATATGTCCTTCCTCCATTCAACTAATTGAAACATTTCAACTCATACCCAACCCTACAGATCATTTCCCAGCCATTGATTATTAGAGCCCATAATGGGTGGGTGGGTGACTATGTCAGTTATCTTGCTATGGCTACTATGACACATTGATGGCTACAAAGAAGAAAATGCACAGCTTGCCGAATGATCTTTTGTTGTTTCCCCAATATGTTAGGGGAAAGGCATTAAAGTGGGCATGGTTATAGGCCAGGGCTGGGCAGAAGATAGATCAGGATCTATTGGTAACTCTCCTTGTGATCTGCAGTAGATCAACAAGAATTCTGACTCCCAGTTGTTTGGCAATGGCAACAACTAAATGGCTCCTTCTTTCAAATCCAATTAAGAACACTTGGGTTAACCAGGAATGGATTTTGATGCAGGAGGACTGTAAGTTCAGCTGGTACTCAAAACAAATCCTTGTGCTCAGCAGCTACTTCAAAGTACCCTATTCTTTCATCTTAAGTGTATGTCTTTTACACCTGGCCCCAGGTGGCAGATCTTGAGGTTCAAGTCAAACACAAAATAGGTACTACAAGTCTGAAGTCTGGCCTCCCCTCTAAAGGCTTTTAAGTACTTTCCAGCTCCACTACCCAATACCTTTTTAAAAAGCAGAGGGGCACCCAAGGACATACAGCATGCAAAGTATTGCCATGTTCAACCTTCAAACCCAGAAGGAAATTCAACTAATGTGATTTAGTTCTCTAGCAGTTTTCAGAGTGTGCAATGCTCTGCAGCTCTTGCCTCATTTATCCTCCCAGCAAGCCTGAAAGGTAGGTTAGGCTGAGAGCACACACACCTTGCTCAAGGCCACCCACTGAGCTTCAAAGCCCAGAATAGCTTTGCTCAAACCAGATGCTCTTTCCATGGCAGAATGCAGGCTGGTGAGCTGATTTGAGGCTTTGTAGTTCATTCATCGATATTACCGTACATTGTCTTCATGGAAGGCCACAAAGAACCTCCCTGGATTTAAGGGAGCTGTTTCCCCACAGTATTTTCCCGTGTATTGGACGAGGTTTTTTTGACTAAAAAATTGTGTCAAAAAACTGGGGTCACGAGTCCTGGCTTCGTGAGGGGGCCCTCGCTTGTGTGAGGCGGCGACGCTTGCAAGGAGGTGATGCCATGGCGGCCCCCACGCGGCCCTGGAGCCCTGAGGAGCTCCGCGGAGACGCCCTGCCCAGGAAGGAGATTGTCTGCTTCCTGCAGGAGCAGGCAGTGCACAAGTTCCTGTCAGAGCACAAACTACTAGGACAGATAAAAAATGTGACCAAGACAGCCAGTAAGGAGCAGCTGATCATGGCATATAACGAGCTATTTGAAACCAAGAGATTTCATGGTACTGAGAGTCCAGAGCATGTAGCAGAGCAAGTGAAAAATGTCAAAATTGATGAGGAGAAGCCCAAGGAGACAAAGCCTGAGGAAGCTGTGGATGAGGGCCCCCCAAAATATACAAAGCCAGTACTGAAGAAGGGGGATAAAATCAACTTTCCCCAAAAGGGTGATGTCGTTCAATGTTGGTATGCAGGGAAGCTGCAAGATGGAACAGTCTTCGATAGTAATATTCAAACAAGTTCAAAGAAAAAGAAAGCTGCAAAACCACTGAGCTTCAAAGTCAGCATTGGAAAAATGATATGAGGCTGGGACGAAGCTCTGCTGACCATGAGCAAAGGGGAGACTGCTCACCTGGAAATCGAACCAGAATGGGCTTATGGGAAGAAAGGGCAGCTGGATGCCAAAATTCCACCAAATGCAAAACTTTTCTTTGAAGTAGAACTGGTGGATATTGAATGATGGGTTGCTCCTCCTGGTCCCCCATCTTTGAAAACTGTGAAGATGCTCTTGGAAGTCCAGGAAATGTGTTTGTGGTCTTGTTTCCCACACAGCAAGGGTGGGATGGCGGGGAAACTCATTTTCTTAAAACTTGAGTCCCCCAAAATAGGGGGGGTCTTATACACGGGGATGACATATAGACGGAAAAGTACGGTACTCACCCATTTTATGGGTCTGGGTTATGCAATACTACAGCCATAGAGCTCACACAATATCCCACCAAACCATTTCTTGCTGTTCGCCTCATCATTACTGTGCGTATAAAAAGTGTCCAGGGATGGTCACAGGGCCTGAATTGAATACAAAGCCATGTGGATCCATTGCTTATGCAGACTGTTGATTTATTTTTCAAGTAAGTGGTATATAAATCTTGCTAAATACAATAGAATAAACCAGGAGCACAACAAATCCACACATCAACAAGCCTGCTAGCTGGGGGAGGGCAGAATTCTATAGGCCGTTCCTTAAGAAGCCTGTGATCCATCCTTTTGACATAGAAAGCCAGGTGCTTGTGGAGACCTGATCAGGTGCTATTAAGGCCCACAGACCCCCTGTCTTCCATCAGTCTGGGCACTGCATAATGGGGGTAGGGGGAGGGGCTTGAGTGAGGTGGCTAAGGGCCATAGCTAAGTGACAAAGAATCTGGTTTAAATGCGAAAGGTTCCAGGTTCCACGTTCCACCCCCAGCATCTCCAGGTAAGGCTGGGAGAGACCAGTGCCGGAAATCCTGCAGGCTGCTGCCAGTCTGTGTAGGCAACACAGAGCTAGACAGGTCTGACTCAGTGCAAGGCAGCTCATGTTCCATACCTGAAGGAGCGTCTCCACCCCCATCGTTCTGCCCGGACGCTGAGGTCCAGCGCCGAGGGCCTTCTGGCGGTTCCCTCATTGCGAGAAGCAAAGCTACAGGGAACCAGGCAGAGGGCCTTCTCGGTAGTGGCGCCCGCCCTGTGGAACGCCCTCCCATCAGATGTCAAAGCGATAAATAACTACCTGACATTTAGAAGGCATCTTAAGGCAGCCCTGTTTAGGGAAGCTTTTAATCTGTGATATTTTACTGTATTTTTTGTTTCTATGGAAGCCACCCAGAGTGGCTGGGGAAACCCAGCCAGATGGGCGGGGTACAAATAATAAATTATTATTATTATTATTATTATATACCCCCAGGTTTCTGGCTTACGGTCAACCTGCTCACAGCCTGTCTGCTACTGACCTGCCAGCCTGTCTCATCCCCCACCTGCCTTTATGATCTCTTGCCTGACATCTGACAGGCACCCTGCAGGGAGTTGTCTGCAGTGCAAACAGCTGCAGAGGAAGGCCCCGGTTTCTTGCCCATCTTTCTCCCTTCTTTTTCACACGCCTGCACCTTCAAAATTCCAAGCTGCTTTCCAATAACCCAAATTAACTCAAGTTTAGGTTTAACCTCTATGTTAATTAGGGAATGCTTGCTAAGCTCATTGAAGATAAAAAGGGGCTAAGAGAAATTCTCAGTATAAAATCCAAGGGAAAGCAAAACGAGGGAGGGAGGGAAGAAAGAAGGCTAAGTTAGGAGAAAAAGTAGCAATGAAGTCAGCTTTGTGATCAGAGAAAGACTGGGGAGGAACCATAGGTCAGTGAGTAGAGAGCAGGTGTTTGGCCTGAAGAAGGGCTAAGGTTCAAGCCAGGGCATCTCCAGTTATAAGAATCAGGTAGCAAGTGCCCAAGACCCTGGAAAGCAATCTTGGGTTTGCCTAGATCAGGCATCCCCAACCTGCGGCCCTTCAGATGTTTTGGCCTACAACTCCCATGATCCCTAGCTAACAGGGCCAGTGGTCAGGGATGATGGGAATTGTAGTCCAAAACATCTGGAGGCCCAAAGGTTGGGGATGCCTAGCCTAGATGGACAAATAGCCTGTGCCTGTAATTCATTAGTTTCTTATCCACCTATGTACTCTATGTCTCCTCCTCTCATAGATGTGGGTTGCTCTGTCCATCTCAAAGAGCAAGAAGATATTCTGGGCCTCTTCACTAAGGTCAGATCCGCATCATTCTTTCAAAGCACATGGCTTCTCCCAAAGAATCCCAGGAACAGTCGTTTCCCCCTCATGAGCACCCTCAACAAACCACAGTTCCCAAAGTCCTTTGGGAGCAGCCATTGCCTTGACTGCATGGTGTAGATGAGCTCATGGTAGTTGTAGGAAGAAGGTGTATTTCCTGACACAGAACCAAGGACACTGAGTTGTGTCTAGGCTGCAAGGCTGGCCCACCCATGAGGCAAGGTAGGGAATTGCCTCGGGCGGCAGGATCCACAACAGCAGTAGATTCCAATGTAAATCTTTATCTCCTCCCCCCCCAACTGATGTAGATCTTCACTCACCTGTTCTTCCCTGGCATTTTGTGGTGCTGATGCTGCTAGGCTGCCATGCACTTTTATAAAGTTACAGCACACACAATTTTTCTGAGAGTCACTGAATACTGCATTCAACAGTGTTGCGACAATAGCTTGCAAACTGACATGTGCAGGGCTTTCAGGGCGTTTCTCGTGGAGATTTTATATATATATATATATCCCACCTTTCCTTTCCTCCAAGGAACCCAAGGTCACTCAGTGAACTTTATGGCTGAGTCAGGATTTGAACCCTGGTGTGCCAAGTCCTAGTCCCAACACGCTAACCAAAGAGGCCCCAATGATCCTAACATGTTTTCAGCCAGCCTGGGGCTGTGAAAATGACTTACCTGTTGATAATTATTTTCCCCACAGCCAGTCTGTTTATTAGACCTTTGTTACTCAAAAGAAAGATCTTTAATCTCTCTTTCTTTCTTAAGCAGGACTGTGACTCTGACCTGGAGAAGGTGGGTGGGAGGTGAGAAAGAGAGAAACTGCTGTGTTTTTATTTAAACAGAAGAATCTACATGTTAAAGCTCCTAATAGGTTTCAGGCTAGCCAAAGCAGGAAACCAAAGACTGTGTGGGGGCCAAGTGAATGCTTATAGCAAGTTCCAGGAAGTGTTACTTAGTAATCTGGCTAAGACCTCACAAACACAACTTGTGTAGGCAGAGTTGAGAAAACAGCCACGCGGCACAAGCAGTCAGGCTAGGGAGAGAGCAGGGAACCAAGTGAATGAGAATCTAGCAAATGCAGATGAACAGCTGATGATCCTGGGTCCCACAGATACCAGCAAGATGATGATATTCAGGGAAGGCTCCTCCCAGTAAAATGGTGTTGTGGAGATGACAGGAATGCCTAAGCTCCTGCACTAACACCTGCCCTTTAAAAGCCGCATGCAGCACCTTTATCCGGCATGGCTTGTTGCACATAGCCAAACATAGCAGTAAACATGAAGGCTAGAAACACACTTTAAAAAACTATTTTAAAAACTGGATCTCAGGGATTAGCTTGCAAGGCACCAGAAAACTAGGGTCCATTCACAGGTAGTTACCATAATCAGAGCACAATGAGATTTCTGTGTGCCAAAATATGCAAAAAAAACCCCCACAAAACTGTGCAATGCAGCATTTATTTTGCAGAGCACATTTGCTTCCAAGATCTAGATTTCAAATACTTTTTGTTTTTTTTAAAAACACAAATGAGAATAAGGAACACTAGCATAGGTAGGGGGTGGGATGGGGGTGGGGTCACACTAGGTGGCCACTTACCGTGGGGGCAGCACTTACCGCACTGCCTGCAGCTCGCCTGGGAGTGACGTGGTGGCTTGGGCACCTGCAGATACCATGTTGCCCAAAAAGGCAGTGTGGGGCTTGTGTCCATTCGCTGCCTCCCCCTCAGCCACCCTGCAGTGCCCCATGCCCCAGCTCGCCCTGCCCCCAAGCCCTGATAAGGAAGGAGAAGAGGATATGAAAACAGGGGGCAGGCCATTGGAGCAGATAGTAAGGCATGCAGGCAGTTCAGGAGCTGTACCCAGTATCCTCCAGTCTGTGACTGGCAGAACGTTAGTCTGGTCTTGCCTTTTCACTGCACAAGGAGAGGGGTCTGGCTCAATTAACCGAGTTCAGTTTCCTCCATTTGCAAGATACAGAATAAGGCAGGCGGAAATGGGAGGAAAACAGTCTTTTATTTTTTAGTTGGAAAATCTCCACCTCTGCAAGAAAGTTTGGCTCTAAAGGAGGCATACTTTTTTTTGGTATCTTTGTTGGATGCCGCCCATAGTGGCTGGGGCAACCCAGTCCAGTTAGATTAGTAGTATACTATTATTATAAAGTGCAGGTTTGATCTATAAAGCCTTAAATGGTCCAAGGCCGCAATACCTCAAGGACTGCCTCTCTCCATATAATCACAGGACTGGACCCTTTGACCATCACCTGAGGCCCTTATTTGTGTGTCCCCTCCACAAGAGGTCCGGAGGGTGGCAACACGAGAACTGGCCTTTTCTGCAGTGGCTCCCTGCTTGTGGAATGCTCTCCCCAGCGAGTTCACCTGGTGCCTTCATTACGTATCTTTAGGTACTAGGCGAAAGCATTCAAGCAGGCCTTTGACTGATTAAACAATCTATGGCCTTTAGAACTGTGTGTGTAGTGGGTATTACGTTACACATTTTTGTGTTTCTATACTGTAAACCGCCCTGTGATCCTCTGATGACGGACAGTATATACATTTAATAAATAATAACTACTGGTCACACGTATTTCTGGGCAACTTAATCTGCAGCACAAGCCCCTTCCTGCTTTTTCCTTAGCTCATGCAGACACTAATGCCAACAGAGTAGGGAGATCAGTTATTTAAATCTTAGCATTCACTTTCTGCACAGCATCCTTGATGCATCTTCAAAGTTCAAAAAACAAGTTGTTTCATATTGCCCAATGTTAAGGCTGACCAGATGCCTAAGGGCACTTCCAGATACATGTTTTGCAGAAGACTGCAGCAGCCTGCCACCATTGGACCAGATGGGACTAGTAGGATCACACAGCTACTATACTAGTAGCAACTCCTTGTGCTCCCCCCCCCCTAGATCCTTTGTGGTTTGCTTCTCTCATTGCTGCTAGGATCAATGCCTGGGAGTGCATTACCTTATTTTTTCCTTGTTTCAGTTGCTTCAGAGCAAAAAAAATTGCAGACTGAGCAGCTCAGCTTTTGCAAAGCATGTCTGAACTTTACGACGATGGTAAGGAAATCAGTGGCAATAAAAACATTCTGCAGCCCTTTAGAAGAAACAATCAAAAACTAGAATTCACTCTGGGATAGTAGAAAAGATTTGGAAGTGGTAGGGAAACGGTGTCAGCCCCATTATTAGTTGACTGCTGCCTAAAGAGGTAAATGTTGGCTGGTCTGCAAGAGCAAGCCCATAGCTGCCTGTATGCTGCAGACGTATGCCTCCTCCAACCTCAGTGGATATTTAGCATTCAGCCCAACCTCAAAGCAGTTGAAATATTAACTTTGTGCCATAGGCCAGATGCGCATTGCCTGAGGGTGGTGAGCACAGAACTCTTTCTAAATGGCTGAGTAAATCAATGCCCCATTCTTGCTGGTATTCTGTACCTCCCACACCCGTGTAGATATACTCTTAATCTGTATGCACCTACTATCTTGTGTGTCAGCAAGATCTAACTTTCCGTATCATATGAGAATGCCCTATATGCATTCAACACAAAAAGAAATTCCAAATTCTGCACTGAAATAAATCCCAGAGTATGAGTTAAGAGTGAACCAACTCTGCAGGTCTCTTGTGTTATGCACCACTTTCCAGTTTCATATAATGGAAACATCTGTAATTTTTAGTAAGGAACTGGGCATTGAATGGCGTGAAGGAGACAGGAGTGGGCTGTAACGGTCCAGTAACAAGCCTGAATCAGGGCTTTGCCTAAAGCATGGGTGAGGAACTGGTGACCCTCCAGATGTTAAAGCATAAATCTGTAATGTATGCTTTAATTGAGATTCCTGCTTTGCAAGGGGTTGGACCAGATGATCCTCAGGGTCCCTTCCAATTCTACAGTTTTATAAACCTGTGACTACCAGCTTCCATCAGCTCCATCAATGCTCAGGAATGATGGTGTCTGTAGTCCAGCATCAATCATTTGGAAGCCTAGGTTACTCCCCTTTGGCCTATGGGTACCTACAGAGTTCCTGAGATGAGATTTGAACTGTTAGTCTTCCAATAAAGTTCACACACACACCCCTTTGATTAAGAACACTAATATTTATCTCAGGGAATATCAAACAGTAACAAAATCCATATAAACATGGGGAGAAAGTCCAACAGAGGAATCAAAACGGCTTCCCTGTCAAATAAACAAATCCTGCCATCAATTTCCAATTATCAGGTGGTTCTCAGATCACCTATAATTATATATGAAATATATTCATACCTTAGTTCATAAAATATTCCTTGTCTTAATTCCCTTCTGAAGCCTTTAGACTTTTGCATTTGTTCTTATAGTAATACAATATCCCACACTTGTGTGTATCATTGCTCAACTGCAGACCCCTCTTCTGTTTTTCATGTCCAGGTTATAAATGGCCTAGCAATCTTCAAGAGGAAAATTGTTAGCTCCTTATCCGTTACTTCTGCCAAATCATTTTGAAAGACTGCTAATATAAATGTAGGACTCACCTAAAAACATTTGACCAGAATGACTGGAGCCTTGTACACTGCCACCGCATGTGGAAGGATATTCCAACCTCTGCAACTCCAACTGAGATGATTATATATCCTACTGAAAGTGAAATACCATCTCAGTGAAACTTTAAATGTGTTCTCCCTGATCCTTGATGACACAGATGGAAATGGCTCCCCCCCCCAAAAAAGTTCATGCTTTTAACCTACACTCTACACTCTCCAAGGCTGTAGAGGATGAACAAGTAACTGTACAGGCCTCTTCCCTCACCCTTCATTTGCTGAATACTGCAAGTCCTTGTCCAGCCTTCATTAACGCTCTCCTCCACATTCAACACTAGAATTAGGATGCTGATCCCACACCAGATACTACAGCGATGCAAAATACAAAAACAAGACACCCCCTCACAGCCCTATCTATGTGGAATTGATTCCATGTCCTCCTTTGACCCAAACCCACAGGCAATGCTAGACTGCTAAGGATCTTTGATTAAAATTGTGGATGTACCACTCGTTGACTTTGGGAGTCTCCAATTCAATTTCAGGCACAAATGAAGCACAGAGGAGCTCCACCTTGTCAATTTCCTTTAGCTCTTTATAACACATAAGCGCCATTTTTGTGTGGTTCTTAATGTGGCTGTAAAAACACAGAGAAACCCATCAGGGCTGAGATTCACTGAATCAGAATTCAGACAGGTACTGTAGCTAGAAATTTGGATGACAGAAAGATTTTATTTACAATTTTTGGGGAAAAGATGTGAATTTAGCAACACCGAAATGTAGATGGAATATGCGTCTATTGGTCCTCAAAGTGACCACTGGATACATCAGACACAATCTTCCCTAGCAGCAATAACTTCCAATGCTATAGGCCTCTGCCATTCAAGAGCATTGATGCACTAAAGTGAGAAACAAGATCCAGTGAGCAGCCACAGTATTTCTATGCAGGCAAAGTACAACAGACTGGGGGATCCGTGCAGTTTGGGCATGGATGTGTCTGGTGTGCCACAGCATGCTTCACATGATACCTCCACAATTGACTGTGGGAGTTGTACAGGAATATGGACTTATCAGAGTGTGTCACATCCTCCTGCATGCTAGGTGGGGCAACAAACGTAATTTTTTACCTTTGTACACTGGTAGGCTAGTTTTTACACTTGCACAGCCCTCCCCCCCTCCCAAATCCAGAAAAGCAAGAAGCACAACAAGTGTTCAAAACACATTGCAGCCAAGCAAAAACATTCGGATGCAAAGCAATGTCACTGAGGAGTATAGCCTGGAGACAGAGAGGTCTGAAAGGCCCTGTTTGGCTCTTGAGCTTGAGGTTCCCCTGATCTAGTCCGATAGAACTAACCATCCCCAACACAGACTGAAGAAAGGAAGACTCTCTAGAGGAGTCAGGCCCTCTACAGAACATGGTGTTATGGTGGGACCAAGCCTCAGTGAGTATTTCTAACCTCTGAGGACGGTGTCTTCATTTAAACTGCGATGTTTGATGAACAAGACGTTTGTGTATACAAATAAGGTTCATTTTGTGTGAAGGCCAAGACTTGCCTGTTATTACTTAAATAAAGCCCAGGTGTTTTTCACAGATACATTGCAAGGAAGCTACGAAATATAAATGATATATTAATCACCTTCATTCTCTTTGTCCTTTCTTGCAGAGACAAAAACCCCAACAGCCCTATTATAGACATTAAAACTTCGAACACTTGTCCTCAAGCCATTATTTTAGGATCCAATTTAATGCACAAATGATTGCCGTTAAGACAAGTCACTATCATGCTCCATCTGCAATTCAGTGTGGTAACAGTACAAGTGGCCACTACTACCCATGGGAATGTGATCTGTAGGAGTGTGACTTGAACCTTGGAGTCGTTGATGAGAGTACAGAACTCAATCCATTCTCGACCACAGCGGTTATGGTATATCCAGCCTATCCAAATATAGTACACACAAAAACGTTAATCAGAGCAACTTAATGTGCAACTGTGGTTGTGAGGGTAAAACTGATAAAAAATTGTAAAAGCACCTACCACTTCAAAGTAAGTGCCATGGAAATTATTAATACAAGCCTTCTCCTGAGGCAGATCATATTGTGCAAAAGGAAACAGACCACATCAGAGGACCGTTGATAAGCAAATGCTGGGGCCCAGGCTCTTACGTTTGTGTGCAGACAAAGGGCCCCCTAACCTGGCTGAAGCTTGTAAAGCACTGGAATGAGAAAGTTAAACAAGAGTTAGAGTATAAAGTCTCATTTATCAGTTCTGCAATCACTCAATAAATGCACACAAGACACAACTATGCAAACAAGTTTAATGCACTTTGAATACACGGGAGGGAAACAAAGCTTTGTGATCACAAAAATATTACAAAAAGTAGTTTTGCGCAGGTGAACACACACCGGCACTGTGATAATGTAAGAATATACATTAGAAACTAATATAAAATATTTTTAAAACCTCTGCTAGTTTAGGTTCCCATTGTTTTTTTGGTAGAAAAAAAGGCATACTACAAAGTACTGAGAATTTCACTGCAGGAATGGCAAGCCATTTTCAGACAGCTTCTGCAATGTCCTTAAGATTTTTGTTGAGAAACACACACACACACACACACACACGTGCCACATAGATGAACTACAAAAAGGTTCATCTCAGCTGAAGCTGGTAAAAGTAGCCTCAGCAGTCAGAATTAAAAGTTGAGCAGGTCTAAGGATTAGGTCCTCCAAAAGCAAAACCACTCATTTTGTTTTCTAGCACTACAGCCATCCAAATTATAAAACTACAGTAACAACAAGAGCACTATCATGTTAAAAATAAAAATCCACCCTGCTTTAACAGTGAACTCTGGTTCCTACCGATATAAAACAGTCTCAAGAAAGGAAGGCAAAGGCAAACCTGGAGTGTAACATTACCTTAATTTATTCCTTTAAGTCTCATTTGCTGTGTTTAGCAGCAGCGACAATCTGATCTGCTAGAACTGAACACCAATGCTATGCTCCTGAGCCCTCCCACCCAAGATCCAGCACACGGAATGGCCCTAAGAATGGGGGCTGGGCCACAAAGCCCGTGGCTTTTAGGAGCTTTCTTCCACAATGGCAGTTTGATCCTGCTAAATTGTGAACTGCAACTCCAGAAAAGCCAGGCCCCAGACTGTGTAATTCATCAGCAATCAGAGCACAGAATCTTTTGAATTAACTCACTGGTTTTATCACTTTAACAGGTTTCGCTTTCCCTAAGGTAGGTGAAGTCTTTATACAGAATTGAGATTCTGTTCAGTGTTGAAAGGGAAACTAGCGAAAGGGATACTCGGCTTAAACCTGAGCCAACAGATCCTTTGAAGACAATTGCACACTCCTGTGTTTCCCCAGAATATTAACCAGGGCTGGCAGTGGCTATCCTCTCTTATTGAAGGGCTTACACTAACATGCACTATTGTCAACAAGGCTCAAACCATTCTCCCCCTCTTTTTCCATTATGTAGAGGAGCAGTGATGAATGCAGACCTTTGCCATCAGGGCCCAGGAAAGAAAACAGCAGCCATGTTGATTTCAACCCAAACTAGGAAACAAGCAAAGGGAAATGTGTGCAGGAGGGCGAGGAGAGTAGTAAGAGAAGTGTTTGCAAAACCAGAACCATCAGCTGGTAAGCAGATTCTGGTCTGTGCTTTTAAACAAATCTGTTTTCTGACATTAAAGTGTATTTGATTGAGCCCTTTAAACATTTACTTCACACGCTGGCATTCATTACGCTATTCTGCTATCAGGCTTCCACATTTCAACAGTGAATCATAAAAGTAGGTAGATGGAAAGGGTATTTCAGAATACTTCTCCAACCTCCTTATTAGCTGGCTGGCAGAAAGTAGAAAAGGCATACCTTTATGGCAGCCTTGGAATGATACTGTAAAGCTAATGTACCACTTATTACGACTTTATGGTCTGTAAGCAATCTGAGGAAAAAATAATTGTGTATGAAATGAAGAAGCTGAAAAGTGCATAATGCCCATGGGTTAATTGTCTGAGAGGCAGGTCAGCCTAGGGATCCTTTTGAAACCCTCATCAGCTACAGGCTCATTTTCTGTTTGACATTTTGGATGCTCAGCAAAGGAGGATTCAAAAGAGACGGAACAACTAAAGGTAGGAAAAACTACAGTAACATAGGGCTGCCAGAATATGAAGGTATTCTTTCTGTTCCTATAAATTACAATGATGGTAGTGGTGGAGAGAAACATTAAACATTAACACATTTTTGCCCCAAGCCATTAAAAACACTTCTGCAAATACATTTGCTTTCTGACCCTTACTTCCCTTGCTTTTATGTGTAAAGGGCTTTTCTTTAAAACAGTTCATGATTTTCTCCCTGCTGCTAGAAAAACACAAGTGTGATGAGATGGAGCAATCCCTACAGCAGCAACGAACTCCACCAGCATGCATGCAGATGTGAAACCCATGCTTTCATCTGCCATAGAAGTGCCTGACACTTCAGATCTGCAAAGCTAAGTGGGTGATCATGGTGCAGTGCAAAACATGCTGAAGAAGCTTGAAGTGTGCATGTAGAGCATCTCTGTCCAACCAACCATCTGGCTTAGTGGCAAAGTTCAGATTTACACACCAGAAAAACAAAATCCTGAGCTATTATATCTAATGGTGCATACAGAAGTACAGGAGCAAGCTTCTTTTGTCCCTATGGGGTAAGCTCAGTAACCCTCATTCTTTAGACTCTCTCTCACACACTCTCTTTGCATTGAGCACTGGTTTCTAGGCCACCCTCACCCTTCTCTGCTGAGCTGCCTGCCTTTCTTGTTATCTTTAAAGTGCTGCTGGTAGGACCTTGCATTTAAACAATCATACAGTGCCTGACTTATTGATGATTAAAGAGCCATCATTTATTCTGAAGCTGAAAATTATTACAGGCAGAGGTTGTTTCATGGTGTCACAAATGTCCAGCCAGTTAGCACTTTGAGCAGCCCCTTCAGCTTCAAATTGACATGTGTAATATGGTTTAATGCAAATGAGCAGTGTGCCGGAATGAGCTGGGAGCAACAATCCACAGGTGGTGTGTCATCTAAACTTAAACGCATGGCTTGGTTCCCCCAAACAAACCAGGAGCATGGGTTTGGACGACATGACAAGTCAAGTCTTGTAGTTTGTTGCTCCCAGTATGATGCAGCCAAGAGCGAGGGAGGAGCAAAGCAGGGACTTTTGAGCAGTGTGCACCAGCATGCTGCTCATTCACATTAAACCACAGTTAAATATTAACTATGGTTTAACCTTACATGCAAAGACAGCCGATGAGTGTGCTTTGAAGAGGGGAGTGGATTCTGTTTTTATAACTTCCCTTGCTACCAATGTCAGTGCCATGGGAGAGAGGAAACCCACAAAAGTGGGGATGGAATTTTTTTGTTTTGCTAAAACTATATTCTTATAGCTTGCAGTGTTCTCATGTGAAATTCTACAGCCCATCTATATTTTGCTCACTTACTTACTGACTGCTTCATATTTAGACAGTAAACCCTCTGGAATGGCTCTTTTGTTGCCATTTGGTCTGATGGCTAGGCTAGCACTGTCCTAGCACATGGCTGGTGCAACAGCTGCACTGAAAGTTAATAATTGTTGCAGCAACGGAGGAATGGTGTTTACAGCTCCAGGTGCTGAAGGGATTAAGCAGCAGGTGCTAACCAACTGAAGAACAGCCAAAGCTCCAGTTTCCTGTTAGCCACTTTAGTAACTAGCAAGTGGAGAACAAGAGTGCAAAGTAAACTCTTCCTGCCTTGTCTTAGGGTGGGAGGAATGGTCAGCATAAGTGACCACAGTGAAAAGTTAGCAATACACAGTAAACGGAGAGACCAAGCTCCATTCCATTAAGTCCTCTGGGAAGCCAACAATAATAGTTTCTAGCAGTTACTGCCATAAACTGTTACTGATTAAACACCAAGACACTTTACCTTTGATTTGCCAAGGTAGTAATTTGTGGGTACTTTCAGGCAGATATGAAATCTGAATACTCTGCAAACCCTACAAGACAGTCATTTTAAATACACTTTGGACCAGTTCTTTCTCTCTAAAGGAATGCTCATGCAGAACAAAACGTTTAAAAGGTTATGGAAAAATGTAACATCAGTGTGGACTTTGCAGCAAACTATCAAAAGCCACAGAAGACTGTAGTCTAGTCTCCAGCTCACAGATCCTTCCTGAAAAACCCACAAGATTTTTTTTTCATTTCCAGATTAACATTTCATAGGATTTCTGGCTTTCCCTCCATGGATTCTTTCATTTCTCAGATAGGAAACTCCTCAGCTCTTTACTGCATCCATAGAGGGTAAACTATAGAGAGTATCAAATGAGACAGTATAGCTGTGTAAAGCCTCACTACATTAATTAAACTACTATGGAACACAAGGCTTCCAAGATAAACTGTAGAAAAGCCAGACAGTTTAGACTCTAGAAATGACTTCTAAAGCCTCACATAACTGAATTCTCCTTCATCCAATAACATTTCTATGTACATAGGAAAATAACGTCAGGCAGAAGGTTTCTACTCTCCTCCTTGACATGCCAGTTTTCTATGTGCAAGGATTTTTTCTCTTGCATTCTGTCATATGAGACTCCATTGCAGTCCTAAGCACAGCAGTCAAGAAACAGCTTTATCATCCCAGCTGCTGTTTGTGAAAGCTAGGCCTAATAAGGATGGCTTTTGTGGGGAAAATATGCTAGGTATCTGACAGTAACATTTGAGTGACAGCACACCATTTGAATGCCAAAAGATTTTCCTCATAAGCAGGGACCCCTTACAAGATTTCACTACAACCTTCTATGGCTTGGCCTATTTCAACCTTGCAGTGTTTTATGCTTAGTCAATTTGGCAATAGCGGTTAGTCAATTTTGCTTACATTAGCACGTTTGAATTGTGCTCACGACAGCACAACAGCTTCCAAAATACTACAAACTAAGTGAGTGACTCCCAAAGCTTTTTTGCCTTGTAGTCCCTAAACATCAGACCACACTAGTATACCATGTGATCCTAAGTCACTTAATGTGAAAGGTGAGGCTTCTAGGATTCTGACAAGGAGCCTGTGGGCAATATTAAACAGTTTATTGTGAGCTACTTTATGTCACCAGCACATATCTATCTAAACTTGCTTGAGGTCCAGTTCTCTACCCATGGGTGTACACCAATTCTGGTGTACATCAGTATACAACAATTCTGAGCAATTTCTGAAGGTCACTTATGCCCGTGACAAAATTTCTGAAGAACCTAAGTATACACAACAAGAGAACATGGTATTTTGAACAGTTGCCTAGTTGAAGTGGATTTTCATTCTCTTGGGAAGGGAAGGGAAGAGAACCAACATGTTTCCTTCTACAAACTTTGTAACAGAAACTTTCAGAAGATAGTTTCAGGTTGTAGATTTCTGCTTTAGCAGTGCCAGATTTCATTTTCGGTGGTGAGCTATGGGGCTACTACCACTTTCCTCTCCTAGGAAGTTAGTCAAACTGCCTATAAACACAAAGTCTGCACAAAATGGTGTTAGAAATACAGTGTAGTTGTCTCAAAATCAGGCCATAACTCTGAAAATTAATGCCTGTGTATACAGCAGTACATCAAGCTGAATTTTCAAAACATTCTGAAATGGCCTGACTCAATATGCATTAAAATTAACAGATATGCCTTCCCAAAATATGTGAATAGAAAGTGAAAACATGATTTCAGCAGAAATAAATGTTCTTTGGAAAACTTCGTTTTTAAAGCCAATTTAGAAACAAGACAATAGGTTTTCAGGCATCTCTTTAACTCATGTACCCTTTTCTATTTCTCTGCAGTATGAGTCAGGAAAATTTGGTACAAATCTATAGGAAACTTCAGGAAGGATACAGTATCAGAATTGTTAACCCAGAAGATCTGGCTGTACCAAGTTAGAAAATAAACACCCAAAGACCTCCGCTCATTGTACAGCCCAATGAGAAATACCTATGAAACCCAATTCTCCATGTACTTGTCCCTTTTACAGGTGACCATGAAACAAGGAAGTTATGCTTATCTTTGAAGAGAATCAATTATCATTTTGGCCTATTACCCTAGGACACACTAAGATAGGTGTTTAATCCTGCAATCCAGTAAATACTTACCTGGTAGGAAGCCCCACTGAACACCATTAAGTTTCGTTCTGAAGAAAAACACTTAGGCTTGGGTTTCACAGAACTTTTTAAAGCAACCTTTTCCTAAATATAACCCAAGCTGTATCTCTTCCCTAGGGCAAACTCCTGACTTAAATAGGATGTTTATAGGCCTCAGAATTCAGAATCTAAAATGACAGCTTAAGTACAGCCCCCTCTGTAACATCATGGCAGTTTAGCCAGTGGGACCATGATTCCCCTGCCAAATCAGTCCCTAGTGTGGCATCAAAACTGATCAGCGTTTCCTCAGTTTGATTGTGTGTACATAAAGTATAAACAAAATGGCCTTTCTGGAGCAATAAAAAAAAAATCACACTGAAGGAATAATTCTGGCCAGGAGAAGCATGGCTAATTAAAGAATTTGAGAGTTACAAAAAATACTTCTAATGGATTGTGTGTTTACGCCTGAAAATTGTGTGATTAAGCCAAGGCAGATGAGGCACATAAACCCTGAGCTGGGGGTTGCAGGGACCTCTGGAGCCAGTTAAAGTAGGGAAAGGAATTCTTACAACTACTATTAATAGTTAAATACTTCTCTCTCCTTGTCTCACTCTCACACTCATTCATATGCAGGTTATTCAGAGTTCTTCCATGACGGAAGAGAATGCCAGGTACTGGAAGAATTGAGTTCTGGCTGGACTGCTGTTGAGTAACCCCTCCGTTGTTTGCAGTGGATATGCAGCAGCATCTCTTATTTGCAGGAAGAGCTTTTACTGCACTAAATTATCCCATGAGTCACTGGGCAGCATGGAGCAACTTGTTGCTTGTGGGTGTCAGCTGGCTTTAATGCAGTGGGTTGTCAAATACAGCATCAGGCAAGATGGAGACTTTCAGTTTCTTTTCAGGCCAACTATACTCCTTTGGAAGTTTGAACTAAAAAAGCAAAGAAGTTATTAGTTAATATAACTTACTATGATGTATGATACACAAAGCAAACAAAATAATACCATTAGACCCAATAGAAGCAAAAGTTTCCAGCTATCAGGTAAATAAGGAAATCTTTTCCCAAAGTGTTTATTTGGGACAGAAGACAGTTATTTTATCATTATTTATTAAAAATGTATACCACCCTTCATCCAAAGATCACGGGTCAGTTTACATATATTACATAGCCAAGTATCTTTTTCCTATTTCTACCACTCACTTGTGCATTACTGTCTTACTTTGCTTTCTCTTAATTCACCAGGGCCTTTTTTTTGGCACCCGCTTAAGAAGGACTGTGTCAGTGAATTCAGAGGTTTTCTAGCCCAGCGTATCATGCATAGAAGACTTCAGGGTACAGCAACATGCACAGAGTTCAAGACATTGAAAATGCAGTGATAAAACAGTTTTAAAATAGGTTTGATATACAACAAACACAAGTGAAACCCCACAATTAGGTAGTTGAGGAAGAAGCTGGTGAGACTGGGAAATAAAGGATCATGCAAGGGTTGTGGGGAAGTGAAGTCCCAATAAGCCTCTCAAGGTTAACATCAATCCCACATGAACATAACAAAAACAGTAGCAAAACTAGAAAACTAACAGAAATATAGGGGCTTATGAGCTCCTGGTTCCTTGGGAACAAATTCATTCCCCTGAGGCTGACTTTGAAAAACAGAGGGGCAGAATTCAGGGACACATAGAGGAGCCTTACTCCATGCCAACAGTTCATTTGCTATTATAGAGAATGAGGGTCTTAGCTGAGGAATTGAGGGGGAAATTCTATAGAACTGTCCTATTTCTTGGGTGCTTAATAACTTACAGAAATTGATTGGGGAAGGGGCTAGTAAGAGGCAATCACAAAGTTGGGGGTGGCGTCTGCCTGGTGGGAAGACTGTGGAATCACTTGCTGGATAGACTGTTAGATGGAGGGGTGAATGACCACTGTGCACATTGGCTGAGGAGTGGTTAAGTTACATGGGCTTTTTTTCTGCCAGAACTCAGTTCCAGCAGCTCTCAGGTGGGCACCATTGCCATTCAAAGAGAACGAGGGAGGTGTTCATGCTGAGTTCTGGCACCTCTTTTTCTAGAAAAATAGCACTGAGTAGAACATTGAGTCAAAGCCCTCCAAGGTAGTATTTTCAGAAATGCTCTCTCTTCCACATACAGGACCAGCTAGACTGATGGAACTGCAGGGCCCTAGTTCTTGGATGTGATAGTGGTATGAAGAGGAAGAGTATAGATTAAGGAAATTTCTATCACACTATTAAGCAAAGCATTTTAGAGCAGTCATTTGCTAGACATTAGGGTCTCTTCTGGGACAAGCTGAGCCTGTACAAAAGAGGCACCCTCCACTTCAACTGCAGTGTAACCAAACTGCTGGTGCTGAACATGAAAGAAGTCACAGAGCAGCTTTTAGACTTAACTTCTCAGGGTAAGCAAACAGGAGTTGAGGATCATCAAGTTCGGGATGATTTAACACTTAAGGATGATGATGTAAATGTTTTTCAGGTAAAGTGGAGGACAGAGTACAACTCTAAAATGAGTGTACAGAGAAAAATGGTAGCTAGCAAAAACCCAAAGAGTGACTGAAGAAATTGAACTAGAAAATGTCATTTGAAGAGAAATAGAATGTATAGGTGTTTATATGTTAACATTAAAGAAATCTCTTAACCATGATGGGAGAGTTTAAGAGGTTGGTAGCTAAACAAAACAGGTATCCTGGGCATAACAGAAACCTACTGTCAACAGAGAGAACCAGTAGATCATGCTTACAGAAAATCAAGAGAAAGCTCACATTAGGGCTCTGCTTCACTGAGGGAAGATCATTCAGTGGTAAACTTATTTTAAAACTCCTCCAATAATTTCTTCACATGAAAAAATGGTTAAAAAGTAATTTAGAACTATCATTTATTCACTAAAAACTTGAATGATCTTGAGATAAATAAAAATTAGGGAGGCAGTAAACTTGGTGTAATAATGAAAGACAACTTCATTCACATTTACTGGGTTAAGTATTAGATGCAAGATGAAACAGTCTTTTAACTTCATTCTAGTTTTTGTTGCTGTAAAACAACAACTACACCCCCATTTTTGATGTTGATTGTTCCTCAAAATGTCTCTCAAATCCATTTTTAATCCATGTAAGAAGTGTGCCAAGCCTTCCTGCATGGTTTTAAGATTCTAGGTAACTATGTAGTCCCTGAGCCAGCTGTCTTTCTGGCCCTGACCAAGAGGCAGTCACCAACTCCTCATATGATGAACCAAACTTCTCATTGACCTAAGACTTTGGGGAATGGAGAGGGTTCCCCACTGCCAACCCTGAAGACTGTTATGAAGCACCCCTAAAAATAAATATGAAGCATGCCTAAAAATAACTCTTCTATAGTAGCCTGCACCTTAAAAGGAAGTTTCGGTTTTGGCCAGGAGAGGCCCCAAGACAGACTCCATTACAGAAAACCAGGTGTGCATGTTCCAAGTTGGTTGTGTTATCTCCTTTGACTGTAAATTTCTGCCACCCTCCCCTTATCCTTTGTCAATTTAAAAATAAACTACTACTGTAACTTTCATTACAACACAGCCTTCTAATTCTGAGACTACAAAACTTCAGCAGTAAGAATTAAACAACAGGGCAGTTTTGGCAGTAGAAGTAGGAAAGGCTGTTCTACAAGCAGATAAACCTTGACTGGAGTCAACAGGTACTGTGAGAATTTGGATTATTTGCTTTTCATGGCAATGAATGAATGTTAGGGAGGATTACCTTATGATATGCACATGAAAAACCATTAGCAGCCCCACAGAGGAGTCATATAAATGCTCTTACCACAATGCAAGGCTGTCAAGTAAGCAGTAAAAAACTACAGAAGGTGTCATTACGGACAAAGTCTATGTCTACATTCAGTAGACTATAAGGGATAGGAATTCTGTCGGAATTTTGCCAAGACATCAACAACTGCCAGGGGAGTGGCTAGCATAGATGTCCTAAAATAGAACATTCAATCTTTACCATCCCCAGTGCTCCGACCACATAATCTTGGGGTGGCCACATGAAGGACTTTCAAGGACTGGGTGATAACAGCAAAGAAAACATGAGCCCTGGATTTATAGCCAAGAAACCAGGCCATCAAACCATCAACCAAGCAAATCAACCCCCTGAATACAGAAAGAGTCCCTTTGGATATTAGAGTTAAGAAACTTACTTCCTCTGAAGAATTCAGATCTTCTAGGTCTTCCAGCATTCTTTCCACAAACTCTTCAGTCAGCAGGATCTGCAAAAGGGAGAGACAGTAGTTTTATTCTTTTACGCTCCAAGCTTCACCTAATTGCCAAGCAACAGACTCTTTCTTAGTGCACAGAGAAGAAACTGTACTGTTGTTCATACAAAAATTCACAAAGCCCTTGGAGGTCGGTTTGTTTCCTCCCCTAGTACCTACAAAATGCTGCAATTATTAGGGAATCTAGTTGTATCATCAATTCTCTCCCTGTGTCAAAAACTGAAAGCTTTGATTCAGAGAAGAAGAAAAGCTAAGAATTGTGAAGAGAGATCACATTATCTGAAAAGACAGGCAATAGGAGAAAGGAGGTGCTTTTTGTCTGAAACACCATGAGCTAGCCTTAGGCTTCAATGAACTGATAGGAGGAAGAGGAGCAAGCTACTATTAGCCTGCAAACAAATTTCCTACCAAATGGGTCAAATAATCTAACCTTCAAAGAACTTCTTTGTTAAACCATGCCTGAAATACCAAGACATAATCCAGCGCTAATAGACAAAAGATATACCTGCCCTAGCTCAAATGTTTCTCCTGCAAGGGTCAGATAAACCAGATACACAAGGGCATTTAGGCATAGCAGCAAAAACCCTTATCTTCTACCCATGTCTTCACCCTCAAGAGTTCCTACTGCATGGCTTTTAAGGAGACTGTACAGTTAGCTATTATCAACAATATTTTTTTCACAGCATTCCTTAAATTCAGCACTGTTCCTGCAGTGGCGGCACCACATTGCACTAGAAATCGCATGCATTTGATGTGCATGATATTAAAGGTGACATCTGCAGCAAATCAACATCACAGGCTGTCATAGCTCTAGGCACCTCATTTAATTTCTTCTGGGATTTAGAAGCTTAGAAGTTGAAATTGAACAAATAGGCCCTGTTCTTTGAAAAATGTTCAACTTGAACTGAGCACCACCTTTTGAGAATATTTAAGAGCTCCTGACAACAGGACACTATGAAGAGACTGGTAGCAGACAGTAGCCATTTATTCCCCTATTGGGGGGGAAATTCCCTGTAAGTAAATGATAGGAAAATCTGAGATAAGTATCTCTGTTGTTCTGCACACATTCAAAACTCTCATCCAAGAGGATCTTTTCCTCCCAGGGAAACTTTCAGCTACAACTAACATGGTAAACAGTCCCTAGAGCAGCAAACAGTCCCTAGACTATCAAATGGTACTCACTATGGGGCTTTTGAAATGCCACAACACTTCAATAGACCTGGTGGCATTGTGCAAACAGTTCCTGCCTCACTAGCCTGCTGTAACTGGTTTCTCAAGCTAGGACATGGTTCTGCCTTTGTATGGAGACTGTTTGTAAAACATACAATGCCCCCCTCTACCTTACAAGTGTGCTCCGCCTTTAGCAACCAATGCTAGGTTTTCTAGGCTCGGGCAAACAGTGGACATATCTGGACAGCAATAACTAGAAATATGCTTCGGGAAAGACCACAGCAGGGGATGAAAACAGCCCTCCTCTGCTGTTTGCACCTCAGCTAGGGATGTTCAGAGAAAGACAATCTTTGAGATTGGGAGGCTCTGTTTAGCTATCATATTATGCAGTGATACACCCATCCTCTGTAAGTGTGCCACTCTCATTTTAAAGGCATCTAAGCCTGTGGCCCTCACAACATCTTGCAGCACTGAATTACACTAGGCAAGATGGAACAATGAGAATACTGTGCAAACACAGAAATGATGCTTTACGTTTATGGAGAAGATATGTTTGTATTTTGAGGCTATTTCCCGCACCATGCAGGATCAGCAGTTAGGAATTTGAATCTCACTTTCATTGACCAAGAGCACTTAAAAAAACACAACTGAACTCACATTTCTTGTTTACAATGAAGGCTTGGCATATACTATGCAGTGACAAAATAGGAAAGATGAAACATTTTCTAAAAATGTAAAAAAGAAGCAGAAGTATGAGTGGCATGCCCAGCAAAACCTCTCTCTCATCCATTGGAGGGAGTCTCTGCAGCAAGGCTAAAGGAAACTGGAGGTTTTGAGGAAGCAAAGGTAACTCTATAGTTGATGCCAAGAAACAGTAACAAATTCCTTAAAATTATATTTTATGAACTAATGTTAACAGGAAAAACTTGGCTGGCCAACAATAGATGTTCTCTGTAAAAAGGGTTTGTCTGCACGGGTTGTTACCCAACCCCTGGAAACAGTCTCATTCTAATAGTCGATCTCATACAGCAAGGGTGGGGAACCAATGTGGCCCATGAGGCCATTTCTCCCAAACCACGCCTATCTGCCAATGTCAGTAGATCAATGGGAGGATGGGGTTTAAGTCTGGCTTGGCTGTGTATCCTGTTCCCAGCAGGATGCAATCTCTGCTCAATTATCCATGGGTGGGAATTATATCCTGCTCAGAAGTGCTGTTTGAGGCAGCTCATGTTCTTCTCCTACAAGTACGCAGGCAGCAGCAGTGGTGTGGGGAAGAAAGGTCTCTCACACTCTCCCCCCTGCCACTACCACCTGCTCACAAGAGAAGTGTGCAAGTGGCTTCAAACAGTGATTTTGAGAAGCACTTTAAGAGAGCCCCATGCTCCTGTTTCAGCAAAGGGTTGCATAAAAGCACTGTTTATTTATTTTTTTATAAGATATTTATTAAGGTTTTCAAAATATTACAATATAGAAAAAGAAAAAAGAAAAATGCAAAAATAAAAATAGTTAAAAACACTTCATTCTTTCCATTACTTATCCTTCATTTGCTTATTTCCCGGACCTCCTCACGCCTCCCTTTTTTGTATTCCAGTTCAGTTTGTTAGTTCAGCAAATCCCTCCCCTCTTTGTATATCCTAGTCGTTAATCGTAAAGTATTATAATTTTAAATTTTTACCTATTAATAATCCATTTTTTCATATTCCCTTATAACATTTCAGCTAAAGACCACTTAGTTTCAATCCAACATCATTCTAACATTCATTAATTTTGCAATATTTCTGTAAATAATCTTTAAACTTTTCCCAATCTTCTTCCATCGACTCTTCTCCCTGGTCTCGGATTCTGCCAGTCATTTCCGCCAATTCCATATAGTCCATCACCTTCATCTGCCATTCTTCCAAGGTGGGTAGATCTTGTGTCTTCCAATACTTTGCAATGAGTATTCTTGCTGCTGTTGTGGCATACATAAAAAAAGTTCTATCCTTCTTTGGCACCAATTGGCCGACTATGCCTAGGAGAAAGGCCTCTGGTTTCTTCAAAAAGGTATATTTAAATACCTTTTTCAGTTCATTATAGATCGTCTCCCAGAAAGCCTTAATCCTTGGGCACGTCCACCAAAGGTGAAAGAATGTACCTTCATTTTCTTTACATTTCCAACATTTATTATTGGGCAAATGATAAATTTTTGCAAGCTTGACTGGTGTCATGTACCACCTGTATATCATTTTCATAATATTCTCTCTTAGGGTATTACATGCCGTAAATTTCATACCTGTGGTCCACAACTGTTCCTAGTCAGCAAACATAATATTATGTCCACCATCTTGTGCCCACTTAATCATAGCAGATTTCACCGTTTCATCCTGAGTATTCCATTTCAACAGCAGGTTATACATCTTTGACAAAGTCTTAGTTTTGGGTTCTAACAGTTCTGTTTCTAGTTTTGATTTTTCCACCTGGAAGCCAATTTTCTTATCCAAATTGTATGCCTCCATTATCTGATAGTAATGAAGCCAGTCTCGCACTTTATCTTTTAATTTCTCAAAGCTCTGCAATTTCAATTTGTCTCCTTCTTGTTCCAAGATTTCCCAATATTTCGGCCATTTGGCCTCCATATTGAGCCTTTTCTGAGCCTTTGCTTCCATTGGTGACAGCCACCTTGGGGTTTTGTTTTCAAGTAAGTCCTTATATCTTATCCAGACATTTAACAATGCTTTCCTAACAATATGGCTTTTAAATGCTTTATGTGCTTTAACTTTGTCATACCACAAATATGCATGCCACCCAAAAACATTATTGAAACCTTCTAAATCCAAAATGTCTGTGTTCTCAAGAAGCAGCCATTCTTTCAGCCAGCAGAATGCTGCTGATTCATAATAAAGTTTAAGGTCTGGCAGGGCAAATCCACCTCTGTCCTTTGCATCAGTTAATATTTTAAATTTTATTCTGGGCTTCTTGCCCTGCCAGACAAATCTAGAAATGTCTCTCTGCCACTTCTTGAAACAGTCCATTTTGTCCAAAATTTGCAATGATTGAAACAAAAATAACATTCTTGGCAATACAGTCATCTTTATAGCAGCAATTCGACCTAACAAGGAAAGCTTCAAGTTTGACCATATCTCTAGATCCTTTTTCACTTCTGACCAACATTTCTCATAATTGTCTTTAAATAGGTTTAAGTTCTTAGCGGTCATATTAACCCCCATAAAAGCACTGTTTAAAGGAGAATGGGGATGGATATTTCAAACAGCGCTTTTGGAACTCAGTACCTAGCAGCTGGCGTGAAGGGAGAACAATCCTCCTAAAAACTGGGCTTTCGGTGCATGTGAGAGCTCTTTGCCGTGCCTTGCACTAAGCAGGATCCCCACCACCTTTGGTTGATGCAAGGACAAGCGAACCTGTTTGGTGCAGGAATGCAAGAGTGCACCCTGCAGGGAGCTCTCTCACATGCCTGAAATTAGCATTAAAAGAATCCCCCTCCCTAAGCACTGGCTAATGTGAAGGGTGAGCAATCCTGCTTGCTCTTCGAAACAGCAGCAAGTGAGGCTTCTCTGCTTTTGCTTGCAAAATATAGCTTTATTTCTCCCACCCCAAGTCAAGCGAAGGGGAGAGGAGAAACAAAGCTAGGTTTTGCCATCCTTCTCCCTTGATCCAGGTACCCCAAAGGCTGTATTTTTAACACACACTGTCTGACTTCTTCAACTATGCTGGAATCCACCAACCTGTCCCTCTGTACACGACTCCCTTGGCCTATAATGATGACATGATGACCACGAACATGACAGAAATGTGGTAGGTGGCTGAAGTGCCACAGCAAAACAGCATTTTTTGGGGTAGGGAGAGATAATGCTGCTGCAGCTTCTATGGAGGAAAAGTATTTTGTGGGAACAAGCAGTTTGTTGTTGGAATCCTGCTAATTATTTCACTTATAAAAGTTGCCACCTTAGACCATTCTTGCTGTGACATATTCACACCATCTAAAACCTGAGGAAGTATTTTTTGTCCTTCCGAACGATTGTTTAAGCCACTAAATGGAATCACACAAACTAAGGTTTATTAAATTAGGTTGATGGTCTGAACATGGACCTGGACCTGGACCAGTTCAAGCAGCCAGTTCACTTTCTGGACACCAGTGTGCATCTATGCAATAAAAATACAAGCATCACCTTATACCAGAAACCCAATGCACATTTGTATTCTAACTTTCACCACAAAGACACCACAAGATCCACTGTCCATAGCCAAGTCTTATTAAGAGAACTGCATCTGTTCCAACTTGTTGGACAGGGACTCACACCTTTAGGATTTACATCAGGCATTTCTTAAACTATTAACACCCACCCAATGAAGTGAAAAAGCAGGATCATCAAGGTTATACTTGTATCCAGAAATAATCTACTACAGGAGAGTCCCGTAAGGGGAAAAAATTGACAGAACACTACCTGTACAGCTCACAAGTAAACCATGTCTGCGTAATGTCAAGGATCTACAGGCCATCCTGAACAATGATACTGTTTTCTCACAGGCCTTGAGTTGACTTATCCTTGCTTAAAGATAGCTACTCTCAAATTCAAGGTTCTGGTTGACATATAAAGCCCTGAATGGTTGGGGCTCTGACTACCAGAAGGAGTGCCTCTCCTGCCCAGGGTCTGATATTTGCAGAGATCTTTTTTAGGAGCTGTACATGGACGCAGACCCTACTGCAACCCTAGATGCCTGAGTGTTTATTAGGACAAAGTTGATGCACTATTGTAAGACCTAACGTTAAGGACTCGTGCACCTGCTCATATTCCTTTGTAATATATTGTTACCTGCCAGCAATGTCCTTCTACATAAAGGTCAGTCTCTATGCAAAAGACGAAACGTTTGCAAATCAGACACTAGAAATGGCAGCATTCAGAAACCAGTAAGAGTACATTTCAACATCCCAGAGCCCTGTTACTAACCTGAAAAATTGCATTCTCTGAAATTATTTTATACGGAGACTCCAGCATGAAATTGTTGAATTAGAACCAAGAAGTCCAAGTCTGTTCAGGCTTGAATACAGACAATAGTTTCCTGTTCAGTACAAATGTTGACTAACAATTGCAAAACTTAGGATAATTATATTATCACCAATTGCTGCTTTTGTGAATGTTTTTCCCCTTCTCTTCAGGTTTATAGTTGTGACAATTTTATGTACTTGTTGCTGTTCACAGCCATTTGGCCCCCTTTTTTCTCTCTCTCTCTCTCTCTCCCCCCCTTCTCTATACCCATACTGCCAACAGTGTATAATACTACATGTATCTGATGAAATGGACTCCAGCCCATGAACACTTATGCTAATAGAACACTGATGCCATGGGACCCTTTGTTTTCAATTCTCTGCAATGTACCTACCCAATTCTGGACAGACATTGCCAAGAACAGTGCCTCCTTCCCTCCAACAGTGGAAGGGAGGGAGGGAGGCCTGCATCTTCATACTGCTAATGGACTGTCTTATATGAATAGCAGCCAGGAATTTAATGGGGCAAGAGCTTGCAAACTTGAGAGAGCTGACTGTTTCTTCTCTTGCTAAAAATGGGATGGTGCAGCAGAGTCATTCAAGCTTAGACTGTAGAATCAACCCTATGCTGGTCCCTAGAGAGGCTAAACATGGCTTAATAGTGCCTCTCAACACCTACCAGAGGGTAAGGCACTATTGCCTTGTTTTGCTTCAACAAACCTAGGGGATGATTTGCACAGTGCTATGTATGTACACAAATCTTGAGAAAGTGATAAAACTGCTAAATGCTCGCCTCTGGATAGCCTTACTAGAACAGAGCAATTGTACAATATATTAAGTCAGCTCTCTAAGTTTGTTCAAGCAACAAGTAAAGCAGTTTGTGGTGGGTGTTGGTAATAGTGTTGGAATGTGCTTGTCACAATCATCACACTTCCCCTGTAAAGCTACACTACTCAAGGGAGACTTGAGGAAATGACACAAAAGACTCAACCTGCATTGTTCCACAAACCTTTAGCATATATTGGTATTCCCAACATGCCACTGAGACTTGGGGAACTTTAAAGAAAAAAATTGTCATTATTTTATTGAGAAGAAATTACTCTTCAGAGGTAATCTCAAAAACTGCATGTCAGAGACCCTTATTTTCTTATGAAATGCTTGGATAAGGATTTTTATGAAGAGAAATCCTTCTTTATCAACGTAACAAAAATTTTTGGGCATGAAACCTAAGAGTGATTCAATGCACATCAAAGACATGGACCTTTCAAAAAGGTACATCAAGCTCCCTGCTCTAAAAATAAGAACCCAAGTCAAGGCCTGTTAGGGATTAGCCTTCTGTTAAATATTAAAGAAAAGTAGCTAACAGGAGGCAAAAATGGCTGAATAGTAGGACATTCCAAGGACTGGTTTTGAGTCTGGCTGGTTAAGTACAGTTGCAACTTATGTTTGCTTTTTTCACTTGATGCTATGGTTTTCACCTGTTTTGCCACATTTGTGACTTGTTTCCCTATGCTGTTGCATACCACCTTGGGACCCTACATGACAAAGGGTTAAATAAATAAAATATGTGTTACAGCTGTTGCTATTATTACTGTTATATAGCCAAAGCTTGAGAAGAACTTGATAGCAAGGGTGATCAACAAAATGGCAGACTGAAGCCTTAATAGTGACTTCAATGTGCACAGTGGAGCTTCTCACTTCCCATGCCAGGCCTGGTTCAAGTGCTGCCCTGCATACTTGCTTGACAAGCCAAACGCCAGGCACTTTTGAAAGCAAATTTTGAATGCGGTATGAGCAGTGGCTGCTGCAATTTCTTGTATATTTCTTCCCAATGTTCACATATGCAGCTACACTTAGAAAACACCAAGCGCAGAATTAGTTGTTACCACTACTTAAAAGGCAGTACCCGTTTCTCACAGTGGCCAGCTCCTGGGAAGATGGCAAACACAACATAAAGGCAAGAGCCCTCCAATACTGTTGCTCCCAAGCATATTGTTGTATTCACTGGCATAGTGCCTCTTAACATGGCTCATGGGCATAGCCGGGAGGGGGAAGCTGCCTCCCCCCATTAAGTAAATAAATAAAAGTGCTTAACTAAAAGTCGAAACTGTAGAAAGATTTTTGACAGATTTTTCTGAGCAAAAGAAAGTGATTTAAAACAGTTGTTGAGACATTTCATTCCAAATCTGCCAGACAGAGGATGATGACAGGTGGGTGTCCTGCCTCCCCCCCCCCCAAACATAAATCCTGCCTATGCCTATGGCATGGCTGTTTCATACACCCATTATGGCTTACACCTGTTGAGATGCCTATGCTCCGCAACTAATCGGAAGTTAAATTTTATTTGGAAACAGATAACACACAGCAACATCAAGAGGAGACATTTTTTACACTGCTCATACCTGTAGGCATAATCAGGCATGGCAGCAGCCTTCTTTGGTTATTAGATTTTTATCATTGTCTAAATTGTAAGAAGTGACTGTGTCAAGGTGGGGAAGTTTTGTATTTGCGGAGGCTCCTTATAGGGGAAAGTATGGTTCCAAAATGTGCTGGAAGCCTCCATAGATATTAAAGGCTCCCCCACTAGACACAGTCACCTTTTACAAAGTGGAACACGACAAAAACTGATGAAGGCCAGAGCTAGAATACTCATCCCTAACAGCCCCTGTTTTCCTTACCCACATTTCTTACATCTGAAGGCAGATAGTGTTGCTATTTTTAATACTTTAATAATAGCTGGGAGGGGGTGGCAGGGGAGATCCAACCAGAATCATAGAACTGGAGTGTGTTTTAACCACTCTCTCCACACCATTCTTTCTGTGGGTCAAAACATGCAGATATTAGAAAGGTATTAATTTCTGCCCAAGACAAATGACAGCCCCAGGGAGAGGCATTATCCCTTTCCTCTTACCCTGTAGTTTCAATGGGGGGAGGCATGGCTGTGACTATTAAAATACTGTTTAAAAAACCAGCTGCCTACTGTTGTATCTAGTCTGGCCCTGAGCTGTAGAACTTTTCTCACCAGCAGCATAGTAACATCCAACAGCAAAATCATGTTACAAAAGATGGCTAAACATGTTAAAGGGACTGTAAATTACAGGACTGCTTTTCAAATGAGTTTTCGCCTAGATGAAGGTGAGGTCAGGCTCAGCACACCACTTTCTCCAACATGTGTATTTACAGCAAAATGAACATTTGTGCCAGTTTCAAAATAATGATGTTCGCCATTTTTCTTACCTTTCACATTATATTGTTAGATGTAAAAATATAAATTCAGAGTGGGCAAGCAACAACTATGCATTTGCAAATGCCTGTTAAGCAGATAAAGACACAATGGAGCCAAGAAAGGGGTGGTCCTTTAATAAAGCAAAGGCACTGGCAAATGCATGTGTGCTGCTACATAAAGAATGAAGCAGCCATTCTATTATTTCGGGAAAGGGACTGTCTTAATGCAAGTTCTGTCTTAGCTTTTTAATGCTTTGACTATTCCTAACACCATGGACTGACAGATGCTGGAAGAAAACAGGAAGAAATGGAAAATGCTGTTTTAATAGCTCCAATGCTATTAAAATTTTTGTATGTGGTTTCTATGACAGAAAGCCCATTACACAACACTGGATAGGCTATTTGTTTGACCCAGCATGGCTGTTTTAATGCTCACCTGAAGCATTCACTCTGCCCCCAGGAAGAGGTTTGCCTTAGCAATATCTTCAGAAAGAGGTGCTGATGCTTTTGGCAGCCATTATTCCAGAGGAGGTGAAACCGTTGCTGGAAGCCTTTGATCATGTACAGCATTAGTATGAGTGTTACACATCAGAGACACTGCCACAGTAACTAACATACAAACAGAAGCTTAGTGCTAACAAATGAGACTTCTTGCTTGCTTAGCATCTTTGTGGCTCAAAGTGATTTTCTCATTGAACAATACCGGAGACAGTGGAAGGTGTTAGGGAATTAAGCTAGGCTGACACAAGGAATCCTGAAGTTTCAGCTTTGTGTAACTGATTAGCAGGTATAAAAAACTTGTAGAAAAGTTTTCTTCATGGACTTTAATATGTAATGCTAAAAAGCCTCAAATTTTGTGGCCAAAAAACCTTAATTTGCTATGAGATTATTATAAAATCTAAATAATATTAAGTTGCACTCCTCCCCATAATACTATTTGGGGGAGCATATAGATTCCTAAACAATCTGGAATTGTGTGTTCTAAGTTGATGTTAGGGAGCTCAGCAAGTTCTGAGCTTAAAAAGGTGGAGAAAAAGGTATGCAACTGCAAGAGAGTATTAAAAAAGATATTGAGGAAGAACTATGAGCTGTACTGAGGGCAGAAGGCTCACTTTGTGACTAATGGATGCTCTCTGTATGAAAAATGAATAGTATATGCATCAGGTACTAGCAATGGCAGCTTGGGGGGGGGGGTCTGAACTTTTGGTGTGGAAGCTAAAACCAAACATGACAGAAGCCTTCTTTTGGTGTTCAATCACCTCACATGTAAGCAAGTGGGGCCAACTGTTGAAATCAAACCATGAAGTCAAACAAAATGGGGTCTGTAGTCACTGCAAGTCAGCTCATCAGTGGCAGCTGCAAACCCCACTTCCAGCAGGGACTGGCTGCACTCATGAGATCCTGTGTAGAACCAATCCCAGAAGCGGATTTGACACCCATTTTAAAAGGCACCAAATAAAAGCCCCCTCCCAATGCAGCTGCGTCTTTTTACCTGCCTCACACCTGACATGTGACGTCAAGTGTGGGGTAAGTGGACATGGATTGGGGGAAATTGCCTCCAGAGGTATCTCACCGCTGCTGTAAGCCATTGGACGTGTGGCTGTCTTTCAACAATGTTCACTGAGGCAGAGTGTGTGCCTATTAACAGATACTGACTGCCAGGGATTTTATTATTTCAGAGTTAAAACATCTAGACTGGATTTCAGTTTGCTTCCAAGGTTTTGTTTGTTTGTTTTTACCAGAGAAGTGAGTAGTTTGCTTCCAAGTTAAATGCAAAATACTGGGTTATGTTTTGTTTTCCTTTTAAAGCCTTAAACAGGCTAAGGTCAGGGTATCTAAGAGCAGCCCTGCTGGATCAGACAAGGGGATGAGCTGCTTTTTCTTGCTCAATTTAATTCACCTTCACCTTGGCAAGATTAGTACTTAAAGTGGAGCTAATCAATTCTTGGTAAACACACCTTGTTCCTGTAGAAGTATGACCATAGGGTTTTTGGCAGCTGATTTTCTGTAAGGTAGTAGTAATAGAAGGAAAGGTGCTTTGGAAACATGAGTGCCATATTTCCAAAGAAGGCATACAAAACACTGGTTGACCTCTGTCAAGATTCAGAGAGCACAGCTGGATTGTTGACTGCTAAAAGGTTTAAAGATCTTTCTATAAGGATGTACATTGTATTTAATTTATAGCTGAACATTTACATTTCATCATGTTCAGAATCAAGAAAAGTCCAACCTGGATCTTCCTTAGTTCAGTCACATGCTCACCTTTATATCCACATGCTCACCTTTACATCCATCCTTGAATCACAATTTCCTGGTGGTTTTTACATTAGGAAACATAATATAATCCTCTACATGTCTACTCAGGAGTAAATCCCATTATGTTATGTGGAGCTTATTCCCAAGTAAACGGGCAAAGGCTTATAGTCTGAATCTTACTACATTCTCTTTTGTTATCATTATCCAAAACATGCTTTCCATTTAGAGCCAAATACCTTTATGCTTCTAATGAGGAGTCAAAAGCACTCATTTAGAGGTCACATTTTTTACACTTTCATACATCTCCCACTTCCTTGCTAGACAAAAATGAAACACAGTAAAAGGGCTGGGTACGAGTAGTCACTGTTAGGTACAGAATCGGACGGAGAGTAAATGTGGTTGGGTGTCCAGAGCACACCCAGCCCCAACGAGAATAAGCAATTGGTAGTTTAGTTCTTTGTTGGCAAAACACTCAACTACATCAGCTCCTAAGGTGCAAGGGATATACACAGCACTCCTACTAATTAGCTAGCTAGGCACCTACTTCTTCAGCATTGTACTCTGGCCCAGACAGTTGGAGCAACCATGCCCCTTCCAGCTCACTTAAGCCCCCTCACACAAGCAACTGGCGACTTCACCTGCACAGCAGCTCCAGCTGCTCCTGTCGCTTTAAGCCCCTCCTTGTCCTTGGAGACAGCGGGGGAGGGACAGAGGAGCCCCCCGCAGCTGCCTGCCCGCCCGGACTCTTCCTCTTCCTCCAACCCCAGCTCCTGCCTCACAGGTGGCACAGAACCCCCCAAATCACTGGCCTCTTTCCCTGCCCCATCCTCCTACCCCCGTGCCTTCTCTGCTCACCCCTTGGAACTCCTGCTTGTCCCTGACATTGGGGAATTCTTTATCTGATTATACAAAACCTCTGCTGAGGACAAATGTGCTCTTTTATCCCCCCAAACATGGGTTGTGCCAAGCTGCTATTTCATTTCGAAAACTAAGAATATTCTACAACTACAGGTTCACCTACTAACCTGCTTGCTCTAGGCCCTAACTACTCATTCTAGCTTTCCTATATCTGTGAGTTATGTCTAATTATAGGGCAGGTAGCAGCAAGAAGGACGGCCAGAGGTGCATGAAACTGGGTAAGGTTATTTCCAAAAATGCCACACCCACAACCAGCAAATGTAGATCATTCTTTGTCTATTCTGAAAAGGGTCTGTACTTTCAGTCTGTGCTTTCTTAACAGCCAGAGCACTAACTGATAAGCTATACAGGGCTCTTCAATACATTCCCACATGGACAAATCCTAAAAAGCCATTATATGGAGCAAATATTCAGAGGCCACAGGCAATAATACAAGAACCAGAACAATGGACTGGATCCTTTGAGTGTCTATCCTAAATCATTAGTGTGCTGGGAAAGCGAATCCATTTCTCAGAAAACAAGCTGACAGGGACTTCCTACAGCTCTTCAACATGTTCTAAAAGTGTATCAGGCTCATATGCTTTAAGAATTTTTTTTTTTTTTTAAAGTCCATACCCAGCCCAATTGTGACACCTACAGGAGCAAAGAACTGAAGGGTTCTTAGGAAAGAAATGCATCTTGAAAAATGTGAGGGGGCAGAAATGGCCACACATCTAAACTTCCTGTCCTTTTCTTAACTAGTTGTAGATTATATACACAAAGCTACAGCCTTTGAAAGTATTTCAAGATGAGAAAGAGTCCTAACCTAACTGTATCTTGTGAGATACAGAAGCCATGCAGAGTTTCATCCTTCATAGGCATGGATTTCACTCAGTTGTTTCAAATAGTTCCTCTATTTCCTGCCCCCACTAGCTCATCCTAGAGGATGTATGCAGTTAGGATGGCTGGATTTTAGGAAGGGTGAAACATACCCAGTGTACAAAGGGGCCAGGAGGAGTGCTGTCATTTCTAGGAATTCATGTTGTGGATATCTTAAGAAAAAAAACTCTTAAATCAAAAGTGTGTTACAGTTTCATCTTAAGGGAAGAGGAATTCTGTGCCTCTCTCCTAAAAAACCAGGCCTCTTCACAACAGCGCCCTAGGCGAAGATCATTTTGCAAGGTTCCCATTTCTGCAGTTTTGATTTTCCTTTTGAGTTTTTCAAGGGTTCAAGTATTGTAACCTTATCTTCTAGGCTGCGTTGTGCTGCTCAAAAACAGTAACTACAAGAGGTAGCTGCATTGCAGTGGTAAGAGAGGGAATTAGAGGATGCAGAGTTTGTAAAATGTTCTGGGATTCTGGGAGAGAAAATTGCTGTTCACACAGAAGAGAGTATTAGAGACTGCCATTACTTTTTGGCTTTAAATTCTCTTTCCTAAACACTTCAAAAGAAACTGCAGCAGAATGCAAAGGCTTCCTTGGCCTAAAAATAATATAGCAAAATGAAGGGAAGAAATGTTCTTTTGGGAAGAAGGAGTGACTGCAGCAAGATGGAAAGAGGACGAGAGGGCTCTTACTTGTAACCAAGGGCCATGCGCTGCATATGGATGCTCCTCTGTAGCAAAGGCCCCTTCAACTCCTGTTGACACAAAAGTGATTGCTGTATCTCCCGTAATACTTTTGTATGTAAAGTGCCGTCCATGTAATAGTCTGCCCCTGGAAGAGTAAATATAAACACTCATAAATGTGATTTCTAAATCCACAGTATCTTCTCCATGTGACACACTGCTATATCATAAGCACTAAACTACTCAAGTCTCACAGCAAGTAAGAACATTACTCTAAATTCACTGATAATAAAAAAGTAAGGCATAAGTGGGTGAACATAACATGACCACAGTAACCTATGATTAAGGCCCTTGCTGACTATTTTGGCCCTGGGTAAAAAAGAAGATGACAACTTAGATTTTACCTGTGTTTCATTTTCAATACTGATGAGCGTAATGCAGCCTCATGGGTTCACACCACAGGGAATTAGCTCCTACACTACTGAGTGTGTTATAAGGGAGCTCAAGTGAAAGCAATTCCATACCAAAACTCCACTTTCGATAACCACACTCAATCGTACTCTTCCTCACTAACTGCAATACACAATCTTTCATAAAGCAATCAAATCAGCTGATAATTACTTAGGATTCTATCAATACAGGGCTGTATATTGGACTAAATTATGATAAAAGCAGTGCCTTGTATACCAGTGCATTATTATTAGCATGTACATTCACAAGTGAATGTCACATGGACAAAATGCCTTGTTAAATGGTGACAGTGTGCTTGAAGTGACAGTAGCAAGAGGGTGGTAGTTCACAGAAAGCTGTAGTTCACATAATTATAGAGTTGGAATTGACACCGAGGATCATCTCGTCCAATGCCCTGCAATGCAAGAATATGCAGCCATCCCATACGGGGTTCGAACCTGCAACCTTGGAGTTATCAGCACCACGCTCTAACCAACTGAGCGAACCAGGCTCACTACTCACCTTAAACAAAGTGGAATCAATGCTCCTGATTCCTGGTTGAATTTCAGGTGCACACTCTCAAGCTGTCTTGTGCGAATCAACTCATGAGGAATAATTGTTGCCGAGCTTTCACTTTCTAGGCTGTCCTTCCGACTCCTAAGAGAAAGAAAAATATAGGCGTGAATTTAGAGCCCAAGACCAATACCCAGCTTTACATCACTTTGTAAAGAAGATTTTTATTAATGGCAAAGGCAGACAGCTGTGCCCTGGAAAATGGACAACACACTTTTCCAACAGAGAGGAGCATGGGTGTATGCAACCATCCTCAGCAAAAGTACACTATGTTCTACCCTCCAACTTAATATTCCAGCGTATCACATGCAATTTTGATCCAGTAATTCTGGCTCACAGGCAGCTTATTCTCCAGCTCTCTAAATACATACATACATACATACATACATACATACATTTTTACTTATACCCCGCCCTTCCCGGTTCAGAAAACCGGGCTCAGGGCGGCTAACAACATATTTAAAACACTTAATTGATGCAACAAAAAACCGTAAAATACAGTATAAAATGTGAATAACAATAAATTCAGAATTCAAAAATCAATTTAGGGGGGAAATCCATCCAAAAATCCATCTTCATGTGCTCCAAAGTGGTAACAGTAAGCATGGGGGGCAGTAGGGTAAAATGTGCTAGGTCCACCACTATTGCCTTCAAACCTATGAAAGCATTCCAATACACACAGGAAGCCACTACAGATACAAAAGCCTTCCCACTGCAGACAGACATTCTCCTTTCCCAAGGCAGAAGGCAAAAATATAGAGAGAGGAGGGGTGAGGGATGAAACAAACACACTTGTTCCTGCTGCCTCATCTCACAAGTTTCAGGACTTTGAGGCACCTGAAAATGGCTACACTCTCATTTTAGTATGATCTATATTTTTTAAAGGTGTCACTCCTGCTTTCTAGTATCCAGGCTATGCTTAGGTCTTGTGATTCTTTTGACTGGATTTGTGCCTCACTGGGGAAACTGGCCAGAAGTGTCGAGGAAGGGTTGACAAAAAATTTCAAATCCAAGCTTTTGCACAAAATCATGAAGACGTTTGTCAGGATTGTATAACCTGAAGGTAGTAGCTATGGGTTGGGAATATAGAATCATAGAATTGTAGAGTTGGAAGGGACCCTGAGGATCATCTAGTCCAACACCCTGCAAAGCAGGAATATGCAGCTGTCCCATACGGGGACTGAACCTGCAACCTTGGGGTTATAAGCACCACTGAGTTTTGCATTGCATGTGAACAACCGGCTGAGAAGTGACCTGAAGTCATTTCCCTGCTGGAGGAATCACTTAGAGATGGTAGCATACCATGAAAATATTGGGAACCTGCTAGAGCCAAGCTCCTGCAGTATCCATATTAATATTTGTATGCCTACATAAATTTGTTAAGTCATCCAACCTCTCACATAGCCAAGATGTATGTAGCAAGCATGTCCCGCTGAGTAAAATAGGATCATTCACAAGTAAATATTCATAATATTGCCTTTTCACAGTTAAAGACCCACAGGCATATTTTCCAGAGAATTTTTCACTGCGCAGCCTAGCCAGATCCTATCACAGATGGCCTATTTTTACAGGCATCTTATAAGGCACTGTGAATATCCTCTTCAATGCAGAAACAACCTTACTGCCAATTTTATTATCATAGTGAGCTAGAATCAGTGTGAGAAGATACTGATGCCTCTAGACATCATCTGTGATGATGGAGTCACTAAAGGAAGAATGACCATGTCTGTTAACACTTAGTATTGATTCAAATATACATTCACACACAACGGTACCTGAAGACGTGAAACGTCTTCCTAAGTGGTACTCAACTAGTCTGGTTGCCTTAGAAGCAAAGTTTCAAACACTGTTATATGGAATTTTTAAGAGATCAGGTCACTTCTTACAGTGCTGCTTGATTTACATATAGGAATTAGTGAAGGTGTATATCAGGAGCACAGTCTGAAGGCAGTCTGAGGTCCAAACACAAGGTCAGAATGAGAAGCAAGATCTGAAGGCAGTCTCAAGTCCAAACATCAGGGTGGTAGTGAGAGGTCCTAGCAAACAGTTTGGTAATCAGGGGATATTTAAGTCTAGGAGCTGGTGCACACATTGTTCCAGGACTCTGTCTGGAACTGAAGGCCTTTAAGCCTCAAGTTACAGAGCCCTGACTTGTGAAGAGTGGCTCATTCTCAAATATCTCTTTGCTCAAGTGGATACTTTATTCCTCAGGCAAGTACCTGCAGCTGGAGATTGACCAATTCTGCACCATTAGGTACCTGCACTCCTGAGGACTAGGTGGCCACTTGGCATCTGTCTCTAAGACAAAGATGGGGTTACCTGTCCCGAGGGCACAGAATCAACAGATCTCCTTCAAGAGCCATTGCCAAAGACTGCACCATTGTGATTTTAGCTTCAGGAACTCCATGTGAGCCCTCAAAAAGGATTCCTCCAGGAGGGACATGACGTTGGATCACTTCTCAGTTAGCTGGTTGTTCACATGCAATAAATATCCATAACTACTGCCTTCAGGTTATACAACCCTGACAAACTTGGTCATGATTCTTTGCAAAAGTTTGGATTTGGAAAACTTTGTCAACCCTTCCTCAACACTTCCTGCCAGTTTCCCCAGTGAGGCACAAATCCAGTTGAAAGAATCACACCTAAGCCGGTAAAAGTTTTATTAATGCCAACCTCTCTATAAGATAGAGGGACGCAGGTGGCGCTGTGGGTTAAACCACAGAGCCTAGGACTTGCGAGCGCCGCAACCCCAGAGTCGGCCACGACTGGACCTAATGGTCAGGGGTCCCTTTACCTTTACCTCTATAAGATACTAGCCATTCTTTAATAGACGGAAGGCATAAAGAAAGGATGGGGAAGCTACGGTTCTCTGGATATTGCTGGACTCTAGCTCCTAACATTCCTGGTTATTGGCCACCCTGGTTGGGGCCGATAGAAGAGCCCAACAACATTTGAAGGGCCACTGGTTTCTACCCTGATTTAGATGACTATAATCTAAGGCTGAAAAAAAGGAATAAATCTCTCCATGCAAATAGTGAAGAAAGATGTGAACAAAACCCTTTGTGATTTCATCTAAGGCAAGCATGGGGTATACCGTATTTTTCACTCCATAACACGCACTTTTTTCTTCCTAAAAAGTAAGGGGAAATGTCTGTGCGTCTTATGGAGCAAATGCATGGTCCCTGGAGCCGAACTGCCCAGGGGCGAAAAGCAGATCATGCTTTTTTTACTAAAAAAAGAGGAAAGGGGGTGTTGAAACAAAGCTGCTGATCGTTTGCCAACCGGGGAGAGAGATAAGGGATGCTAGAGATAAAGGAGGCTGCCTGGGAGCGGGGAGGTAAAGACAGCAAATTTGCAAAGGGGGGAAACAGGAAGACTAAAGCAATAAGGAGAGAAATTAGAAGAAAAGGAGGAGCAAAAAACTACTCCAGCTAAGGAAAAGCCACTAAGGCAAACAAGAGGGAAGGGAGCGTTGAAAGGAAACAGCTGATTGGTGGGAAGAGAGATAAGGGATGCTAGGGGAGGCTGCCTGGGAGGGGGGAGGTAAAAGCCCATGGATCCTCAGGATTTTTACACTGGGCCACCCCAAATTCACCATCAGATCACATAGCATGTTCATGGCTACAGCCTGCACCAAAAAAATCACGCATCCACTGTTTCCTGGGGTTGCAATGGCGCAAAACCGTGGTTACAAAGCACAGCTCCACATGGATCCTCAGGATTTTTGCATTGGGTCACCCCAAATTCACCATCAGATCACATGTCTGTGGACACAGCACGAACCACAAAAATCATACATCCACTGTTTCGTTCAGAATATTTTTTTTTCTTATTTTCCTCCTCTAAAAACTAGGTGCATCTTATGATCGGGTGCATCTTATGGAGCGAAAAATACGGTACTTTTCAACAAAGGGCCACAGATTCCCGTGGGCAACTTTCCAGGGTGTTCATGCCAGTCATGCATACAGCCAGATCCAAAAGCAAGTAGAACAATGGATGTGACTCTTACCTTTCTTTTAACAGGCTATATCCCAACTATGTACAACTCAGACATTTCTACACATCTCCACTCTGATAACCAATAGAAATGTCAAGGACACATTCCTTCAAGGCAAAAGCACTTGATCAGGGTACAGAGCAGGGCTAGTGAGAAATATGGATGGGGAGAGAGGCCAGAGATTCCCCACCCAATTTAATGAACCCTGGCAAGAAGTGCAGAGGAGGATGTCTTCCATGACTCACTGATTTATTCCAGCCCACCATTTCAGAACTGTTGCCATGTGGGTCATAGAACATTCAGGTTGATACAGCTGGAACCTCTGGAGAAAATATATTTCACTCCCCGCCAAATGCTTTCAAACTAGATAGGATACAGAACTGCACTGATGTATAGCTGGGCCTTTGTTTTTTAAAAAACCAACCATAGCACGGAGCAGACTCTTGAATAGTGAGTTTGGCAGTTTATCATTTTGTTCTAAAATAACTGAACAGCCAATTGACCACTAAGTTACGCTTTCTTGATCTCCAATGTACATTTAGCAAAATTATCCTGCTACCCACACATTCTATTTATCTGACACTAACTCCTAAAAGCAGCATATAGTCACCAGAAGAATATTAAATTTTGGCTGTGAGTCATGGAAGACTTGCTCCCTGCCTTACTAGCCTGTTCCACCTGGAGGGCAGAGCCCTGACTGACTCCAGCTACAAAAGCTGGGGCTGCTGAATAGACTCTTGGGTTGGGGTATTGTTTAAGAGGGATTGTTGGGGGTTTTTGCGCTGTTATATTATTTTTTGTATGTTTATGTTTACATTTTATTTATTTACATCTTATTCATGCAGAAATTGTTCAATAATGGTTGTGTACTTTTGATATGCTTTATTCGTTGTTTTTGACTACTTTTGATATGTTTGTAATTATGTAAATCTTTACAGGTGTAAGCCGTCTTGAACATGGTTTTAACTATGGAAAAACAGCATACAAATTACCGTATTTTTCCGTGTATATGACTGGGGGGGGGGGCTTTACCAGAAAATTAGGTTTAAAATTGGGGCTTATCTTATAGACAGGTAGTGCTAAAGTGTGTTTTCTTAATTTGGAGTCTCCCAAAATAGGGGGCATCCTATACATGGAAAAAATACGGTAAATGGTGATGGAGAAATTTTTAATCCCTAAGTTGCAAGCTAAGAAAACAGTTGCAAACCTTATGGACACTGGAACCAAACTGTCTTTACTCTGTAGTTATAATAAAAAATGAGATTAAGTATTCATCGTAATGCTAAAAAAAGGGCAGAATTCATGCTTATACTCTGATGCTCCAACTGTGACAATATATTTGGCTCTAGTGTTAAAGCAGTAATAATGGCAGCTGTGTGTTTCTCCAGACAGCAATTTACAAGTAAATTTACAAGTTTTGGGGATTAGGCTCACATTATGTTTTTGTATGAGGTCCACTGCTGAGAGAACCCTAAACCACAGGAGTTCTAGGGCATATTGGAAATAACTGTATCCACTTAGATTTACGTAGCTGTGCTTCTGTTTACAAAACTCCCAAATAGAACTGTTCTTACTGTAGATTGTGCTCTAGTGTTAACTTGCCCGCATGAATTGTGTTTCAGTGCCAACTTCTCCATCGCCAAGCCCTAATCACAAGATCAGGTTCATTCATCTTACTGAGACAGGGGCTGCTATTGACCAGAGCACCAAACTACACATAAAACAACAATGACCAGAATGCAAATGCCATGTTGTCCAAATGTAGTGTTATGCAGCCAGAACCGCTGTAGCTGGGTCCACAGAACATCATAGATCAATAGAATATTCCATACTATTGTATATAGGTGTCTCTGCAGCTTCAGAAGCCCATATCTTTTTCTGGCAAGAGTGTAGCTGCACCACTATCAACAGCATATGTTGTGTATCTGATCACAGGTTACATTATAGTTACATATTCCAGCGTTCATTCTGGACTGCTACAGAATAGGCTGTTAGCATAACAAGGGATATTTATGTACCATATTTTTTGCTCTATAAGACACACTTTCCCCCTCCTAAAAAGTAAGGGGAAATGTGTGTGCGTCTTATGCAGCGAATGCAGGCAGGAGGCTCTGCTCAGCGCTCCCTTTAAAGATCCGTACGCACACTCTGCGCGCTCTTTAAAGGGAGCGCAGCTCTTGGGGGAGCCTCAGCCCCTCCTGGGCAGGGGATGAAGGCGCGCGGCTAAAGAAGAAGCCAGGACAGCGAGTGGGATGCATCCCGCTGGCTGTCTTTGCTTAAGCAATAGCCGCGCGCAGCCTCTCCCGGCCAGAGAGGCTGCGTGCAGCTAAAGAAGCCAGGACAGCAAGCGGGATCCCACAGGCTGTTCTAGCTTCTGGCTTAGCCACGGGATAAAGTCTCCGCAGGGGAGCGGGGAGCCTTTATCCCGCTGCCCTGCGGAGGCTTCGAGCAGCTATCCCTGGCTTTTGCAGGAGGTGGGGGAAGGGACAGAGCGCGCGGCTCTTGCGGGAGGAAAGCCAGTAGGCTTGCTTTTGCTGAAGCCAGGAGGGCAAGAGGGATCGGTGCGCACCGATTCCACTTGCTCTCCTGGCTTCAGGGGTAGCCCCGCAAAGCCTCCTGAGCGAAGATGGAGGAGCGCTCCCTCTTAGCTCAGGATGCTTTGCGTTCCTTTCTTATTTCTTGTTTTCCTCCCCTAAAAACTAGGTGCGTTCAATCGTCTGGTGCGTCTAATAGAGCGAAAAATACGGTACTTTTCTTTCTCAGAAAAATGAACAGAACAGATTTAAAAGTCCATGAACCCTCCACATGCCTTTTGCTGCTGCAATTTCCTCCTTAAAGCTCTGCCAGCTCCAGTATTCCAGAAGTCTGTTCCCCTAACCTGAACTGTGCCTCATTTCCTGGCTTGACCACATCCTGATGAGCTTCTTCTCAAAACATGACAATATATTAAGTCCCTGGAATAAGCTCCCCATAACCCATATGTGATTCAGATTTGCTAGTTCTAACTCTTAAACCAAGAGATTTTCTTTACAGAGTGACTCCGGAAGCGTAGAATTCCCCATATAATTTGTCTCCTAAGTGAAGGCCCTTCTCTTTGCCTTGCCAACCTTTGAATGGGAGGGTACTGGAAGGGCCACCCACACATTAGAAGTTCAATAACCTACACACTAAGCTGAAAACCAAGTATGCAGGAGATTTCCACATTCTTCAAGCATGAATGAAAATCCATGCCTGGCCTTTGGAAAAGAAGGCAACCTAGATAGTGGGGGGGGGGGGGATCAGTGTGGGAGGGGAGGAACCCAATAATTCATTACTGCACTCTCTTTTATCTAAAAATTATAGTTTTAAAAATGACAATTAAGCATGCCTTTTGTTTCAATTACTTGTATTTTTGTGACCACCCATCTTGGCCTCTCCCTGCTCCTTCCCAAAAGCGCTAGTAAAAGGTGGCACAAGTTTTCTTTTTTGCAGTAACTAGCACGTAAAAATATTGTAAACATCTCCACCAGACTGAATGCTTCACCCAACCAACACAAATAATTCATGATCCTCGGTTTGCATCCAGAAAGAAATGAAACAAAAAACTGACAAAAGCCAAGGCTGCTGTGTTAGGAGAGGGAGAGCATTTGAATGAGAGCACTGTGCCGGAAATGCCCCAGTTTGAAGACTGCATATCTAGCATTTTATGGAACTGGAGGGGAATCTGAGATTAAAGCTCATTCCCTAGTGATTGAAGGATTGTGGGAGGTGTAAGTGTGGGCAGTTGTCAGATTAATTCTTTAGATGATTAAATTCTTTTTGTTTCTTTAAAGCTGTTTGTAGTCATGTTTGAAGTCTCTTCATTCTGAGCGAGTGTAATGCTGCAGTTACCAAGGTGACTTTTGCTGACTTTCAACTATTTCTTCCCCCATCTTCTGTTCTTACCAACAGCCTGAATTGGTTTTTAAATCTTGTGAACTGAGATGAACAACAGTGCTGTTAGCCGCAGTGCTGTTAGCTGCAGCCACATTAGACTTTGGCACTGGGCTTGTGCAGCAGTTGGCCAAACTGGTAACTTGCAGCAAAACCACATACTGCAGCATCTCCTTATCTTTTTACTATATGCAAAATGACTGAAGAAACAACCTGGTTAAAACACGCCATGACCACATGCACAAACCTGTAACCACTGTATGTCCTCTTGCCACATTAGAAATGGATGGCTGAAATCAGCATCCCTTTATGCCAATTTGTAAAAATCTTTAGACCCTTGGAGATATTCCAACATTTACTTGCTACACAAAGTTTAACCATTCCATTCTTGGTTTAAAATAAAAAAGTCACATGCACAAAACTACTGCAGACACAGAACTCCATGCAAACTCTTACTTTGAGGAAAACTATATTTTGCAATTTTATCCAAACCAGGCAAATTCTAGTTTGCAAAAGCCAGAGATTGCAAGCAAAGCAGAGTTCACAGGTAGCTGAAGAAGGAATCTAACCACACAAATTCAAGGCTCAATAATATAATGCCAAACCACAGTTTGATGCTACATTTGAACTGACACTATGTCCATTTTATATGCTAGGATAGTACAATTCAGCAAACAGGGAAATGATAATTAGATGTTAGTAGAGTTTAACTTGCATGTAGTGCAACAACCTTGGCACTGTGAAAGTCAGTCTCCTCTGCTTCACAACTGAACTGGAAAAAAGACAGCATTTGAGCACTATTAAGCTGAGTAAGACATTTATACTTCAATTTTGCCATATTCATAGTTGAGAAAGCCTTACTGCCTAGAATATTGCTTTGGTTAACCCATTATTTAAACTGCTTTTAGATTCTCATACCACACAACTTCCCTGTGTTTCACCTGAACAAATGGTGCACTCACACTAATTCCATGTTGTTCAGACTACAAATGATCTTTAGAACATTCTCACTGAGAAAAGGTGTTTAACAGATACATGAAAAATAATTTGAATTGCATTAAACTAAGTCCTACTCAAGAGTAGAACTGGCACCAACCCTTTTATTTCTAATCCCATTTTGGGGTATTGAGACCATGGGTTTGATCTGCATCTCCTAGATTTCTAGTGGGATGCAGAGGCAGCTTTAAATATGTTAAGGTTTCTGGTGCAGGATTTATTGTACTGAGAACAATTAAGAAGTCTGGCTGATCTTTGCTACTCTGAGCCAGGGCATTTCATACCAGCCCATTATGCTGAAAGCGTGCTTAAGACTGTTGCCAGTTCTGACAGTTGTGTCCCGTGCTAGCCTTTCTTCTGACATCCATCACAAAGTATGCACCAGAAAGAATAAAATACAGCTTCAGCATACACAACCATTCTAATACTCCAATTTTACTACATATACCAGTTCTATCTTATCCATTATTTTGGGCATTTTATTTGGCCAAGAGGCAGAGAACTAACCTTTTCCATGATGGTGTATATTATGATAACTGGAAGTAAGAGAGCTTTTCATTTTTCAAATCCTGACTGTTTGTCTGAGGTGCTCCCACGGTTCCCCTCATTTTCCTTAGAAGCTGCATATCTTAACTCTCCATCTTACTCATTGATCTGCCTTGCCCTTGCTCCAACACAATATGCAATGCATGGCTACCTAAACTGTGTTCTAGCTGCATCTGGGTGGGCTTAAACAATCCAAACCACCACCCTTAACAATACCCTAATCCTAAAGATTTGTTCTGGTTCTGAGACTCTGAAAAAAGTCTCCATGTCCATGACAGTACACTGCCATGGTTGAATTTGCTCTATTTGCAGGTGAAAAATGCTTGGGATCAAGCTATTTGAAAGGCTTGGCATAACATAGTTTAAGAACTCCTTTCCAAACTGAGAGCAAGAGTACTGGGTAACCAATATGAATACTTTTTGCAGGTTTGCGAGTCATACGTTTCAGCATATACACTGAGTCAATAAGTGCTATGAACAAAAACATAATTTTGATAATTTTGTCTATAGGCCTCCACTTACTAGGCTAATGAAAAAAGAACCTACATCACAGGTAGCAATAACCTTCTTTAGTATGCTCTGAAGAGTTTAAGATCACACACAATGCAAGATATATTGCTCTGGTAGGGAACTTGTCTTCAGCTTAAAGTTTGTAGACATAATACCATGTGCCACTATCCTTGGCCAAACCAAAGTCCAATCCAAAAGGTAAATTCTGTGGCCAGTGCCAGATGCTGCTGATCAAGTGCATGGAAAGCTGCAGAAAAAACCAGTCTTCTTTAAACAAACAAAACAAAACAAAACCTGAGGATACTAGAGGCCTGTTTAAGAATTGCTGCAAGTAATTTAGGCTGCCACCATAACCTCACTAACCTGGGAGTGAACCCCATCAAATTCAGTAGAACTGAGTAAACATGGCTAGAATTGCTCTGTTAGATAAATTACTTCCTTTCAATAACTTTCCTTTGAGAGAAACTGAAACAGTAATTAGAAAGAACACTCATAACTAGTGTTCATGTTAATCCACATACTAGCTGCTTTATCAATAGTAACTGGTTCTTCATATAGCTCTGAGAACATATCCAAAAGCATTTACAAAACTGAAAGTCCTTTCAGCTATCCACCAAACTGAGCACACATACATCCCACCAATCCCCCCAGAACACAGGGAAGTAGCTGCATTTGATTCATGCAGAATACAGGAGAATATTTTCCATCACTATGTGCCATAGGATCAAGTAAAATGGCAAAGGATATTGATTCCTGTGCTTGTTTGCTCCCAGCAGTTGCTGGAAGCCAAGCATGTGAAAGGATTCTCTGTCACACCCCTTGGAGGTAAGGCAACTGGGAATATGGCAACAATCACCATGCCATCACTTCCTTACTTCCACTAGCTTAAAAGGCCAATAGCTCAGTTCAGAGGTAGGTCTCCTTACATATCTGAAGCCCAAAGAAGCAACATTCATGCAGACATGCAATCCCATCTCTAGCCCAGTCCAGCATAGACTGTATTGCAGTTTATTGATTATGCAACAGAGGGCGATCTAAGGCTACTTCATGGAAGAAAGAAAACAAATATTCCCTGTTAACTGTTATTCTTAGACTCTTCTGTTCAGTTACACACACAGGACTGAATCTGCACAGTTCCCCCTTCCTCTATAACCATCTGGAAGCAAATAGTAGGGCACAGTAGCTTCTCATTTAGTTATTTCACACCACCGAAAATCTGCAATTCAAATCATGTCAGTTGTATTCCTCTTGAAGAGGAGAGGAGTACAATGCAATTCCAACATAAAAGGTAAGAATCTTCATTTTCTTCATGACGTGCGATCCTATATACAGGAGACCAGCAAACTAGCTTACATGGGAAAATCTGTCAATTACACAACTTAAGAACTGCCTGTTCTATTGCTGCAGCCTCTCTTGGAGGACCCTAGTGTAGGCTGGATGATCTTTAAGAAGATTAAGAAAGACCATGTTGCCCTCCTGAAATGTCTGTTAGGTATTAGCCTTACCAGAAAGCAACAGAGGATAACAAAGGCAATCAGCCAGACTACTGTACATACAAAGTCTACATCTCTGAGAAAGACTGGCAAGATACCAGCAGACCTTTTTGCTATTGGCAAAACCTGTGGAACAGCTGGGAATTTTGATAATTCCTGGTTCTGATTAAACGAGAAAGTAAGGGCTTGACAAAACACAGTGTGGAGAGAGAGAGAATGGAATACAAAGCAAGTAATAAAGGCTTCTTAGGCTGCATCAAACCTATCCTACAACAACCTCTCATGTTCCTTTGCTTGTTCATAATCTTATTCTTTGCTAACAGTACACACCACCTCTGTGGAGTTTATTCAAACACCCTCAAGACTCATGTCACTGCTCTTTATTCCAGTGAACTGACTTGTGACTTGGGTTCTGAGATCACAAACAACCTCCCTTTCAGTGAGTATACCAACCTGTCACAAGTATTTAGAGCACTCTGGAACAGCATCTTTGACAAGGGTATAAACCACATGTTGTCTGAGAGCAATATTCCACTACCATTTTGGGGTGGTTCTAAAATATACATTTTTGGGGAGGGATGAAAGTAAGCTATTAAAGTTCTAACAAACTATGACAAAAGGCACTTGGAAGTAGTAGTAGGTGTAGTAGTAGTCGCAGCAGTTATTATTATTTAATGAAATTTATACTCTCCTACTGTAAAGCCCATCTAAACTTAACTTTTAAAAACCCCACCCCCTCTCTTTTCTTGTGACAGGCAACAACAAACTTCCTTTTGTGTACCTGGAAATTATCATTTTGGGACCACCCTACTCTTTTGTAAGTCTTTGTACATCAGAGGCCAACTTTCCCAACCTGGTGCCTTCCAAATATTTTCAACTACAACTGCCACCAACTAGCACAACCAATAGTCAGAGGGTGGTGAAAGCAGTATCAAAAACATCTGGAGGACACCAGGCTGGTGAAGCCTATCAGATTATAACTACCTGGACTCAGTGCATCTCTAGGAAACACTGAAGTATGTGTTTCTCGTTCGTTTTGCTGGCATCCCCACTGTCTCAGGGATAGCTTTTATTGTTAATCATTAAATTGCCATTTTGTTACACTCTCTCAATAAAACTCCATTTGCGTTCTTCTCTCTGTTGTTCCCTGTATGCCTTACACGAGGGCACTGGACTAAAACAAGGCAAAGCTACTCATGCTACACTCCTGTGTATTTTAATAAGTGAGCTAGTTTCTGAGTCAGCTCTACCAGATGGACAGCAGCTTATCCTCTGGCAGAACAGGCAGGGATGCAGTGGGAAAGTGTCTCCCTAGCACACGTAAAGCCTCAGTCATTTGTGTTCAGGAATATTTTATTCCCTGAACAGAGAAGCCATCTGCAGACGTGTTTAGGGATGTGTGGTTAGAGCAAGCTGGGGCAGGCAAGTAGAGACAAGCTATATATACTTCTGATATTCCTTTGAAGGGACAAAGCCCTACAATAAAGGAAATGTACCGCTAAATCAGGAATCAAGTAGCAAATTGGCAATGGATCATTTGCATTGGTTCCAGATGGGTTTTCTGGCAAGATTCAAGCTTGTGTATCTTGAGTTCAGAACACAAAAGTCCACAAGTTATTCCTGCAAGGAATAGCACACTTAGTGTAGCCAACTAAATTTTACTCCGAGTAGGGCAATTAACTTAATGGATCAAAGTTAGCCATGCTCATTATTTTCAACGGGTTTACAATGGGTAAGACTATAATTTGCTACAACCCAAAGATAGCAGAATTGTTGATGTTGGTGCTGCCTCAAACAGGGCACTGTGCATCCCTATTCATGCGCTTTTAAAAAAACCATCAATGCCATGTGTAAGATGAAATATGAAGATACATGTCTTTCAGGTCCAAGGGCACAAACTGCTCAGTGGAGCAGGATTTCTAGCAAACAAGGCATATGGAGTTCTACGTGGCCAAAACATGTTCAACAACAAAAGATCTAATACTGGAGGGCAACCATCTGCCTATCTTGGGAACTGCAAATTAGTAAGAACAATCCCTTGCTCTCCTCCCCAAGGGGAACTGTTCTCTCACTCTTCAAGAGTGTTTCTGACTCCTGCAGAAGGAAGAGATTCTGACAATCCTTGCAATGTCCTGGTCTCTGTCAAGATGATTAAGAAGACTCTGTTAGAACTCTATAAAGAGCAACTGGTTCTGAACTGGATGGACACAATGTTCCAAGTAATGGATTCCCACACTAGAAGGATGTAATTAAGCTGATACCCATACGAATGGCTGGCCAGGATGCAGTGCTTACAGATAAAGTTACTAAGGCTCTGTCTCTCATGGGAAGTCCGAGTTGGCTACGCTTTTTCACAGAGTTTTAACAAGATTCAACAATGTAATCCTCTCCAAGGTATACTGAATAGCAAATGTAGAAGATGAGATCTTGCCCTCGGAAAGACAGTGTTTTTTAAAATAATTCACCCCTTTGAGTCATCTACAGATAGCAGACACTGACAGTGCTAAGAATCACCTTTGAGAACAAATTCTGCTCCTCGTTACTATCACAAAAGAGAGTACGAAGGAAAAACATCAAAAAAAGCAATGTATAATAGTTATACAAACAAATTTCAGAGTACAATGCTCTTCTTTATTGCTACTAATGTACTGGTCATAATCTCATGTGTGAAGTGCAAAAGGCCTTCAAATGAAGGGAAGGATGAACATATGCTTCCAAGAAGGCTCTACTATTAACTGGATGGCAAGCAGGAGAAACATAAAATACCCCAAGCATCAGTGACAGGCCTCCACATTTACTCACTCACTTGCAGTCCATAAGTAGTCATGCTTATGTTCTTTTTTTGCAATTAAGTTTCTTAGTTTATCAATATTGCCCCAATAATAGCCAAATTATAGCAATATCAATTAATTTCATAACAATATCAGTTAATTGCCATGCTTATGTTCTGCCCACCCCCTATAAGATCACTTAGGCCTGTTTTGCACAGCCCCGTTTATTTAACCCATTAGTATCTATGTTCCTATCTGGCCATCATCCACTTTGCTTATATCATCTACTTTGTCAGTCTGGTAACACCATGGATGACTTAACTATCAGAGGTCCTCACTGTGTAATTCTTGGTCATCTGTCTATAAATTCTGAACCTGCTCTAAAACACAAGCCTACCTTTATGTTGCATTCTCCCTTTTCAATTTCTGTCTTTTAGATTGTGAGCCATCCAGAAGTATTGCATAAAGAGCTATCACCAGGTTAGAAACATTAAGCCAGTCTTTCCTTCCATTATTTTCCCAAGGCTAAGCCAAATTAGACACATCTTCCACCACCTCAGGACCCAAACACAAAACTAAACTTACGGAGCTCTGTCATTATTCAGTCCATTCTGTCTCTGATGGTTAATTGGGGGCAGAACAGGCTTGCTGTTAATCTCAAGTCCCCTTCGCAGAGTCTCCCGGATTTGCTCTGTATCTGAAACGATAGTTTAAAAACTGGGTCAGGTTCAGTTCAGATGGTCCTCCAGAGCATGGACCGGAAGATTAGAAACAAACTTCACACGCTTCCCCACTCATATGGCTTCCTTCCTTTCCTGCACTAAGACAAACTATTCTTGGCTGATTTGGGAGCCGCCGAGTGGCTGGGCAACCCAGTCAGGGGTGTGTGTGTATGTTTGTGTAAATTTACTGTTGTTGTTGTTATTCATGGTGCTTACCCTCCAAAGCACAATCAGAAGCTATAGAAGAAGAAGTTAAATGTAATTTTGTTTGTTTTAAAAGAGAGTAGTTGTGGGGTGGGGGGAGATGAAACACCACAGAACCGACACTAACTGCTGAGCAGCACACAGAGTACAAAGTGATTCAGGTTTGCTATAAATAAATGAGCAAAAATTGAGAGGGTTGGGAGAGCTAAACCTTGAGTTTTGGGCTTTGAATTTAATTTGATATAACAAAAAATTCAAGTTCCATACGAAGCAACTTTGCTCATAAAATAATCATATTAAATTTAATGAAGACCTCATAAAGCACACCAAATATCTGGTTTCCGGGTTTAATACATAACTTGATGCAATACAGCCTCCCAATTTCATACTTTTAGCCATGCCTTCTACCACTTTTAAAAATACCTGTGATTATCAAGTATGTGACTTGTAAAAAGAATTTTTAAAAATAGGGAACTATCTTCTTATAATAGTCCAAAAACATTATATTTTTTGTATGCTGACATCGGATGAAAACAAAAGATCAAGGTTGTAATGGAGGAATACTGCAAGTATTTCAAGTTGTAAACAAATTGTACCTATTTAGAAACACAACAGTGTGAGAATTCCATCCAACTTAGCTGTGATGCCGAGAAAACAACCTTCCGAGTGGCTTTCCGGGTTCCCTCTTACCTTTCCCAGACAATCGTCGGGGATGTGTGCCAATGCAGATACTTCTACTGTCTTCGTCATCCTCTGGCGGCCGGCTAAGATCATCCCAGGCACACTTAGCACTGACACCACTCAGGTTCGAACCGTCTGTCTCAATCCCTTTATCAACTCTGTCCTGCTTAAAAAAGATCCAAAACAGCCAAGTCTTTTGAAGCCAAAATCCCACCTGTGCCACTACAGGAACTACAACCTCATGGAGTATGTTTTCCTAGATTGTGGTTCACCAACACAGAGCCTGTGGATGCCCGCAAGTCTTCAAACTCCTGCCTTGTCATCCCACCCCCCACCCCGGCTCCTTGAAATTAGGCTTCAAAGCAGCCTTCTGGTGAAAACAAAGGAAAAAAGATTCCACTACCCTTGACAAAAATGCAACTTAACAGAATTAAAGGGAAAACATTCAATTCTAAACTGTATAAAAATAGATTTTTAATATTCCATAAGATAAAATGAACAGTATAAATGAATATAAATATAAGCGCTTCTTTTTCACTTACAAGCCACTGCCAATTAAAAACAAGGGCTTCTAAAAACAAAACAGCCAGACACATTTCAACACGGAGTCTTTTTCTGTGGCTCAGTCATTATTATCTAAGACAAAGGTAAGTAGAAATCGTTATAGTCAAAATCCCAGACAGGCAAAACATTATTTCAGAAACAAAAATATAGTTCAATTACTCACCCTTATGCCTCATTAAAAAAACTTTTTAAACTGGAATGATAACCTAAGGGTCCATACATTTCTACAAATCAATGAATTCCACTGAAGACATATAAACACATTTCAAATATCAATGCAAAGCCATTCTGGAATATTAAAATATGGAATATTAAAACTCTATATTTATACAACTTATAATGAAAAGCCTTCTAGTGTGGCCATTAGAAGACTTTTTCCAAGGCTAATTACAGCAGGGGAGGGCGACTTTGAGGGTCACAGCTGGGGAGGAAAGGGTTAATCCTCTTCTTTGGAGTGAACCTCACCCTGAAACCACCCCTCTCACCACGATTAAGATTCAAGGAAGCCTTCTATTGGCTATAATAAAAGGCTTCTTTTAAGTCTAATTCCAAAGGAGGGGCAAAGTCTGAAGTTGTCACTGCTGGAGAAGGGAAGGATTACTCTTTCCTTCCCCGCCCCCATCCAAGCAGCTGTGTCCTCCCCACCAAAACATCCACATACTCCCCACTGTAATTAGGCTTTAAAGTAGCTTTCTACCATAACATGTCCCTCTGTCCCCCAATGTAATTTATGGGGTGGAGAAAACTGTGCATGTGTGATCTCCTAGCTGAGGAGCCACAGTTAACTCTTACCTCCCCAGCTGAACTCTCCAGGAATATCACAGGCTGAAACACTTTCCCCCCCAAAAAAACTAATTGCAGGGGGGAGATGGGATTGTGTATGCATTTGTATGGTTGCCATGTGAGCACTTGGTGGTGTGTGTTTGGAACCCAAGGTAGAGTCTCTTGTTTGCAAATGGAAAATTGGAGATCCCCATTCTACATTTTATTGGCAGTCAGCACTTGAGAAATGAAGGGCTTTTATACTGTCCCACATTGTGCTAAAGGAAAGGAAATGTGAGCCACAGCTTTTAATTCATCAAAACTAAATTTTGCAAAAAGTTGTTACATCAAGAATAGGTTTCAATGAATCCTCAATACATCCTCCCGACACGCGTCACTTGTGATTATCAAATTTCCCCCTTTGAACAATGCCTGACTGTCGAAGAATCAACCTCATAGTGATTCTACAAGGTTAAATCTGAATATCTGAATGAAAAGTTCTGAACATAGTATTCCTGCATTACATGCAAACCAGAAATTCAAAATGTAGACAGAGCAACTTAGGAAAATTACTTGTGTCAGCTTCTAAAATTCACCACCAGATGATGCTGTTAAGCTAAATATAGCAGTGAAGGGAGCCTTACAAGGAGAAGCAACTGCAGCAGTTTAATGTAAAAACCAAGGAGAAAATATTTATTCAAATTTTCTTTTCACATGTAAACATATACACTCAACTCTAATGGAACTACATTTAAGAAACTTATTTCTCTGCTGCACCAATCAAATATGCTTAGCTCTTTGGCATGGTGAAAATTTCACTCTGGCCTACCAGACTCACACATGCAGTGTTTCACCATTTTTAATGCCAAATTTGGAAAGGTAAGCTTCTCCTACTACAGCAACAAAATTCTGTATTAAATGTATTTATGAACAGTTTGACATTGTGCTTTATTAAGAGCTGTACAGAGGTAATTGCTTTTCAGCTTTTTGTACTGTATGGTTGCTGTGTTGTTCAATATGATCTGAAGAGAACCAGAGTATGCTGTGTTGGTTATTATGTCCTTCTGGTGAAGGTTAGTATATAAAATTCTTCATAATTACACGTGCTAAATTTCTGCACAACTGTTAAAGGCACAGGAACCCTACTCTGTCATTGTCGTACCTTGTAAACTTGCAGAGAAAATTGCATGTAGCAAGTGACTTCCCCATTCATTCCCACCCTCTCCAAAGCACATGTGCACTAGAAAACAGACAAGGCAGGGAAAATAGAGGTTCAGTAGGGTAGGAGACTGAGCTGCTTGTGGCCCAGTTGCCCAATATTAAGCTGTTGAAATGAGTTCAGGGACACTCAGTGAAGCCAATCACACTTTGATCAGGCAATCAGTGATCTACAACCATTGCCTCTAGGAAATGGTATTTCAAAGATACCCAGGTTGAGTCCCAGCAGCTTCTGACAGTAATCAACAAGTCTATCCTGAGCACATTCAGTTATCAGAAGGTAGCTGTTCCTCATGACTAAGAAAGCAATGCTCTGCTGTCATCTAGGACCAGATTGAGTAGTTACATACTTGCAGGTGTGGATCTATTTCAAATATGGTCTCTCCACGTCGCATGTCTGTTATCAACCATGGGCCTCCTGCTCTATAAACAAAATCAAAAAAGAAAAATAAGTGACTATACTACCATTGCCCCAATGCTTCTAGGTCTCCAATGATTTTAGTGCAAATGCAATAAGGGACAGAAAGGAAGGATAAATTTGGGGTTCTGGATGAGTAATTAGCACTTCTACCTGTCCATTTTAGATGTTGGATTATTGTTAAGCCTCTAATTCAACTACAGAAAATGGACAATTTAACTACAGGATGGTAATCTGTACTGTGTTCCCATTTATCGTGAAGAAAACAGACCCCAATTTTCCGTATGACTGCAATATCTCACAGCAAGAGGGTAAAAATGGTTGTAACATCAAAGAGAGACAGGGATCTTCATGGCCTGGACTTACCCTTCCTGCATATAAATGGCCCCTCAATTCGAAAGCAGAGAACAATTAGCAAAAAAATTATTCATGTCCAAAGATAAAAGTACAGAATTGGAAAGAACCTCAAAAGTCATGTAATCCTTATACTGTCAGCATTTTCTAGAATTAAACTGTACAAGACAGATGACAAACCAGTTTTCTTCGGATAATACTCATATTGAGCTTCTTTGTTCCACAGCTTTCGTTCCTAGAAGTGGAAATTCTGTAATTCATGTTTAAGGGTGGAGGGCTTGTATTAAATAAGAGCCCGAGCACTTAAATACTTTTCTAGGGCAAAAGGTTAAAAATTGATAATGGAATTTTAAATACAGAAAAAGCAAATGGTCAAATATGCATTTCTAGATTAATTTAATTTCTAAAATAAAAGATACTCAAACATTCCCAAGCAGAGGTGGAGAACCTCATATGTGGGGCCCAAATGCAGATCTTCGGGTTTCTGCATCTGGCCCTCAGGAGCTCCCAACTAAGTCATGTGTCTCTCAAGGTCATAACCCCACCAGTTCTGCTCCACACAAACCTTAAGGGCTTTTGCTTGGATGGAAAGTATCCTTAAACTGTACTAGTGCTTCTTACTTGGCCTGGATGGAAGTGGGAGAGATGTGGGTGGGTGGGACACTGAAGAAGCCTCTTAACTTTGATGTGGATGGAATGTATCTCACAAAATGTAGAGAGGTATTCTCTGCCCACCCATGCCTCTTACCCTGCCCACTTTTGCCTCCAGCATGCACCCCTGCACCCAAAGTTCTCTATGAGGGTGTGTAGCCACTGGTCTGAACAAGGTTCCACAAACTTTGAGCAAAAAGACTGAAAAATTCAAATTGAGCTTTGACATCAGAATAAACCATGTCAATGTATATGCAGATATCCCAAACTACATAATTTATTCCAGGTGTAGAATTTATAAGCTTTTATGATTGCATTCATCTTTATCAGGCAATATTTCTTTAAAGAATATTTATAATACTGTTATTAGTTAGCTGGCAATGCTGTACTTACACAGGAACAGTCCGAAGCAGTTCCAATATACCCTGTCCGTTCCACTGCTGTGCTGCATGAAGCTCCTCTGTACAGACGCCAACAATCTGGAAAAGGGGTTAGAGGGGGGGTACACACTTGTAACATATAATAGGATCAAGTTCTACATTGGAGTACCATATCCAAGACTTTGAGACTCTGGTTATACACTCTTTTTTGAGAAATCCCTCCTCCACCACGTTTCATCTAGATTTCATTTAGCATGAACTAGATTTACTATGAGGGACGCGGGTGGCGCTGTGGGTTAAACCACAGAGCCTAGGATTTGCCGATCAGAAGGTCGGCGTTTCGAATCCCTGCGACGGGGTGAGCTCCAGTTGCTTGGTCCCTGCTCCTGCCAACCTAGCAGTTCGAAAACACGTCAAAGTGCAAGTAGATAAATAGGAACCGCTCCGGCGGGAAGGTAAACGGCATTTCCGTGTGCTGCTCTGGTTTGCCAGAAGCGGCTTAGTCATGCTGGCCACATGACCCAGAAGCTGTCTGCGGACAAACGTCGGCTCCCTCGGCCTATAGAGCGAGATGAGTGCGCAACCCCAGAATCGGTCACGACTGGACCTAATGGTCAGGGGTCCCTTTACCTTTACCTAGATTTACTATGAAGGATATCACAGTTGGTAGAGCATGAGACTCTTAATCTCAGAATCATGGGTTTGAGCTGCATGTTGGACGAAAGATTCCTGCACTGCAGGGGGTTGGACTAGGTGATCCTCATTGTTCCCTTCCAGCTCTACAATTCAGTGATTCTGTGATCCCTGATTGGGCATCTTATGATAAGTGCCAATTCCATAATATGGATTTGTACCTGGGGCGGTTAGATTAGTATTGACCATAGCTTTCCTGATTCAAATATCATGTCAAACTATAGTCAAAGGAAACACAGAAATGGAGAAGGAAAAGGAACAGGAAATATGTCAGCCCATGGCACATTCTCAGTCTTCCTGTCAGAACTTAGCAAGATGACTAATAAGGACAAGGGCATGGCTATACAAATCCTTCACATTTGTTTTCACATGTTGAGCTCCTCAACAGAACCATAGAGATGAAGCAACAACCTTGCATCTGCAAAGCCTAGATCTTTTCTGGAATAATACACACAGCCAACTGTATATGGAGTGATCTGTTCATTGGCACAGTGGAAGGCAATACATCATTCTGAGGTTAAACAAGTTTGCTACCATTGCAACATACCAAGCTATGCCAGATCAGTAAATATCACCAGCTGCCTCGTAAATCAAGACACACACACAAAAAAACTTTAAACACACAATAATTGCTAAGTTAACTACAATACTTCAATACTAGTTGAAATATACTTCGTTTTGTATGTAAAAAATAGATATTGCGGACTGTATCATGGTAGAGTTTTCCCGTTGCCCTGTTAAGGCCTATGAATAAGCAGCTGTAGTAGTAATATTTTGCAAAAAGTCAGGGATATCGATTCTCCCAGCTTTACTCTGTTTAAACCCAGATTTATGTATTTGCAGTTCTTCACTTTTGCTATTAATACTCTCAGAATACTTACAAAACCTCCTAGTAACTGATATATTAAGCTTAGGTATAAGATGGACACCAACACTAAACACTAAAGTTGGAAAGAATTTCAACTAAGATTGCTAGTGTATTAAAAAGATACTATGTACATAAGGAATACAGTGGTATCTTGGTTTATGAACTTAATCCGTTCCAGAAGTCCGTTCTTAAACTAAAGCGTTCTTAAACCACGGTGTACTTTCCCATAGCAGAGGGATTTACAAATGGAACACACTCAACAGGAAGCGGAACATGTTCTGCTTCCAAGGCAAAGTTCACAAACCAAAACACCTACTTCCGGGTTTGCATTGTTCTTAATCCACGTTGTTCATAAACTAAGCTATTCTTAAACCAAGGTACCACTGTACTCCAATTTACACTGGGGTCCTAAGCTGCCTGGTGACAGTTTCTGTTCCTGACACTAGCCTTTAAGCAGCTTTTACCTCAGGCCAAATTCTCTGAACTTCCACCCCAGTCAATTACTCCCACAACCCAGTCCAGTTACCGGGGACAATCAGCCTCTGTACCCCAAAGCTCCTCTTGCTGTACTTCTGGCTACCTGAACAGTTTAGCCAACTTAAAAAACCCAGGTGTGTGACCTTCCTCTGGTAAGACCCTACACAGGGTAGCCTCTCAGACCAACTCAGCCACCGGCTCCCTATTCCTGATCTTCACCAGACAAGTGTTGTTATAACAGTGGGAATTAATATTCAGGCCTCAACTTTTCCCTCAGCTTTTATCGGAGGTTTCACCTGAACCATTTCTCCATGCTTCTTAAGGCAAGGGCTAGCACACCATAAAAAAGCCCCTGGAAATCAGAATCCAAGAATATGCATTCCACGAATGAAAGCACTCCATCCAATTAAGTTGACAAGAACATGAAAATATGCAGAATTTACTCAGGGTACTGGAAAGCTTTTCACAGCTGAAAAGGCTCAGTATCATATTAGATATACATAGCAATAAAAAAAAACCCCTGACATTTGAAAAATATTATTTAAGTGACATGAAATATTACCATAATGGATGATGGAAAAGATCTAGTTTTGCCTTCACCCATGCCAAACCTGCACCTGCTTTTAAGTACCCCATAGTTACCACAATCTCATTTCAAAGAAAACTCCATTGTTCATTTCAGTTATTAGCTCCTTAAATGAATACCCAGAATATTGATTCTGTTGCCATACCTGAAGAAAAGTCACCACCCCAAATGGTGTTTGAACTGGCTGCATTTGTGGATCTTCAGTCAGCAGCATATGTTGGATCCTCGACTCACTGTTGTCTAACGGACTATGCCACGATACATGATCACCACTACAAAATGTATTTTCTGGTGGGGAAAGAGAAATATGAGCAATGAATACATATTTCTAGCTGCTTTAAAAAAAAAGATGCCTACACAAAAAGCCTTAACAACACTGAGGAAACATCCTCACTAAACAAGATATATAATTTTTCCTGTTACTGTTACCTATCATCTATGGTGATATAGTACAAAAAACAAAAAAGGAGAGAAACTGCTTGATAAAGCTATGCTGATATTTGGTGCATCAACTCGTTAATACCAACATTATAGAAAGGCAAGTAGCTCTTGCCTATGTACAGGGAATCTGTATGTTGGGGTTCATGTAAGATGAGTGGTTAATGTACATAACAACCTGCGATTGTGCACATGCACCAAACCAGACCCCACTGCCATCACATGATTGCATTAGGCCTGATTATGGCTCCAGACTGCCATGGAGATTTGCCTCACATGAGCCGCAGGGACTGACTGTGGCCCCAGTTCTATACAGTGGTACCTCGGGTTAAGTACTTAATTCGTTCCGGAGGTCTGTACTTAGCCTGAAATTGTTCTTAACCTGAAGCACCACTTTAGCTAATGGGGCCTCCTGCTGCCGCTGCGCCACCGGAGCACGATTTCTTTTTTCATGAATGAAGCAAAGTTCTTAACCTGAAGCACTATTTCTGGGTTAGCGGAGTCTGTAACCTGAAGCGTATGTAACCTGAAGCGTATGTAACCTGAAGCGTATGTAACCTGAGGTACCACTGTATTAAGCAGTATGTAGTATATTCTTCTAATTTAACATGCAAATTGCAGCTCCACTCAACCAGCTGAATTATGCATTTTAGTTATTTCAAGTCAACTGTAGTCTGGACTACATATGGATAATGTACACTGGCCTCACAAACATAATGTAGTGCCTGGTAACAGGAGGTTTGAAAGCATGGAGAAGAACAGCAAACTACAACACAAGCTTTTTTGTTGGCTCTGTCTTTAGATGCAAGGGCTCCTGGAATTTGGTTGGAGAATGGGGTTCCAGGTGAACCACAGCTGGTTTAACACACATTTCATAAATGATCAGCTTCCCCACTCAATTTGATTTTTGTATTTAAACTGCTCAACATTAGCTTTGAAGTCAAGTGGAAAAAAGAGGTTAGAATCAACTTTCTCAGGAACAAATCTTTAAATACCAGCTGCAGCAAATCCACTGAAATGCAATCACGAAAACCAGCCTCACAGTCTGTTTGAAGTTACTTTCCCATTTGGGCAATAGAAGAGGTGACAAGTACATGATTTGCACTATTTTCCTCCTGCTATGGAGAGATACCATATGATAATGAAGTCTGAAAGAATATTTAAGTAAGGTACTGATCATCTTCTTTCTTCTTGCCCGATCGTGAATGGTCACAGTGAGAGTCAGGATAGCAGATAGAGCTTTCTAAATCAGACAACACTTCAGGAATGAAGGTAAGGTGGAGCTCATCCCATTAACACATTATAGCTTGCTTGGTTCAGACATCTGGTATTCCTAATCTTATACTCCTCATACACACAAAATGTGCATGGTGCACTTCAGTTGCTCCCACTCAATGGCATGCTGTAATATGCATCAAGACTAGCATTCCTCTATTATCATATAAACTGATCTGCGGGAAGTGTTTGTTTATGGATGATCCTTCTTCTCAACAGGCCTAAAATTGCAACATTCACACCTTGAATTAACAGCCATGCACTTCTGCGATGATACCAATCTTCTTTTCATTCTAGCACCTTTTATCAGTAGATTAAAAGGAGACCCACCATACCAAGATGCTCTTTAGAAAATTCTCATGGTCATGACAAAATGAATGAGCTTTGAATAGAAACATTCCCAGTCTAGAATGCCTACGTATATTTCATGGAGAGCTCCCTTGACGTGAAATTCTTCCTCTTGCTTGAAATGTAAACTAAGATTATTTCAAGTTTATATATTGACTATGAACCTGTGACATCTAGATTCATCATACTAACTAGGCTCTAGGGTCACATAGTCTATGAGATATCAGTTGGCCAGGAAAGCTCATTAGCTCACCAACCTTCCCTGCACTACAAATTCCCAAGGCAGTGCAAGAATGCACATAAATCCGAGAAAGGAGGTTTACAAATGCAAAACAAGACAGCAAGAACTCTTTAAAAAAGCAGAGGGTTTTTAAAAAATGTGTTCTGCAACTGATGCTTGTTATTGCATTCTGATGTTCACACATCACTATATTCAGTACAAATGAACACATCTTGGATGGATCTATCATTTCAGCAAGCATTAATGAATTGGTGACCAGAAAAGTTTCAGACAAATTCTGTTCAATTGACAGGTTAAAAGACTGAATCTACTTAGCCTCTTGTGGTAACTCTGATCATCCACCAGATGTCCTCACTGTTAATTTAGGCATAAATTTAGTTCTACATTTTTTTAAAAAGCTGAATTTGACTTTTTACTTAAAAAAAAAAGCAAGCTACCCAGGATTCCCAACCTTGACTATAGAAGTCTGAATTGAGGTTTAAAATGTATTCGAAATTTAAGAAACCTTAAACCAAAATTGTGACAGTTTGCTCAATATCAACATTATCCTGATGATGAAAATACAACTGTAGAGTATGGGGAGCACCCAGATTCTGAGCACAGAGAAGATTTTACAACATTACAGCTTAGATAAACAAAAGAGCCACACATAAGCAGAAAGTAACGCCACACTAAAACCCACAAAGGTTTGTACTGCACTGTAGCCCATAAGAGTAAGGAGAAAATAATGAGCAAAATAGTTAAGTAGATTTTCAAGTCTACTTAAGATATACATAGGATTGGGTCAGAAAATGCCTTCACCCCAATGGAAACCCTTTGCAGTTTCCCAGAACAGCCTCATTGTATCATCACCAAGCTACAACAATTTGGCCAAAGGGTTGGGTGTGGGGAACATAAGTGCTGACATGAGTATAAAGGAAATGCCTCTCCATTAACTGGCAGATAAGGAAAAGTATCAGATAAGAATTGCTTAAAACTAAATATGATAAACTGTTCAGTTACACCAGTTGCATAGTGTCAAAAAAAGAACTTACTGGTTGTTTAAAAGCCTGTGTAAAATGGACTCCATATGCATTTAAAGACTTTAGTGGAAGAAGAACTAGATGTGGTTGTTCTACACCATTAAATAAACTTAACAGTCCAACTTAAATTCCAATTCCTAATACTTCCCAGGTCAGATGGATCATCCTAGATTCTGCTGATTAACTAAATGTTTTAATGATGAAGGCCTCACAGTCACAGTTCTCCAAAATGAACAAAGCTACAAAGGCATTCATTCTTGAAGCCTGTCTTTCTGTCACAATATTCTGCATGTCAAATGCTCACTCAATTCTATGCTGATCGATCCCCACATTTTTTTGCTGCCCAGACTCCTTTTCCTGAGAAATCCTAGCCATTTGGAGCTGGTTTTCAAATGCTAATTTCTCTGCTGGAGACCCACCTGTTTGTGTCTATTCGGGTGTAGACTACTTTAGAAACGTCTCTCTTCCCCACACAAACCACAAAATTCACAGTGACTGCTCAATTAAACTACAGAAAACCACCCATGTGAAAAAATGATATGAAGGCCAATTCAAATCCCCTAGAGCCAGTAAACATTAAAGCTTGAAAGCCAGGCCTTAACTCACCATACAATGTCATGCAAGATCAGTCTTTCCATGGCAGTCCCAACAATACTAAGATGAAGTTACAATCTAGAGGACTCTTACTATGCAACTTGAGTTTAGTGACAAAACACAAGTTCTAAGGCAAGATTTTAATCAAATAGCAGTTTAATAATTCGTCTTCTCTTCTGTGAATTCAGCAGTTCTAATTAAAGGGTCTTGCGACCCTAAAACTGAAGACGACTTAACAAAATTCTTGACACAGGAACAATGATGTGGAAAGAGTAGCACAAACGAGGGTGTAGGACACAACAGGGCTTCTGTCTGTACTGTGCTTACCAGATTCTGCTTCAGCCAATTAACATTTTGTTGGGAAGCAGAGGCGGGGCAAGAGGAGCAGCCTACTTAGCTGTCAGAGAGAGTTTCTGCGTTATACACCAGGTTTAATCATTCATGCCTGCCAACTTTTGAAGATATAAAAGAAAGATTTAGCTCTTTCCCTGGTCCACAGCTGCTGCTGTCCTCAACACAGCAACTACTACTACTAAGAGAAAATGTCCAAGGTAAAGCCTCCAATTATTGCAGCGACACATGTCAACCACACATAACATTGCTAGATATACTAGAAGCAAAACGTACCGGTATGTCAAACTGAGACTGGGGAAACCCAAGTACAAATCGCCATTCAGCCATGAAGCTCCCTCCCTGGGTGACCTTGATAACAATCTCTCAGCCTAACCTACCATACAAATCAGAGATTGGACAGCTGTTAACATGCAACCCAACCCTTGTGGTTAACAGCAAGACAACCTCTGGTTTGTTTCCTGCCCACTGTGCTTGAGAATAGAGTAGTCTTTTATGCAGCATGCCCTAGCACACTGCTCATTCATAAATGATGGTTTCAACGTGTCATGTGAATCATGACACTGACTGGCACTATGTTACAATCATTTTGGTTCCAGGTTAAAAGTTAATTGTTTTTGCAGGCATTTTTAAATTTTAGAATTGGCTTTATAGTCTGCTTGGCTTGTTTTTACTTTCCTCCATGACAATGATGCTTTGAAGGATCTTTACTATTTTTAGGGTATTTTATTCTTATGTTCTGTTTTGTGAGGCCTTTGTATACTGCCCTCGTATCTTTCTAATGGACAGTTTAAAATATTTTTAGTAAACAAGCAAACAAATTTCCATCACCTACGACATAAAGGAGAAGGGCAAAAGTCTGATGCTCACACTTGCTCATTCTCAAACTCCAAGCCATTTGGTTATTACACTTCAACTGGGCATTATTTTTTGAAAGAATGTCAAATCCTGCCAACAGATGGTATCAAACAAAAAACATCTTCTAGAATTAACAGAAGCATGAAACTGTTTTAGTGGAAAGTGTGAATTTCAACACTTAAAGTAGTTAAGCAATGAGGGTAAGTATAGTTTTGAAAAGCTTATGCACATGCCTATTTGCCGGTGGTTATCCATGTTTTGGGTTTCTTCCACTCAAAACTTTATATTATCACCCATTGGCTAAAATGGGGAGCATCTTCCATGCACGTACAATAATCCTGACAAGCAAAGCTTTACAGAGAAGTCCCCTATCTAACACAATACCTACACCTTGTAAATCTGAAAGCAGACACATTTCTCCATGGGGAAAAGGCCTTAAAAAATGCCAGCTGTGATTGGGTTCTTTCCCACACATTTAATTCCTACCCAATATATCTTTCTGATGGTTACAGCCTTATATTTTGCCTTAGTAATGAATAAATAAGTAGCTCCCTAAAACTTGAGAACTGTCCAAAATCAGCACAAGACCTTTCTATTTAGATGGTATGAACTGCCAGGGTTTTTATTTTTAAAGAAATAAATACATAGAAACTTGCACAGTTGTTTTTCACTAAGTATACATAGACATAATTATAATAAATTCAAATGAAAATTTAAAAAATATTAATAGCACAAATTATATTATTCATAAAAAGAGCAAGCAACTGAAGAAATACTAATCTTTTGTCACTTTCTTTCTCTGCTTTTTTTACAGAGGAAGCTGGGGGTAGCCTAGAGTTATTGTTTGCAATCCATGCATCTTTGAAGAAATTACTGTAAATATAACTAGATGTTCCAAACACAGTGATATTGCGGCACGGTCCAATGAAGTTCATGTGTACACTTCTGTGTTTAGAGTTTGAACGTGAAATAAAAATTCTGCAAAATCTCGAAGAAGCTGTCTTTATTTTGTCTTTGCTGAATGACTGGAAAGTGGGACAGCTTTAATACAGCTGACCCTCTTAATTGTCTAGGCCTAGCCTACTATCACAATGATCTTGGCTCAAATCCATCTGAATTGGGGTGCAAAACGAACATATAAATTTGTTTAATAAATAATTAATTGGAAAATCCTCACACCCAATGACTTGCATGCCAACTGGCTATATTTTTTTAAATGTTTGGAAACTAAAAATAAACATTTTTTCCACAAAGCAAGCCAAATCTAAAACAGACTTTGATGCTAACTTCTCCTGCTTCAGTCAGATGCTCAGCATACACACACCATTGACACACTGCAATGTTCTGTCGCAGAGCCCCACAGAGTGATTTTAGTTCTCCAAGGGTCATCCTTTATGTAACTAAAATAGCATCCATGCACCAGAATGACTGTGAGAAATGACACATTTACAGAAGTACAGTTTTGTTTTTTGTTTTGTTTTTCCTGGTGAAGGAAATCTCCCCATTCCCCCAATCTTAATGGTGCAATGAGGATTGGGCATGCTTATAAACTGAAGGGATAAAAATTGTGATTTTTAAAAAAATGGATAAATACAAATTATCAGTAGTTGCTTTGTACTTTGCATTCTTGAAATAAAAGAGGAGACAGCTATTTTTCAATCTGCTGGCAGCACTTTAAAAGATGCTTAAGCTTTGTAGTTTCATGAAGTCCAGGCCTTCTATAATCCTTTTAAATATAGTCCTGATAATTCACTTAAAAAAAAATAATTGGCCACTCAGGCCCAGCATTCTGGGGAAGCAGAAGGAAGAGGAGAGTAACAGTGAAGTATTCATGGCTAGATGTTGCCAACATTCTAACAGCAATCAACAGCAGAGGCTCAGCAGGGGCTCTTCTATACACAGAAGGCCCTATCATCTTACTTTCTCCAAAACAGCTTTCTCCCTAGATCATGAAAATCAATAAGGTTTTCAGCTATCAGTTGTTGTTTTTTTAAATACATTATTATAGCAGTGTGCAATATAGGTTCATTATAACCGTTTTTTAAAAAGACAAAGAGAGACACAGGCAGAATAAAAAGGCTGGAATGGATCCGCAGCTTCTGCTTGCGTTCCTTTCTGGAAGCAATGTTGGGGTGACTGGCTCCAGCAGGAGCAGTATAGGAAGAGGAGGGCGTGACAGACACCCTTCACTTAAGCTCAGTAGTGTGACCACTACTTTAGGTGTGTTTTAGATAAATCTCTGCCTGTATTTCCTCAGCAGTTTTTCAATTAACTGTTCATGATATTGTTTATATTTACCAGCAGCAATATGTTATAATTGCAAACACTTAACCCTCATTCAGAACATCTAAATAAGGATAAGGCACTTTTAGAACAAAATTTGAACTTTGTTTACACTCCAAGATGTTCTACTGTAGATTAATGGTTACTTTTGACAGGTACAAAACTGTTTCAAACAGAGCTTTTAAGTTTGTTTTTTTAAAAATGATTTAAACCTGTCACTAGACATAAATTCTTTCTAGGATGACTATTGCCTTACACTACCCCATAAAACACTTCCAGCCCTTCTAGAGTCTTGACCTTCCCTCCAGGCAGATAGAACCTTGTCTGTCCGCATACAATCTCTATCTCTGACAGTCAATTCATTATCTGTCCTCACTGACATCAACCCTTTCTAATTCCACTCAGATAGTCAGAGACCCCTTCCGCCCACCCAGACAGAAAGTCCATATCTCCAATCCCAGGTCCCTATCAAACCCACAGACAATCTCTGCCTGCATTCTCTCAGACAGTCCCTATCTGAATCTTAAATTCCATTCTCCCTCTCCCCCATTGGCTGACTGACTTACCAGCTCCCACTGGCTGCCCTCAGCTAGATCTGCCCTGCCTCTGGTCAGCTCAACATGGGTCTTTTTCTCTGCATGAAAAATGTCCTGTTTTGGCTTCTTGGCCGTTCTTTCATGGTTGCTTTGTTAGCTTTCTGCCTCTTTATCTTTTCTTTGCTATTTTCTTTTACCTATTATTCCATTTCTTTCTTTGTTGAAATAAACAGAGAAAAATTCCTGGCTACACATCCCAAAGAAATGTGCTACACACGCCTATTCATATAATATGAGTACGTCTAATGAGTAGGCCCTTTTGGAAATGTGTTAAAAGAAATAACAAGCATACTGAGTTATGATCTCCTAAGAGATGCTGAGATAATAATATTTGCATACCTTAAGGCCTGAGAAATGACAGTTTATGGACAGCAGCAAAAATGATTTGCCCAAAATGGATAAGCTCTACAGACACTGTGATATTGATTATCTGGGATATGGTATATATGGTGAAATTAAACAACTTCATGAGACAGATAGACTGATTAGCTTATTATTTCAACAAAAGAAAAGCTCAATTTTTCAAAAAAGCACAAGATCAAATTAACCCACAGTTTTTATTCCAGTAATTTTATGTGTAGCAAAAATACATTTCATATTTGCACCATAATATTTGCTTGTAATTTTTAGCATTTTAATCAGCTTGTAATAATATTCCTTTTATGACATTTGTATATCTTAAAACAACCACAGTTATTTAAAATGTAAGCTGATCTGTATATTTATATCTGATATTCTAAAGTTCTCTATGGACCAATCCATATAAAAAGGATGAAATGAAGAGAGATCAAAGCCAAGATTATGAAGGTAATTGGACATAGACTACTGAAGTCTGCATCAAAGGAATTAAGAATAATCATACTTGGATGCCGCATTTGTTATCCACAAATCATGAAACAGTCTCAAAAGGCTCAAATATATAAATGGCAGTATCTCCCTCTATTCATTTTACTTCCAGCAAAATAAATATTTGAATTTGTTTGATCTGTCATGCAAAAATTCACAACCATATTAGTTGTAAGTAAACGGAATAAAAGCTGAGTGCCTCATAAAAGGCATACTACAAAAACAAAATAACGAACTCAAATATCACCAACCTTTTGGCATAAAACAAGCCACATAAATAGTACCTGATTGGAAGACGTATCTGGCTAAGCCTTGCATCAACTCTGCTGGCCATGTCGGTGGTGCAGATTCCCCGGTTTCACGCTTAAGTCGAAATGTCAGTTCAAATCCAAAACCACTTGGTCCGTCTGATCCAGTAAACCTGGATGAAGTTAATGACAAAAGGTTTCACAACAATAAAGCATCATAAGCAGATGAAATTATGATGCCACTATGTCATTCATTCCTGGTGCAAGGGAAAACATTAGAAAGAACCCCCAAATATGTCTCAGAAAATGACATCAAAATCTGTTCAGGACCAAGAGTTAATTATCTCAGATCCTACCAAGATCTAAGAGCTATAATGCCTTCCCCAACTTTAGCATCTTATTTATTTTTTGAAAATATTATCGTGAAAATCAAGTCAAGGAATGGAATTGTATGGATGGATCATCTACTTTTCTCTCACACACATTTGTATTTCCTATTCTGTTTATAGTTACCAAACATGTTTGCCCTGCATTCCAGGCTTTGCCAACTACCATGATACAGAAAATAAACTGGGACACTCTACAAGTACACATCTATTATTATTTCTATTAATTAACCTATAAAAAAGATACAATTAAAAGGGAGCATTTAGAACTGGCTGGTTATATAGCATAAGCTGCTCAAATGTTATATACAAAGCATCGGAAACAACTGGGAGTACCAGTGAATAGATGGTATTAATAAAATGTGGAAGGATGCTGTTATGACTAAACCGACCAACTACAGAAGTCTGCGAGAAAGATGCTAGACATCCGATTTACAGGCAACTCCCCACCTATGTGGGGGTTACGTTCCAGGCCTACGTGTGCATAAGTGAAATTGCATAAAGTGGGGAGCACCCTCTAAACACCTTTTTAACGTCCTCTCTGCTGCTCTCTCTCCAATATGAACCAAAAATACTGTATGTAAAAATATCCACAACTAGAATTGAAGCTATGGGACTAGCACATGGATAGGCAAACTAAGGCCCAGGGGCCAAATCCAGCCCAATTGCCTTCTAAATCTGTCCCACGGACGGTCTGGGAATCAGCATGTTTTTACATGAGTAGAACGTGTCCTTTTATTTAAAATGCATCTCTGGGTTATTTGTGGGGCCTGCCTGGGGTTTTTACATGAGTAGAATGTGTGCTTTTATTTAAAATGCATCTCTGGGTTATTTGTGGAGTGTAGGAATTCGTTCATCCCTCCCCCCAAAAAATATAGTCCGGCCCCCCCACAAGGTCTGAGGGACAGTGGACCGGCCCCCCACTGAAAAAGTTTGCTGACCCCTGGACTATCAGGAGGCTCTGGGACCGACACATCAGCTGTTAGGTGGGGAGGCTGAGCAACATAAACAAAGCCCCGCTGCACCTCCAATCTCTTCAGGGTTTCCTTTGCCCTCACTGATGTCCACTTCGGGCTCGGGGGTCTCCTCACAAGCCATGAGCACTCTCCAGCTCTCTCCAGTCATTTCCGGGTATGAATTGAATAATTTGGTGGTTTCCTGGCACCACGCGTATATGCAGCTGCGCGTAAGTGGGGGGACACCTGTATTTATAATTAGGTGGAAGCCATACAACTTTATACCCAGAATGATCCCCCGACTGCAATACTGTTTCAATTAAATGTGAGGGGGGGAAATAGCAATTAACTACCATCTTTGTAAATTAAGAAATCTGATTATTCAGTGTCCTGTGACACCTGTAATTCAGAACATAGCCTTTTATTTTGTATTTGTGAATTGTTATCTGAATTTTTTTTGTAAGAATGTCAGATGGTTTTAGAAGTAATATATATGATTATATGCAGCTAACTATGGAAGACAATCAGCAAAGACATGCATGGGTGGAATAAGCTTAACTTCTCCATTATAGTTATACTCACTACTGCTAAAATGATAGCACTTTCACATCTTACATTTTTATTTCAAACTTGGCCAGTAGAAATCACATCAGCACATCTGAGTCCTTGGCAGAAAGGTGAATGTGTTCCTATTTCAATCTAAACATCCACATATTTTTAAAGCCTTACTATATACACCCCCACATTCCAGCATCTAGGGGGTTCACAACTACTCCTTGTATTACAAAACACATGATTCTAGTTCACTATAAATAGACATAAATAAATAATGAAACTAAAAGTGGGTGAGTATGGAGACATTCCTCTAAGTGTCTATCTGTTTTTAAAACACAATTTTTGATCTCTACAAATTTTTGATCTCTCTTTGCATTAACAGGCCCCCCAAGATTCAGGCTTTCTAATTCAAAGTTAAAGCTCTTTGCCAAAATGTATACATTCTCACTTTAGTAGGTAATTTCCCCCACATTCCAGTGTAAAAGAACTACATTATTGGAAGAAAGATATGAGGTAACTCACTGGACAGGGGGAAAAGTATATCACATATTTACTTTAAAGCAAGGAGTACTTACATGTAAACATATTTATGAAGATGACCACTGGGGCAGCAGGCAGGGGGACATAACTGTTTATGTGTAACTATGCCACCATTCCAATGAGCAAAGTACAAACAGCACTTCAGGCCAATTTTCAGTGTAATTTGAACTTTGTTTTCAGAAGCTAACACAGTGCCAACATATACACCACTGAAGGCTTTAAAACAGGCCAGGAGCCTTTTCAATTAGCCAATCCCAATTCAGCTAGTAACGTCTGCAGTACTTTGCATGCTAGTGTGTCCCAATACCACAATATGCTGCTAGAACATGAAAACTGAAAATTAAGCTAGACTTGTCACACTGCCAAATTACATGAAACCAGTAACTTTAGACATTTACTTTGCACTATTTTTGCTCCCTTGGACTCAAACTATGTATTACATGAGATTTTTTTTCTTGACGCTGTTTATTTTAATCTAAAGCAGCATGCTCCATGCTGCCCAAAGGGGGGGGGGGAGGGCAAGCAGGGAAGAAGAGGAAAGACTGCTCAACTCTTTCTTCACTGGTCCTTTTCTAGTTTCATGACCACCCCTCCTATCAAGCTGTTTTTCATTTATGGCTAAGAAATGCAGATAACCAGATAGGTGAAAGAGAAACTTGGGAAGAATGATTTTGAACTGGTTAAGGTTAACAGGGGAGAGAGCCTTAACTACTCAGTTGGCCAGGTTTTAACTGAGTTTGAACTATATCACCTGGTGTCCACTTCAACCATGTTAGATGGCCTGGATTCCTACCTTTGGTTTTTATTTCATTTTTTTAAAGGGCAAGTCCCTAACCAGAAATATAATGCAAAAGAGGCAGGGACAACTCTGCTCATCATTCTGAAAGAAGCATGTTCCCTGCTTACTTTCATTGTGCTTAGTCAATGAGGGAAGCAGTGCCAGACATGTAGGCACAGGACACATTTGCATGTACAGTGGTACCTCGGGTTAAGTACTTAATTTGTTCCAGAGGTCCGTTCTTAACCTGAAACTGTTCTTAACCTGAAGCACCACTTTAGCTAATGGGGCCTCCTGCTGCCACCGTGCTGCGGGAGCATGATTTCTGTTCTCATCCTGAAGCAAAGTTCTTAACCCGAGGTACTATTTCTGGGTTAGTGGAGTCTGTAACCTGAAGAGTATGTAACCCAAGGTACCACTGTACCATGCAGAAGCCAAAAGTGCTTCTTTGTTCACCCCTGCTCAAAATGGGGAGAAACAAACCATGATACCTGGCTTAGTGTGATGTGCAAAATAGATAGCATGGTTTATTTTACTCAAACAAATCACAATTGGTAAGCCAACGCTGCTTTGCTTATGCTGATCCCTGGTTTTGAAACAACACTAAGCCAGGAGGTCGCTGTTTGTTTCTCCCAAGCACAAGTGGAGAGGAGTGAAGTGAAGTGACCAAGATCAGCTCATGCAAAGTTTGCCATCTGCAGCTTTGTATGACATGCAAATGAAGTCACTAGTGCTAATGTGAAACTTATTCCAAATGCAACTAGCATGTTTGGAGATGAAAATTCCTAAGGAAGAGGAGGAAAGAGTTAAACCCCCCACTCCATACCTGTAGCAACCCGAAGAGAAGTTGCAGAGTTGGAAGGGACCCTGAGGGTCATCTAGTCCATATTGTTAGCAACTCCTCAGAAACGCTTAACAGATCAGGACTCTGAAGACAGTGTGTGCAATTGCTGTAGGATTAAGTCTGCTTTTCAGTTTATAATAAGCAAGAATAATTTTCCTTGCAAAACTCTTGCTCCTGTGACCTACCACACACTGGTGCAATATCACATTTACTACAATTCCTGGGGGACAATGTTCAAGATCAGACAGTATTCAACTTTTCAGTATCCAAACTAATAAGTATCTCTTATATTTTTTCAATTAGTCTTACATTACACAATATACAAACCACACTGGAATTGTTTTTATGGAATGTATGTAACTCACATATATAAAAACAATTAGTTCCATTTAGTTTATCTGGCTGATGTCTGTTCTTTGCCAAAGGAGACAGAGAGAGATCTGGTAATGTTGCCTTCCTAGGCCTCACAGAGACTGCTATAATTAGTCAGTTCAGTGACCTGTTGCAAGAAGGAACAGGATTTTTCCCATTCCTACAAAGCTCATGAACAGACACAAATTAATCAGAAAACAGGTAATTAGCAGTTTAGGAGGCTCGGAATACTGAACAATGTAGAAAACAAGCAGGATCCAGCTCAGGTTCACCCAACGCAGGATAGAAATAGTTAGGAAGAATGATGCAATGGGGACTAGCTTGTGAGAGCACAGGTCACACACAGCAGCCAAATCTCCCAAAGACCTTGAAGAACTCAGTGAAAGGGGAATTGGGATTCTCAGTTCTAACCTAGAATGCACAAGTCAGGAGTTAACAAAAGTGCCAACATGATAATGTCTTAAAAGAAAAGAAAATGCACTCGGACATTTGTTAGCTTTAGTGTTCTTGAACAGCCAGTCTTCACTGCCCCCCACAGCACAACTACTATCACAGTACACTGGGAAACTATTTTACACTAGAAAGGAAAGAGGGTTATTCTCCAAGGAAGAACATGCAAGATATGCTGCAGACCGGCTTTGCCCCGAGCCAAACTTGGTTACATTCCTTTTATTAAAAGCAGCCTTCCTTGTAAGTTCAACTACTGTGCTGTAAACATAAAACAAGTCTCCCTCCACAGCTAAAAAAAAAAATCTTGAACTCTAAAATATTTAACAATAAGGATGTGTTTTAGTTCCAGGGATTGTGTGTGAGTTTAAGCAGTGCAAGGCAGCCTCTCTGTAGGTGGCCCGTCTTTTACATTAACTACCTTAAACAAATGACATTTTAAAGCCAAACACACACAAGAAAATAAATTCCACAAGGTGGCCGTGGCTTCAAGGGAGGTCTACCACCAACAGAGAACAGGAAGTATGAAAAAGTGCCTTGATGCTGTGAATGAGAGAGGCAGGATACTATTTGAGGTGTGTGGCTGAATGTTTCAAGATTTATAAAATTGCCCTAAGCAAATGTGTATGAAATGGGGACATTCATTTTCTTCCTTTTCAAAGAAAAGTAAATTACTATGGGTAAAATAGTTTGGACAAGTCAGAGTTGTAATATTTTCTTGATTTTCTTGTTTTATCTTTTTGTAAACCACAAGGGGTGGGTCTTCTTTTTTTTTTACAATCAAGCAGCGTATAAAATTTATGAAATAAAAGAATAAAATAAGATAAAGCGGTATTCTGGGTATCCTACATGAAAAAGGGCAAGTTAGTTGTCCTTAGTCCTAAACTGAATCAGAACTAAAGATATTGCCTCTTCCTGATATATTTAAGAATCCAATTTCAACAATACTAATTCCACAGTTGCAAACTCCATCCTGACAAATGTACTGACTGAAGATGTTGACGTTTAAAGCTGGTGTCATGTTTGCCATTACAACATAAAGTTCTTTTGCCTAGTATTTTTGAATGAAAATGACATCTAAAAATCAGGAATAATTCATGTCACTACAGTGCTTTTAAATAAATTTATTTATTTAGATTTAAACAACCAGTATTTAAGCAGAATATGAAAACCACACCCTTCTAACTAGAAGTAAGTCTGTCAACAAGGAGGCATGGGTGGGCTACATTTCAGCCTTTGCAGGATCATTAAAATATAAAATTAAAGTTAACATTCACACCTCACTTGCTACATCTGTTTGCAATTCCATTATTAATAGTGGCCTCAATTCAAGCTAGACATTCTTATTTCAAAATACAGCACTGAGAGCCTGTGTTGTCCTGATTAGTGGGCATGGCCCTTTCCTTTCCACAGAAACTGAGCATCAAGGAGCTGATTCTAATGGCATTATGCTGCTAGCAACAGGGTAATGAATTAAATTAGAGTTGATTAACTGAAAATATTACTAACCCAAACCAGCGGCTTCAAGTTACAAAAAAGGAGATTTAGACTAAACACCAGGAAGAACTTTCTAATGGTAAGAGCTATTCAACACTGGAACAGACTCCCTTGGAAAGTGATGGATTCTCCTTCACTGGAGGTTTTTAAGCAGAGGTTGGATGGCCCTCTGTCATAGGTGCTTTAGTTGAATCAGGTTCCCCTTCTAACTCTATTATTCTGTGACTACCTCAAAGCCTAGTTAAGTGCCATATGGGAAGAAGCATTACCTCAGAGCTATGGAGTCCAGCATCCTGTTCTCACAACAGCCAACCAGATGCCTGTGGGACTGTGTCCTAGAGGCTTGCAGGGTGCTGGATGGGCTGAAATGCAGTTTACTCCAGATCAAATAACTTGTGCCACCACTGCACTGATTGCTAAAACCAGGCCTCTCGGTGGCTAGTCTATCTGACACTTTTCTGTCAGTGTGGAATCTGTCAGTGTGACATAAAGTTAGCCCAGCACCCATTCATCTGAATCCCCTATTGTCACAGGGCCAAAATGAAACACAGTACACTATATCCTAACCAGCTACATATTTAAATAAAATGTTAACAGATATGAAGCTACAGTTTAAAAGGTTGCATGTAACCAACCCATATTCAGTGCAGACCAATTTAAGTTGTATTCAAAACAGACCCACTGAAATCAATGTACTTATTTCATGTTAGGTTCACACTTCATAAAGTAGTATACAGTCCATGAGCACCACAGGCACGCTGAGTGAACTGATTTTAATGGGTCTACTCCGAGTATGACCAATAACATTGCCCTGGCAGTCTATGCTGCAGAAAATAGAGGAAGTCTTCAGGATTGGGTCTCACTAGCAACACAGGGGACAGGGACAGGGCAGCTAGTTGTAAATGTTAGTGTGTGTACGCTTTAGAAAAGTTGTTCTTAAATGGCTGTAGCTGCTGTTTTAAAAGTATTAAATAGGGGAAACACATGTTTACATTTAAAATACAAGTCATAGAATACTTTTATACAAACATAATTCACCCTGAAACAGCACAGGATCAAATTATGCTCGTTCTGTAAATGGGGGAAAAGCAAGAACAGACAAGTATAGACAATTTCTCAGTAAAAACTAACATGCATCTTCACCCAGAAACTATCTGCATGTTGTTCTGCCATGTTTTAACAATTACATACGGTATGAACTTGAGAAGGGCAGCTCTGATAGTCTGTTGAAATGCAAAACACAAAAGCATGCCTTTGGTGCTCATGGACTGTATATTACTTTATGACGTGTGAACCTAACGTGATAGACACATAGAGGTATAAATGGCAGAGAATTGTAAACAGCAATGCCAAAGGCCATAAAGTGTTACAGGAACTTTAACATTTCCATGGAAAAGTAAGCAAAGTGACTATTCACAATAGCAGTAATTGGCAATATTATAATCCTTCCTATCCTTGCTATGCTAAATTAACACCTACAGTGGGAGATTTTCTCTTAAACCCTGAACAAATAAAATAAAATTTGCTGATAAAATTTTAGTTTAGCAATTTCATACTGAATTCCAGTAGCTATTTTTTTTAACTTTTGTTGAAATCTGGTACTTGCAGGCCAGCAACAATGCCCTGGGAAAAGACAGTCCCATTCTATCTTTGTCACATAAACCTACTTTTTGTATGTGTGCATGCATGCTGCTTCTATCACATTTTCTGCCTACTACAGAAACCCACAATCCACAGTAAATGAGAATTATTAAAAACTTACTCATGTACTCTGTTATCACCATACAAGTCACTCAATCCAAAGCTTACATAGTGCCAGTGCTCAGGAACATTCTGGGATGGACTCCCCAAATTCCTGTACATACTGACGTAGTCCAGAGGATCAGGTCCACCTAACCTATTTGAAAAAAAGGACAAGAGTAAGCTGCAGGTCAGTATTAGAGATGGGGGTGGTTTTCAGCAAATGCATTTATCAACACTCAATATCATTAAACCCACTTCCTTCTGAAAAAACTCATGGCACACAGGCAAGAACTTTGCCCTGCTGTTGTTGTCCTAGATCTATGTTGTTGCCATGCCTTCAAAGCGTCTCATACATTTTATTTTATTTTATTACCAACATTTTAGTATTTTTGTTTACTAAATTAAAGGCAAGTCTGAAAATATACTGCATGTCTCACAAGACAAAATGCTTCTTTTTCAAAAGGAGCAGTAAGAATGAAAATTTGTATACAAGACCCAGTCCCTTCCAATACATGGTAGAAAGGTCAGAAAGTTTTAATAAAAACATTTACTATATATTTAAAGTGTTTCTCCAAAGTAAGTCATTTGTCTCAATTAACGTTCACAAAACAGAACCACAGAAAATATTACTTTAAAAAAAAGAAATGTCATAATGCAAGCCCTAATTATCTTCAGAAATGAATAACATAATTTCCCACCTAAGCTTTCTGCTCTGAAGGAAATAATGTGGAATATTCAGCTCTACAAAATGCTATTAGGACCATCATTTGATTACGTACATTTACATATAGGTAAAACCAACAGTTATAAAGCAAGAGGCATTGCTACTTTGTTTCTAAGAAGATGCAGAAATGGCAATTAAAAATAAAGTTGCCTAACTGAGGACATCTTATAATAATCAATTAAACTGTTTTAAATCAAACAATTAAACACTGAATCGCTACTATTCATACTCATGAAAGCAGTTAGAATCAGCAGTGTTGCCAGGCATACCACCTTCTTAAAATCTGCAAGAAAATGTGTGCCAGACTATTGGTGCATCTACTGCAAGGGAGTGGGGGCGGGATGCAGGGGACCCAATCCACACAGAGTTCACCATCTTGGAAATCTAGTTGGCATCCCTGTCGGCCTTCACCATTCCTCATCTAGCTAGGGCAGAAGCTGGGTGGTGTAGTTATGTAGCCCTCCCCACCCAGGCCCATGCAAAGGTGGGGGACAGCAGGGTACCCTTGCCCCAGGGGTCAGAGGACTAAGCTGGTTGCCCCCCCCCCACTAGAGACTAGCTGCTTTTTTGAGTTTATAACTTTATCTAACAAGACTCCCACCCAAGGCCTCAGACAAGCTCTGCACAGGCCTGCTGACCCCACCCACTTCTGAATAACATCTTTTCTTGATGAAGAGGATTTCTGGAGAACGAGAAGGCTTGCTACCATTTTGTGAGATTTTGGTTGGTTGTAATAAAGGTATTGCCCAACTGTGGATTTTGGAGAATATTTCTGATGCACAAAAACACCTGCTTTTGTTTTTTATGTACTGTAAAAAATTATTTTCAGCTGCATGCTGTGTCTAACCACTGGTTTTTTTTCATGAATCCCAATTATAAGCAAGATAACTGTTCAGAATTCTCTTTGGAACAGTCACAAAGGTTAACACAGGATGTGAGGCTTCTAAACTCCCTCTACCAAAGGATTCATTTGGAAGAAAGAACATTAGCCTCAGGGACAAAGGCCATATTTGCAAGCAGCACAATGTAGCTTCAATGTGTTAAAAACATTGGGAAAGTGCTTAATCAGCACTGTTTTTGAGAGCGTGAAACTAAAGCAGAGTATGCTGATCAGACCATTCTCACTAATGAAAAATAACCCTTGCACACACTTTAGGAGATATTCCATAAAAACACTGAAGTTTAAGTCATGAATTGCTGTGTTCCACTTTGAGAAACAAAAAGCTGAGAAGAGAGCCCTTTAAAAAAGAAAACCTGTCCTCAGTTTGTTCAATCAACCCAAAAGCAGAGTGCAATCTCCTTAGTGCTTAAGTATTAGATTATATGCTATAAAATATTCAGATGGCATCTCCATTTGAAAGGGAACAGATGAGGGGAAACTAGCATCAATTACTGTAATATATTGAAGTAATTTTAATTTGTTTTAGTATTTTAATTCTTGTATGTTTTTAAGTATGGTTGTACATTTTTCTTGATTATATTGTTTTATCTTTTTGTAAACCACTGTGAGGCTTTTTAAAATCAAGTGGTATATGAATGTTATAAATTAAATAAATAATAAAGCTATGCTTGATTCCACTGGTAACAGCAAAAACTGGTAGGAACATAATTTTTTTATATAATTCTACTCTACTGTCTAAAGTAATGGGAATGTTATTTGAGCATTCACCAGCCACTGTTCCTGAAAATATTTTCATTTTGCTTTTGCCTAGAGCTTTCTAAGAAAAAGGCTATAATACAATGTTTAGTATACTCTTTACAGTCTTTCCCAGCTTCTGCTGGTTCACCAGCTCAGACTAGACCCCTCCTCCTTCACAAAGACCATTAGAACAGGCTGCCTTGCATGCAGAAGAAGGGGCAGCATGTGAGATAGACTGTCCTCACCACCTTCTCTACCAGCAAGGGCTGCAGTCCCCCAATATCACAGCATGCTATGTTTTGCAGCGACATCTATCTATACATACATATTCTATCCCACCCTACCTCCACAAAGAGCCCAGAGGTACTTAAACTAGAAATGTGGGAAGTGCTACACATGGATCAGGTAAGACTTCCAAGTTTGGCTGGAAGGAACTGACATAAGTAACTGTTGCCAGATGGACCAGCCAGAAGAAAAAAGAATAGAGGCAGCAGTTACCTTGCCTGGCTTATCATTTAGCTGCCTCAATTGTCACAGAGGAAGGAAAAATGGGCAAACTATAGTCCACGAAAACTGGTGCCATAATAAAATGTGTTGGGCTGCAATCCTAACCCCACTTACCTGTGATAAGTCCCTCTGAATACAACAGGACTTACTTCTGAGTAGGTATTGTCAGGACTGAAATCTTAGCTTTTAAGGTGCCACACATTCTTTTAGTTCTTTCTCCCTTTAAGTAACTGATAACCTTAGGAGTCCACAGGCAGCATGTTTACGGTATGTGTGAGTGGACATAGATGCACGGTTCTTCATGGCCACCAACTGAGTCATTCAAATTTCTTCTCCAGTTCTTTTTTAAAAGGTTTCCCAATATTTGACAAATTCAGTCATGGACTATGGCTCAAATGATGACTTGTTTCATGAACTTCTTTGTAAAAGATAAATTAGCCTAACACAGAGATCACCTAAACCAGGGGTCTGCAACCTTTAAGACAAAAAGAGCCACTTGGACCCGTTTCCGAAGAAAAAAAAACTGGGAGCCGCAAAACTCGTCATTATAAAAATAACTTTTTTGTCACTTTTATTATTATTTCTTTGTTTGACCCCTCAGAATTACTCCTCCTCATAGAAATAAACGTTAAATTAACAAGTTACCTTTTTTTATGTGTGTGTTCTTCACTCCCCTTCAAAACAGTGACCAGCGTACATGCCCCCTTTCAATGCAGTGACCAGCGTACATGCCCCTTACAATGTAGTGGGCGGGCGGGAAGGTGACGTCGGGACGGCATGCGACGTCACAGCCAGTACAGCGCCCGCCACAGTGGGGAGTGTCGGGGCGCACAATGCGCCTCCTCCCCTCGCTGGTATCCGCCCCGGAGCCGCGGCAAAGGTATAAAAGAGCCACATGCGGCTCCGGAGCCGCGGGTTGCAGACCCCTGGCCTAAACATTGTCCCTGTGTTCTGGGCGTTAGCATCCCATCTGAACATCATAGAATTGTAAAGTTGGAAGGGACCATGAATGTCATCAACCCCAACCACTGCAATGCATGAGTCTTTCACCCAATATGGGGCTCAAACCCACAACCCTGAGATTAAGAGTCTCATGCTCTACTGACTGAACTATAAGGATGCTTCATATGCAACCTTCATCTAGGAAGGTGGTCCAATCTGTGGCCTGAGGGCTGTATGCATTTCAGACACAGACACAGACAATGACACACACAGCCCTTGTGCTGCCTTCCCAAAGCCAGGTAAGTGAGGCACTGTGCTTTGGGAATTACCACATTTTTTGCTCTATAAGACTCACTTTTTTCCTCCTAAAAAGTAAGGGGAAATGTGTGTGCGTCTTACGGAGCGAATGCAGGCTGCGCAGCTATCCCAGAAGCCAGAACAGGAAGAGGGATTGCTGCTTTCACTGTGCAGCGATCCCTCTTGCTGTTCTGGCTTCAGAAATTAAGAAATTTTTTTCCTTGTTTTCCTCCTCCAAAAACTAGGTGCGTCATGTGGTCTGGTGCGTCTTATAGAGCGAAAAATACGGTAGGTATGAGGGCTCTAGGACCCTACCAGAACCTCATGCTGCCTCCTCAACTTAGCCTTTGGGAAGGCAGCATGAGACCTTGGTGGGGGTGTCCCCTCAAATTTTGGCCTCACTTCTCTCCCCCTCCCCCACTGCTGCATGACAAGGCAGTGTGCAGCCTGTGGGCTCTGTGTCAAAGTACTCTTATGGCCCACTTGGCATGCAAAGTTGGGCAACCCTGATCTAGTTACAGTTAATGGCTGGCATACAGAGTTCCCTCATCCATTTAGTTGAGATTCCTTGAAGGGGGCTGAACTAGATTACCCTTGGAGTCCCTTCTAATCCCATACAATTCTATGATCTGTTCCCACCCTCTGTAGACATGACTGGGAGCAGCAAGCAAATTATGGCTTCTCAGCAGACATACATCAACTGAAAGTGCTTTCTGCATAGGAATTTTCCAACAAGTGACACAAGAAGATACATACAACCTGCGGGCTTCATTCCTTTTTGAAACTTATTTCTTTAAAGATGCACGTCAAGAAAGAACAGCCAAAGCAACTTCAATGCCGGTACTTGCAGTGTGACAAAAAGCTACAACTCCCACCCCAAACCAAAGCATAAGCTAATTTCCAACTGGAAAATAGGGGCAGAGGGCATACAGCATGCCCATGACACCAGCTGTTTCAGCATTTTCAATTTCTATATAGGCACAGAAAGTGGTCGTTATGAAGAGGAGAGACAACTTTACAGAAGAGCTTCTCAGACACACAAAATAACAAATTAGCTCTGTGCAAGCATCAAAGAGATGTGACATTGGGAGGCTAAAGAAGATGAGCACTCCAAATAAGTTTTAAACAGCATTGTCTGGGGCAGATGCTTGTCTCACAACTATTCTTTGGCAAACAGATATTTCAGACTACCTCCTAGTGCTTGCTATTTCTCACTGAGGAAGAGCAGCTCTGAGCTATGTAGGGTTACTGAAGGAGATGAAAATACCACTCCAAATCAAAGTAGCTAAGGCAACACTACTTGAAATAGGTGGAGTTTGTTTTTTAATCTACATATGGCTCTGCTACAAGCAGAATTATCCTGACTCTCACCAACATAAGGTTATTGCAGTCCCTAGTTTGCATTTTATTTTGTGGAAACACAGTGAAATCCTATATATGCCTATGCATAATTTTTTTTTTTTAGCTTATTGCAAATTCCAACAGATTTGTCACACAAATCTATGGAACTCATTGCCACATCAGATGCCAACAGCCTGCTGTAAAACTGCATCCAGTAAGAATTAGCCAGATTCATAGAAAGTAGTTAAAGACATCACAGCACAAAATATTCTGGTGTCACTAAACATAAATGGCCAGAAAATTTTATTGGAAAAGGTAATGCACACATTACTATATTAAACCAGTTTAAGCTAACTACTGTCTAACTAGGTTTTCTGTCCTGAATATGGGTATGATGGGTATCACTTATATTTGCAAATAGGTCCTCCCATTATAAAAAGGGTATAGCTGCATAATGTTCTTCCAATAGCATATTTTTGACCCAACAAAGCCTAGAATTGCAATAACGAAAGCTATACAAGCTCAAAACGGAGTAAAACAGACAGTTCCAGCTGAAACATTCAAACTACAACCAATAGTCCCAGCAACCCTTACCTACTGTGCCCAGAATTCCATGAGAGAAATGTGCTTTGAATGTGCTTTAAAGACATAGCATGTGCACAACTGATGTTTATAAGAGATGTGTATAAGACATGTGCACAGGAGATGGACATGTAGCATTGGGCCACACTAACAAATGAACATGTACACATTAAGTATCAGCACAGGTGAAGCAATTCATGTAAATTGTACAAAGTCCTTGTGTAAACAGTTGCATGCAATCATCAGGGCACGCACAATAATTCTTTGCCTGTCTGAAGATCAAAGAGAGCACGTGCATATATTTAACTATAGAGGCACCCAAAATTAGAGAGAAGGAAAGATGAAGGAAGGTAGAGAGAAAATAGAAAAACAGAGGGAAAAGAACACACTTCTGCAAAAAGTATTGCACAAGAATGTCACAAAGCAGTTTTAATAACAAGTGCAATATAGAGAGGCTTCCTTAAGTCTATGCACCCACTTTTGCAAAACTTGCAAGTGGCAAGTGGAACACCACTCAGTGTTCTACCTCAATAAAAGGAAAGTACCTTCAGCTAAGTCCTCTAGCTAGTGTATTACCCATGGTGGAGAGGTATTTCACCATCCTTGATAAGGGGACTACTTATAACAAAGTTTAAGAATGGCTGCTCTCTCAACCCACCTCTCACACAGGTCAAGGTTTCACCGTGGCTATGGGTCCTTACACAGCTCGGCCTGCTCCCTAGCAAAACCCACCTCTCATATCAACGCCGCCTCAACCCTCACCTCTTCACAACACTGTGCCCAGATCATTGAAGGAAGCTCTGCAAAGATCACGGCCCCCTCTTAAAACTCCCTATTCCAACTGAGGCCTAAATCTGCACATCCTGTGAGGGTTGAGGACTCTGACCAAGAGGCTGACCCCAAGCTCCTCGCTCAGAGAGATGCCGCCCTCCCTCCACCTCCGAGCTGCTGCTGCTGCTCACCTACCTACCTCCTCCCGCCTCAGCCCCTCACCTACCAACTCCCCGAACTAAAACCAGGCACCTCCGAGGCGAAAAGGCCCAGGGCACCCGGGAAACCCCAAACTCTCCCACCACAAAGCCCCTCCGGGCCTTCCCAGGGACCCTCCCCCCCAAACCCACTCGACCTCCGTCGCCGAGTCCTGCCTCAGATACCGCCCCCCCCCCCGTTTCAGGGAGCCTAGATACCTCCTGGGGCTTCTTCGCCCACCCGCTGCCCCTCATCCCCACAGCCAATGCCGACCCACAGCATACAAGCAGCAGCCTTTCCCGAAGAAACTGCCCCAGGCCCTGGACCTCCTTCAGGGACCCCCAAGGCCTCCCTCCCACCCTGGGAGCCCCTCGCCCCCACAGCGGCTCTTTCCTTCCCCTCCACTCACCAGTACTTGATGATGGCGGTGACCTGCAGCGGGTTGGGCTGCTCCGGGTACAGGCGCCGGCACTCGCCGTAGATGCCGTGCAGCCCCGGGGGGAAGAGCGGAGGAAAGGGGGCCGCCGCCGCCGCCGCCGTCGCGGGGCCGGGGGGAGCGGGGGCGGCGGTCTCCATGGAGGAGCCTGCAAAGCGGGGGGCAGGAAGAGAGGGCGCGCGGGAGCTGCGCACCCCGCGGGGCACCGGAAGGGCCGAGCGAAGGACGGCAGCCCTGCCCCGCATGCACAGCCCAAATGGTCGCTCCCAACTCCCTGCGCGACCCCGGCCCCGAGCGGCGGCGTCCCGCCTCCTCCCGCCTTGACGGGCAGGCGACTTCGCCAATCCCCCGCGCCGTGAAGCCAAAGGGCCGACGCCGCGTTAACCCCTTCCTGAGGCACAACCCTGACACCTAGCGACGCCCAGCTGCCATTGCAAGACGCCTTTCTGCCCGGGGGAAGAGGGAGGGAGGGCGGGGGGGACAGGAAGAGTCGCCCGAGCTTCAAGCTCAGCCAGGCTGTGGGAAAGCAGGGTTTTGTGGCAAAAATTGGGAGGAGGGTGTTGCGGTGTGGGCTCCTCTTGGGCTGAAGCCCCTTTGCCATCTGCTCGCTCTCTGCTATGGGGGTTGGTAGTTGCTCCCTTGCTATATGGAGACTCCGCGCGACGCCAAAGTAGAGGGGACATGAGGTCATTTCAGGATAACAAGCATCAATGATCATGTTTTTCTTATTATTATTCCACCCTTCCTCCTTCATTACAGGATCCAAAGAACCTTGTGAGGTTGGTTAAGGCTAAAAGAGTGACAGGTTCAAATCCACCCCCAGGTATCATCCAGAATGAGTGGGATTTGGACCCAGGTGTTTTTTTTAATCATTCTAGTATGACACAGTAACTTTAGCATCAAGCCAGCTGTCTCTTAAAAACATGCTTCTCTATTTTATTTATTTCACACGTTTGTATACTGCTTCATTGTCAGAATTTCTAAGCAGCGTACATAAAATTAGGATGAATAAGAACAATTAAAATTCATCATAGAAACCAAAAGAAGAAAACACAACACAGGCTTGGGACAGCAACACTCAATGAAACAGTACTTATGAGATATGCTCTGTGATTGGGCTGGGATATAAGGGATCTGGTGGTCTTTAAGATATCAGAGACCAAAGTTGCTAAGGGACTTGTAAATACATCAACCTTGAACCTGACCCAGTAATATATGAGCAGCCAGTGCAAGCTTTTAAGCACCAGTATTATGTGCTGAAGTTAGTCTGTCCCCATCAAGAGTCTAGCCACGGAATTTTGCACCAGCTGGAGCTTTTGGACCAGGCATAAGGATAATCCCATTGCTTCAGTTAAGCTATCCCCGACCAAGAATGGCTGTAGTTGACACAAAGATGGATCCAGGAGCACCCCACAAAGCTTTTTCTTTCTGCGGCACAATAACCCAATCCAGAAAAGGCAAATGTCCAATATCCCGGACACAGGAACCACCTGCCCACAGTGTCTCCCTCTTCTCAAGGTTGAAGCTCAGTTTATTAGTCTTCATCCATTCCACAACTTTATCCAGGCAAGTGTTCTGGACTGTATTCAGCCTCTCCCAACTAAGATGTCAGAGAGAAATAGAGCAGCCATGTATCATCAAACTTTTGGTGACACACTTCTCCAAAACTTCAACCAGCATCTATATAATTCTCTGTAAACTCTAGTCACATTGTACATCTTTGATTCTACTCCTGCAAAAGACAGGGCTTATTGACATAATAATTCCAGATTGCAAGCTTTTAGTGTTAATTGGTAGTTTCTCTTACTCTGTGAGCTGCATGTGAGATTGCAAATGATTTTCCGTATTTCATCAAGAATAGCACTTTCTAAACGTATATGTTGTGTTATGTTTCAGCCACACTGAGCGGCATAGTATAGCCATATTGGTGGAAGAGTAACAAGGTACCTAAGCATGGCATTTTAGGGTCACTTTTTAAAATATGCATCCAAATGCTTAAAAAAAAAGTTTCATTGCATGAATTTGTTTTACAAATTAGAAAAAAAGAGGTGAAAAAGTATTTTGGTGTGCATGTAAACACTGGTAAAATGGCACTACAGTAATGGGAAACACATACCAAAAGAAACACATGCCAAAGTGAAGAGGTATCTCAGTCGCCTGAAATATTATTGTAATGCCTCTTTTGAAAAGGAAAAGGATAACACTAAGGCAGAGGTGAGGAACATCTGGGGGCCAAATGTGGTCTTCCAGGCTTCTCTATCAGACCCCTGGAACTTTCCTCTGACAACATCCTCTCCCCAGACCACACCCCTCACAGGCTCTGTTTTGCACTGTGTTTTTGCCCGGCTGGAATGTGTTTTGAACATTGATGATGCTTCTTGCCAGCCCACTGTACAAAGGTAACATTTGCATTTGTTGCCCCACCCACCCACTTTTGCTTCTGGCCCTGCCCCACACTGGCATGTGTAACCACTCCACCCCAGGGAATGTAGTGCTTGACTGAAAAGATTTATCCAATGTGTCCATTGGAAAGTTCCTTAACGAAGAGCGGCAGCTGATTTGGAAGCACCCCCAATCCTGTGCATGTTTGCTCTGAGTAAAGTCCTGTTGAGACCAATGGGACTTACTTCCCTATAACTGTGCACAGCATTGCAGCATGAGAGCTCAATACAATGTGTGTCTAGTGATAAGTCAGTTCAAAAGTGCTTATTCCTAGCGCTTATTGCACAGCTCTTGCAGTGCAATTCTATGCATGTCTACTCAAAAGTAAATTCAACTGAGTACAATAAGGGATTTTTAAAAAAACGTGTTTTTACCCTGCTCTTCAGCCAAACATAGCTCCCAGGGCAACATCGAGCAGTAAAAAATACTGTAAGACAATCCCCACCCTCGGGCTTACAATCTAAGAAGTCACAGCACAAAAATGAAAGGGATTGGCGGGGAAGAGGGAAAAGGCAACTCAGTGACAAACTTCTCATGCGCTCTTGTTGACAGGGAGCAAGGGAAGCAAATCTCTAGAATTGGTCTTTCTTTAGCTGATAGATGAGGTATTACTCCCTGGTAGGTATGCATAGCATAGTGTGCATAGGATTATAGCCTTAGTTACTGGGTTTCTGATCATTGTTTCCACCCCCCAAGGCAATGTACACATCACCTTTCAAGCATGCAAGCAAACCCTTAGCAAATAAATAGCAGGGCAGTTAGAAACCAGTATATTTCTACCTCTCAAATAGACAACAGTACTGCCCCTGTCTTTTTGGTAACACACCTAGGTTATGACACACGTGCATTCATAAGGGAGGTTTTGCTCTCATTTTGTGCACGAAATGCAGTGATGAACCTCCTTGGATCAGTGACTTCCTGGGATATTTTCTGTAGTGTCTTGCATGTCTCCCACTCCCTGCACCCTACTGCTCAGTATCTATCGTAGGGGGCAGACCAACCTGGCATGTTTAAAGTATACTAAGGACCATGTAGCTTAGCCTCACCACAGCCACAAATTAGAAAACTACGGGAAGGAGCCCTACATGTGTTTAGAGGTCCTCCACATAAGGGGATAGCCTAACTGGCTAGCTCATAGTCCCACTACCTTCATACCATGCATGTATTTAACACATGAGAGGGTTTGTGTGAACCTTTCTTATATAAGGTCAATAGACAAGATTGGATGGATTTCAATGACATCAGTATGCTGATAATCAGCTATTATCCTTTTTCTCTGAATCAGATTCTGCGGTCTCAGTAATTACACAGTGTGACTGCAGTTGAGGACTGAAAACAAGCAAACTAATTCAAGATGTATCCATCCAAAGACATAATGATGAACATAGGAGAGGGGAGCAATTGGGTTTCCATCACTATCAATGGAGTTTAGCCCTTCCCACCTTCCATTATCTATAAAGGTAAAGGTAAAGGGACCCCGACTGTTAGGTCCAGTCGCTGATGACTCTGGGGTTGCAGCGCTCATCTTGCCTTACTGGCCGAGGGAGCCAGCATACAGCTTCTGGGTCATGTGGCCAGCATGACTAAGCCGCTTCAGAGCAGCGCACGGAAACACCATTTACCGTACCTTCCTGCCGGAGCGGTACCTATTTATCTACTTGCATTTTGACGTGCTTTTGAACTGCAAAAAGGTTGGCAGGAGTAAGGACTGAGCAATGGGAGCTCACCCTGTCATAACCACCGACCTTCTGATCGGCAAGCCCTAGGCTCTGTGGTTTAACCCACAGCGCCACCCACGTCCCATCCCATTGTCTCCATCGTCTATAGATGATGGCTTTATGACCTATTCTGGATAGGATTTCCGTAACTGGGGGGGGGGGGTGGCGGCAATTTTATCAAGCAGTTGCCCTGAAATGCTTCTGGATCTATAGCTGAGCTGCAGGAACAGAAGAGGAGCAAAATCACTTGTTCCCAGAAGCAAAACATTATCGTCTTGAGTACTTGGAAAGTGCACATTCCCACAACAGAAGTGCAACCTAGAGCAGTGGTTCCCAATTATCTAATTACTGAGGACCCCCTATTTTTCAAAAGCCATGCCACAGACCCCCTAGTTTTGTAAATTTTGATAACTCTATGGTAGTTACCTCTGCAAAGCAATTTTTAAAAACAAAATGTGGGGTAGCCCCTAATAAGCAAAGGATTTTAGGTATACTAAAAAAATTAGACCATACAATTTGTGATATTACTATGCAAAAATGACAAAAAAATTAGTTGAGGTTGAGGCAAGGGATGGAGCCACAAACCCCCTGGGGGCATTCCATGGACCCCTAACTGGGAACCACTGACCTAATATCTCAGCCGGCAAATGAGTAACAGCCATGCAATTGTAAAGCATTGCTTGTATAGCATTTATACTATACATAATGCTGTATAGCATTTATGGAAACATCTCTGTTTCTCAGCAGCAGCCTTACAGCCCCAGAGTAGGGACAATGTGAGTCCTGAAGGATGAGGAGCAAATTTCTAGTATTCATTGTTCCAATGTGGAGGGACCTGAATGAGCTCCTCATCTTTCAGGAGAAACCATCAGATAACCTATCTTCCCCAATCTAGTGCCCTCCAGAAATTTTGGAATACAATTCCCATCATCCCTGACCATGTTCCAAGCTGGCTGGGGATGATGGGAGCTGTAATCCACAACATATGGAGGGCAGCAGGTTGGGGAAGACTACTATAGTTTCAGTAGGATGAGTGGCCGCTTAGCCAGAGCTAAGGAAGTCATAAGTGAGTCACCAGCCAACTCACAATGAGAGCTGAATGATCCCACGATGTCACTCTACCCATTTTCTCCAAATACAACACCAAGCCAGCAGCTGAAAAAGGCCATGGTGCCTTCCTTTGCAAAAGCTTCCATGGCTGGAGATTTGCTTGGGGAAGGCAATAGGCTTCCCATGAGAATGGCGTTACTCCTGTTGTCGGGATAATAGCTCATAAAACTGCACATTACATGTTTATATTATTAGCTTCCTGAGGGACATCAGCATTTTGCTGGGGATAGGGATGAAGTTGATCACATGCACAAATAAGAACAATTAATTTAACAGCAGGCAGGCAGCACAGCAGGAAATGGCAAGGCAATTGGACACACAAGACAGTGGTTCAAGTCCCACCCTGGGTAATTGTGGGGGGGGGGGCACCTGAAGGAGCACAGGAATAATTTACTGAGCCCAATATGTTTTGAATATAAATCCTTCTTCAGGGGTACTATACAATACATAGAATACAAAACTATACTGTATCATAATCTAGGTTTGATCTTTGCCTATGATCTGACAGGAAAAAAGACTGGGAAAAGGACAAATGCGCACACTTGGTGTTTCCTTAGGCTAAAGTCCTAAAGACACTTACCCCTAGAACTTGAACACAAAGGGACTTACATAAACATACAAAGGAAGGTATTGTAAGAGGTGGAAGACCTGGACTGAAATGTGTGTATATGATTTTTGTTGATCTTGCTGATGTACAGAGCGATACTAAGATTTTTTTACTGTGCTGTACTGTGTTCAGTGCAATTTAATCCCAAGAAAGTGTACATATAAACCTGCAACCTTAAAAATGTTACTTTGATATCTTCAAAATACATATTCATAAATCACACTAGTTGGATTGAATATTTGGAGTATATTAATTTCAGTGTATACTAATTATTATGGCTATTGGTCTGTTAACAAATGTTTTGTGACATTAATTTGCACAAAAATTCATCTAAATTGGAAAGTCTATTGAATCATTGATTGTCAATGCAAGTTGGCAATCTTCCAAGAGGATTCCATGAATCCAATATGCCTGGTATAGCCAGAGAATACTTTTCTTGGTTGTGATACTATCCGCCCCACAACAGTTTGAATCCAGTACAGTGGTACCTTGGGTTAAGAACTTAATTCGTTCCGGAGGTCCGTTCTTAACCTGAAACTGTTCTTAACCTGAGGTACCACTTTAGCTAATGGGGTCTCCCGTTGCCGCTGCGCCACAGCCGCTCGATTTCTGTTCTCATTCTGAAGCAAAGTTCTTAACCCGAGGTACTATTTCTGGGTTAGCAGAGTCTGTAACCTGAAGCGTCTGTAACCCGAGGTACCACTGTATTCCAAATTGCTGGTTCTTCCTGAATGCTTTCCCCTCTGTTAACTTAAAGTCACATATTTCTAATGGTTTTTATTTTCCTCACATTATCCAGCTTCTCACATTTTGTAGAGAAGCAGATGGTTTCAAAACTGGTACTCCCCCACTCCCGCAACAGAAAAGTATTGCCATATATATGAGCTTTAGCGGGAGAATCCATTATACCCCTTCCAAAATTGGGTGGGGTGATTGTGGGGAGAAAGACTACATGGTTGCTTTGGGAGGGCAGGATGTTCAAACCGTCGAGATTGTCATAATAGAATTTTATTATTCAAAATGTTACAGACCTAGAATTTGAGATTATGAAAAAAATCTTTGACAGCGTGTTCAGGGAGGTGAGAGATAGTCTAGAAATCAAACATATTCAATACTAGAAATTGGCACAGTCCAAGTTTATAAATGTCAGCCAAGCAATGCAGAATAAAGGAGTACGGCAATGATCTGTGCATTGGGTGGATTGCACAAAGAACTCATGCTGTAAGGCTCTCACACAATGGAACTACAGTTCCCACAATCCACCGCGAAGAAAAGCCTTCCGGCCCAGTGCAAGTACACTTTCGGAAGAGTAACATAAACATCACGTTAGGTATATAAATGACAGCAGACGGATCCCTTCAACTTCCGGGTTCGAATCACGCTTTGTTAAATGATGAAAACTAAGATTTCACTTTGTGACTCAGGCTACCTCCAACTTGGGATAACAATACTGGGTGTAACATGAAATGGGGTTACAGTATATGCTATCTTGCAAGATTCTGAATTCGCAGCAGACAGAAAGACATATAATACAACTCTTCCCTTGTCTCCCGAGATAGACGGATGGCCAACCAACCTAACGGGGCTATAAAGAATTATCCGCTGTAGCCGGACTCTAACCTGCCGTGTTCAGAAGGATCTTTATTGCACGGATGTTGAAAGCCAAGCTCTCCTATCCGCACCTCTGCAGTATATCTAATGCACTACATTTTCATTGGCATTTGAATCGTCAGGACTATATTTTTAACAAGGTAGAACAATATTTAAATGCACAACTTTTTTTTTAAGGATGAACTCCTCTCTTGACTGCCCTGTTCTATTTGGGAGTGGACGCGCTAAGGCACAATCACGTAGCTACCTTAAAGCTTTGATTTCTCACTTCCGCCCCGAGGCCATGTACTGTATTTGATTTCTTATCGGAAACCCGAAACGACGCGTTCGAGCAGCGCGATGGTCCCCTCTACCCTTTCTATCTCTCCCTGAAACCCCGGGCGAGCCAACTGGAGGAGGGCTTTCCTTTCCCTCGCCAAGAAACTCGGTTTCCCAGCATGCTTCGCTTCGCGTCCCGAGCATGCGCTTTGCCGCCTGCGCTGTCGCTTTGCTTTGGCATTGACTGAGGCGGCGGCGGCGCGCGGGCGCTCGCCATGGAGTCCTACGATGTGATCGCGAACCAGCCGGTGGTGATTGATAACGTGAGTCCGGCCCTGACTGGGCCCCTCTGTGCTGTGGCCCTCTGAGGAGGTGGGGGCGGGGAAGTTATGCCGCGATGCCTGTGGGCTGCCGGGGCCTTGGACTCTCCCCTGGAAACCCTTCGGCGCCCCTCCTCTTCCCAGGAGGCTCCCCTTCCTTTTCATCCGGTTCTTCGTGCACCATCACCTGCTTCCCGAAGCTGGTCCTTCTTGTCTCCCTTTCAATGACCCAGCCCGGGTTCCCATTGGCTGCTTCCTCTGCCAGTCAGTCGCTGGGCGGTGCATTGCGAAGAACAACAGAGCCTTAATTAAGGGGTAGTTCACGCCCTTGGGCTTCTTCGTCCTCTGATTGGCTCCTTACGTGGCTACTCGCTTGGGTTTATCCACTTAAGCCTTCAGGACCCCAGCTTGTCCCGCCTTTTTGAAGTCCATTGGCTATTATTGGAGATTAGACTGTACTAGTTGGTCTTCTTGACCCTTAAATTTCGCCTGGTTTGTTATGATTGGTTAGTGGTGGAGAAACGAGTACTGTATGTGGTCTGGTGATGTTCTTAAGAGTGTAGTCTCCTGTGAGGCCTTGGTTGTGTGCCCTGCTTTCCTCTGGAAGCTAATTTCTATTCTCCCAGCAGGCATTTCTGCAGGTGGAAACCAGTGTTAGATGCTGCCTCTAGTTCCAACATAATATGTTCTGTATTAAGAACAGTGCTTCCCAAAATGCCTTGAAAAACCACCGGTTACATATTCCCTCAACACCTTTCTCATGGGCCTTTATTCAAACAATAACTCTAAAGGTCTGGCAGGGGTGATAAAACAGGCTGACTCTTCAGCAAAGGGTTTGTTTTTTTTACTCTCAAGTGGTGGGTAAATTTTATGACATAATAAAATACCAAAATGAGTAATATTCCCTTTATTCTCCTTAATCACGCTGCCTCTGCTGACCTTTACGCTTCTCATTTAGAAGCATGAGCTTGTATCACCCACCCACACACCCAGAGAGGCTTCAGTGCTTTTTCTTCATTCTGTTTGGCCTTGGGCAGTACAGTGAATTTTTCTGCACTTTCATTGCCTGTTTGCTAGTATGAGGGTTTAATCTGTCAATTTAAATATGTATATAAAGCTTCCTCTGAAATCTCTGGAAATGGAATCCTTTCTTACTAATGTTCTGCATTAATGGACTTTGTAGAGGTGTGTGCTAGGTAGCTTGTTAAAACTGACATTATTTCTCTCCTGTATCCAGTGTCTCCTAAATATTTAAATAGCTAATAGATGAGGGCATCATCAGAAAGCACATGACACAGCAACTTTGCTGAAGCTAAGCACGTGTAGTCTTAGTCAGTGCCTGGATGGAGATTTTTGGGGTACTTTACACATACCACCTCAGGGGCAGAGAGTGTGATATATTAAATAAAAGATCATTTGGCTTGTAAGCTTAGTATTTTCCCCAGATCCCCCCTCAAAAAAAACACCACTACCATGCTGAGGAATCTCTTAAGGATACTGTGCTGCTAATGCTATTGAGGGACAGAAGAGAAGTAAATTAAAACTGTTCAGAAATCAGGAAATTTAATCTATGGAAGGTTTAGGGATGGAAGAGGATTTTTGTTCACTCCACCAAAACCTTCCCACCCATTTGATGGATCATGATCATAACAGAGACATGTGGATTAGTTTGCAAGGATAATTTACTCCAATTTAAATTAAAAATAACAATAGGATGGTCCAAGGGCTTCTCTGGCTCTTTTCTTTTTTGACCATTGGAGCAAGTAGAAATGGTTTTTTAAAAGTAAATAAGCAAGGGATACCTTCAGACTACCTTGTAACTGCCCCATAGTGCAGATTTATTTAGGATTTTGCCTTAAAAATTGAATGGATCTAGGACAGAACGGATGTACTGGTCTACTTGCATGCAAGAAACATGAACTGAATTAAGACCGTTCTGTACATTTCTCTGGAATGAGGAATCTCTGGTCTTCCCACTGTTCCTGGACTCCAATTCCCATCAGTCCCAGCCAGCATATCCAGTGGTTAGGGAGGATGGGAGTTGTAATTGGGCAACATCTGGAGAGCCACTGGTTCTGCATCTCTGATCTACATTTTCTGAAGTGCTTTGCATGCTGTTTTTCCAAGGGGCTTGCAAAAGCAGATGTTGCCCAGATACGTGCAATAATTGTGTATTCTGTTAAGTTACTAGGACATAGGATCTTTGGCTTCAGTGTATAAGTCATACATCTGGTTTTATCCGCTGTATTATTTCTGTTTCTTGAATGCACTCTGCAACTTGACTGGACTGGATGAGAAGATTGGAAATAGGATTTGCTCCCTCTGGTGGTCACTTACAACATGGACATTCCAAACACATTTACAGTACTATCATGGAATTTCTGGGGTGTTTTGCCATTGTTTGCACAGATTGGGATGGTTACAGATAAATCACTTGTGCTACATTTAGGCTGATGCACTGTTCGGTTTATTTTTACCAGAAATATTACAGGAACTGAAGCACCTTACAATAATGGTCTGTTTTTCTATAATTGTCTTCAATTCTTTTCTGCTCCACAGGGCTCTGGCATGATTAAAGCTGGCTTTGCAGGTGATCAGATACCCAAGTACTGCTTTCCAAACTAGTAAGTAGCTTGGTGCACAATTCTGGATTATATTATGGAGGCTCCATGAATTCCATATCAAGTGCAGTGCCTATTGTGGAGAAGAGTAGGTCTTGGGTTCTGTGCTGGCTCTGGAACTTGAAACAAGCTTCTCAGATCTGCCCTGACTGGCCTAATACAGGGGTGTGGTGGAGCAGAATTCCTTAATACTAAGGGCTTTGAGATTCTCTGTAATAGCTGCTTGTGGGTTTTGTATCCTTGGGTATTCTTTTCAATTACAAACCGACCCTAAGTCCTCAACTCATTACTATATTATTTCTGTACTGAGATTTGCATATGGCACATCTCCCAAGGCTGTTCAAGTACTACTTCTTAATCAGTGGTTCTAGGATGATCTCTCAGCAGTAAACTGAGGAACAATTTGTACTGTTCAATCTATTCTTTGTGTTGTGAGATTATTTTTTCCACTATGTCTTACAGCGTGGGCAGACCAAAGCATGTTCGGGTTATGGCTGGAGCTTTGGAAGGTGACATTTTCATTGGACCAAAAGCAGAGGTAAGGCAGCTGTATTGTGCTCCTCTGTCCTTGGGTAAGGCACCTGAAAGGGAAAACCTGTCCCCTTTCTTTGGTTCAAGCTTACCATCACTTGCCAGTCATATGGTTCTTCTGATAACAAGTTCAGGATTGGGACATTTTGCCCAGAATACCAGGTCACATTAGAAATATCTTGGAGTCTGAAGGCCTTTAGTATATCTGAATGCCTTGTTTATGCATATCAGAGCTTGCATAACATGTGCACATGTTTGCTAAGCAGTAAGGCACCTCTGATGTGTATCATGCATCATTTCTGTTGCCAGTATAATTTACAATTCAGGCCCAGTAGCTGCTGTGGACTGGGGAACCTGTGGCCCTCTGGATGTTGTTTGACTACAACTCCAGCCATCCCTGACCATTGCTTATGCTGGCTGGGGCTGATGAGAAATGGAGTCCAATACAGTGGTACCTCTGGTTACGTACTTAATTCGTTCCGGAGGTCCGTTCTTAACCTGAAACTGTTCTTAACTTGAAGCACCACTTTAACTAATGGGGCCTCCTGCTGCTGCCATGCCGCTGCTGCGCGATTTCTGTTCTCATCCTGAAGCAAAATTCTTAACCCGAGGTAATATTTCTGGGTTAGCGGAGTCTGTAACCTGAAGCATATGTAACCCGAGGTACCACTGTAACATCTAGAGGGCCTCAGCTCCCTGAGTTCTGGGTAGGGTTTGGGAAATGGTTGTTAAGTCAGTCCAGATAACAGTTTGTGTTAAGATTAATCACTGAATATCTCTGCTTGCCAAAGTCCAGACCTGATCAAATCAGTGAAAAGTGAATGCACTAATGGAGAAGAGCTGATTTCAGGACAAAGTTCCTGATCAGTCTAGCATGTGCCCTGTCACCATCTGACTCTTGCATGGTCCCTGATTTTGAACCGTGAACATTCAGAATGAAGGAAGGACAATGGCTACAGTAGCCATCTTCATATTTGTCTCCTTGTTTCTAAATAGAAGAATAGAGATTCTCATTAACATTGCTTCCATACTGTCAATAACATATTCCCTCCTGCACAAGAGGCATGTATTATTATTATTATTACTATTATTATTATTTAAATGGTGCTGCTCAGTGGGGTTCCTGGAAAGTAGCTCCATTAAGAAATGAGCTACAAAGCCTCCATGATGGACACAGCGGGTGATTCTTCTGGCCTTCCCTCTGATTGACTAAGTGCTTTGTTTTGTTTTTTGCTTTTGCTTTGCCCAGGAGCACAGAGGCCTTCTTTCCATCCGCTACCCTATGGAGCACGGCATAGTGAAGGACTGGAATGACATGGAGCGCATTTGGCAATACGTGTACTCAAAAGACCAGCTCCAGACCTTCTCTGAAGAGGTGAGCTAACTCTATATCCACAAGTCCCAAGTGGCCAAACAAAGAGAGCCTCCCATATTTGGTTTGGTAGAAGGGCTTTGCACCCTTACTGCTTTCTGTACTTGCATTTTCCATTCTTTATCATCTATCCACATCATAACTATCCTGCATACAGCTCCCTGTATTCACTAACTCAAGTATTTACTGGTAAATATATATATATATATAGGGGATGTCAAGTTTACAGGGCTTTAAGATATGTTTGATGTAATGTGATTTCACTGAATTCTTAAAAATAGCTTTGTAAGCTATTGGATGTTGGATGAATGGGTAGTAAATAACCACAGAAAAGAATTAAAACGAAATAAGGCAAAGTTCATTGAATCAAAACTTAATGGAGAAGAGCATTTGCCTGGCCATTTGCTTCAACTTGGGTTGTTTTTCCTAGTGCCCGCTCTGCATTTCAAACGTTTTTGCTTGACTGTTAGTCCCCTTTCACACGAAGCACTCTGGAGCATGTTGCAAGGGGAGGGGCAAACACCTCTAGAATGACAACTTTTTCAAGATCATTGTGAACCTGGCTAAATTTCCCTTCTTTCAACCTATTGCAACTGGTGACAAATTCTTCCACTGCCGAATAAAGTCTTGGGGTTGCCTTTTCATTGCTTTGGGAGACCTGGAAACATCCATATGATCACTGGCGGAGCCCTACCCAACCACGTCTTTTGTGTCCCCAACCACCAGCATCCTGTACTCCTGACAGAGGCTCCCCTGAACCCACGCAAGAACCGTGAAAGAGCAGCTGAAGTTTTCTTTGAAACCTTTAATGTGCCAGCCCTGTTCATCTCCATGCAAGCTGTGCTTAGCCTGTAAGTACTTTACCCCCACCCCTTTTGCTTTCTTGGAGCTCTCTTTCATGGAAGAGAGGGCTATTAATGGCTACTAGCCAGGATGGCTATGCTCCACCTCTTTTGTTCATGCTCTGTTCCCTGGTTTCCCACAGGAATCTGGTTGGCCACTGCGATTATAGGATGCTGGATGGGCCATTGGCCTGATCCAGAAGGCTATTCTTACGTTCTTTGGAGGAGAAACAATTTTTTTTGCAATGCAAAACAAGGGTTTGCATGGGGTCTGTTTTCCCTTAAGAAAGCGGGCTGGCCGGGGTGACTAGCTTGTGTAATCTCGTGCATTTTTACTCATCAGTGGGCCGCATTGTGTTGAGAAGGGCTTACTCTCAGCTAAGTGTGCACAGGATTGCATCCTGGATCTTGTCAAAGATTACATCTTGAGAAATGCTGGCTTCTTGACTAAATGAATGTTCAGGTGTCTGTTTGTGTTAGAATTTATCACCATTGTTTGTAGAGTTCCTTCCAGTTATTTCTGTGTTAATTCTAGTTTTGTTCTCCAGCCTATCACTTTTTCAGAGCGTAGCTGTATAGTATAAACTTTCTCCCTTTGTTGTCTGAGCCAATGAAGTATCACCATCAGTGTGTTTTTGTTTCTAAAGATACCTCCTTAGTTCTAGAGAAATCAGAATAAATTAAGTAACGATTATCTTAAGAAATGGTGTTGGGGAGCCCCATTAGTTAATGTTGACTTCCGTAAATTCTGTTTTGTGTGTGTGTTCTGAAACATATTTCCTTTCTGCAGTTATGCGACAGGGCGAACTACGGGAGTGGTGTTGGACTCTGGGGATGGGGTCACCCACGCGGTTCCTATTTATGAAGGCTTTGCCATGCCCCATTCCATTATGCGGATTGACATAGCCGGCCGTGATGTCTCTCGTTTCCTTCGCCTTTATCTCCGGAAGGAAGGCTACGACTTCCACACGTCATCTGAATTTGAAATCGTCAAAACCATCAAAGAGGTACCTGGGTGCCCTTAGTCTTCTGTGGGAACTGAGTGCTGTAGAATGGGATGGAGTGCCACACCTGGTGTATCTCACCGTATCTGGCAGGGTCTGTGTTGAGATTTCAGGAAGGCTTGGGAAGAGAGGGCTGCTGCAGTTGCAGATGCCTCCTGAAGCTGAACTTTGAGCTCCAGTGCTGAACTGCATTTTCCCTGCTCTTCAACGGCACCTTCCCTTAGCGCTAGGTCCATCTCTCAGACAGAAAGGGAAGACCAATCTGTGTTCAGAAAAATGACATGATACATCCCTTCTGGGGCTATCTCTCTTCAGAACATAGGTGTGAGATAACAAGTCCGAACGCTCCTTCATGCCAGAAACTTTCTACAAACTAGCACATCCAAAAAAATGAACATAATCCTTCTTGCTAGCTTTCAATGGTCAGAGAAGTCTTTTTAAAACCTACAAAAGGGGGGAAGCTTTCAAACATGACTTCTCCCTGCCACCACTTTCTGAAGTGGTAGTTTTAGGAAGACTTCCAAACATGCCCATGTGCTGACACATATACATAGTGCAAACCCTCTCATAGTAGATATCATTGAGAACAGTGTGTCCTATGCTTGGCATATTGTGGGAAACCTCTGGTTAGCAATCTCATGTACAGAGTGCTATTGTGTCTGGGCCAAGAGTAATGTGAGTATTCTCACCAGTGTTTGTATCTAGTGTGTCTTTTAAAAGAATGTGCTTGACTGACCACCACACTCTGCTTGTCTTTCTTCCACAGCGGGCCTGTTACCTGTCAATAAACCCACAGAAGGATGAGACATTAGAAACTGAGAAAGCTCAGTACTACCTTCCTGATGGAAGCACCATTGAGGTTTGTGTAGAGGCGGCCCTGTTGGAAGTCAGATGCTGCTAAATAAGCCTCAGTTATTATTCTACAGATCAACAGACTGGTTAGGAATTGTGGCTGTTATCTGCCTTTAGGCCTGTGGTGTTCAACATAGGAAGTAAGTCTTCCTGCAAAAATTTCTAGAGGAAGAAAAAGCTCCAGCCCAAGTGTTTCAAGTGTTATAATTGGACCCTGAGGCAGAGTATATCGGTGTGTCTAGTTTTCTTGCCTTTGGTGGCTTTGTTCCTCCTCATTTGCTGTGTCAGCGGACACTGGTGAGGCTTAATGAATCCCCCTGGCTAATTGCGGAGAAGTTCCTTCTGTGGCGCAACGGCTCAGTGCATCTCACGGTTAATCAGAAGGTTGGTGGTTCGAACTCACCCAGGGACAACTGTGGGTGGGCAGGATTCCTGCATTGTAGGGGTTTGGACTTGATGACCCTCAAAGTCCCTTGCAGCTCTATGATTCTATGATTGTTAACATGGAGTTCAGGTGTGGTCTATTCTAAAACTCAACAAAGGTGTCTATATATAGTCTGTTAAGTTTCCTTCTTGTTGTTTTCCTAGGCATCATATCTGAAAGAATCTACTTTGCTAGCTGGGTCACTGTTGTTTTTTATTAAACTTGGAAAAAAGCTTGTTTCTTAACTTGATGGAATCTAATATGACAATGAGACTTGGCTTTGATAACAGACTCTTCCTCCAATATATTTGTTTTTTAAAGTTGATAGACCAGCCCTGCAAACAAGCTACTAGTCAGTAACAATTTTTACCAGCTCACTTCCCTACAAATATGTAATTGGTGGTGCCATCTCGATAGGAATGTTTTCTTCACTGGGAGAGCTTCCTTGAGTTTGTCTACTCAAAAAGGCTCAGGTATATGACCTTTGCCTCTGAGCTTCTACATGTATATCACTTCAGGCAGAGGGCCTTCTCCATGGTGGCGCCCGCCTAGCTGACTTTTAGAAGACATCTGAAGGCAGTTTTTAATGTTTAATGTTTTGTTGCTTTATTATGATTATTAATATTCTGTTGGGAGCCGCCCGAAGTGGGAGGGGAAACCCAGCCAGATGGGCGGGGTATGAATAATAATAATAATTATTATTATTATTATTATTATTATTCCTCACTATCAGCACATAAAGACTGCTTATATAGGAACAAGAAGGCCCACTCTCTCTTTTGTGCTGTTTGCAGATTGGCCCTGCCCGATTCCGAGCCCCTGAGTTGTTGTTCCGGCCAGATCTGATTGGGGAGGAGTGCGAGGGGCTGCACGAAGTCCTGGTTTTTGCCATTCAGAAGTCGGATATGGACTTGAGGCGGACACTCTTCTCCAACATTGTCCTCTCTGGAGGCTCAACACTCTTCAAAGGTTCTTTCTGTTGGTTCTTTGCCTTTGGGGACATGCTCGGCGTTCGGAGCTTAACTTGAGACTCCTTTCCATCCCTTCTTCCTTGAAGCTACCAAGGTTTACATTAGCTTCCCAGGAGTGAGGATGGGCAGAAGGAACTCCTTATGGTTCCTTTCCCTGGGGGAAAGGAGAGTTCCAGAAAGATGCTGGTTTCAACCCAGTTGGAGGAGAAAGGCTGGATATCTGAGGAAATAGTGTCAATGGCTTCCCCTCATGTCTTCTATATAATACCAAAGGGACATCATTATTCTGCCCTGCTTGGATGGTTTCCTTCCTTCCATTGCATCATTTACCTGAGATTTGTGGCCTTGCCATATAGTACACAATCCCCCACTTTCTGGTTCTCTTTCCAGGTCAGTGTTTCTGTAGACCTGGAAGCCTGAAGTATGCCTCAACTTGTTAAATATTTTCTTTAGTGAGGAGTTTGGGCAAGAGATGGAGCACAGCACCATCCATAGTGGAGGCTGCAGGCTCCTTGTCATTACCAACTGGGTGGGAGGCAGGGAGAGAAGTGAAAAGAGGGGGAGATGCCTCCACCACTACCAAGTCCCTAAATCAAGCCCTTTGGGGGTGCAGGGCCTCCATCAATTGTGGGGGAAAGAAGCCAGAATCTTAACCAGCTGCCTTGAAACTGAAGTTGACTTTTGTCTTTGGTTCAGGTTTTGGCGATAGGCTTCTGAGCGAAGTGAAGAAACTGGCCCCCAAGGATGTCAAAATCAGGGTAGGAGTTTTCTCTAGGCTCTTGCCACTCTGAGGGTAACCCATGGTATTCTCAGCAGAACTGGGTCTCTGTGGAAGATGGGATTTGATCATCTCTATCTAGTGAGTGCATTAGTTGTTCAATGTGAGCAGTTCCTCTGTTAATGGCCGTCTGCAGGGTCCTCTTCTCACGCTTGTCTTTCCGCACAGCCCATTTGCAGCAATGTGAGCAGTGGTATGGAGAGAACATTGGAATCACTTCTCTGTGCTTTTAACTCAAAGATAGCCAGACACTTCCAAAAGCACTCATTCCAGAGGTTTAGCTGTCCATTGCAACAAAACTGGCAGTCGCCTGATACCTGAAAGACCAGCGTATTTATTGTGGCAAGCTTTTGGGAGCCAAAGTCCCTTTTGACATATGCAAAATATCATGGCTTCTGCAGTCAAAATGCAACCCAGAAAGGCTGCAGAGAGGCTCTCTACCCTAGACTGCAGACCAGTTGGATGGAGCATAGCTGGGACTGATGGGAAGTGATGGCAATAATATGCTAGGGAGGAACGTGGTGAGCTTAGATTGTGGAGAATACTGGTTCCAACTAAATCCACCTTTCTTTTATTTCTCAGATATCTGCTCCTCAAGAGAGATTATATTCCACATGGATTGGGTACGTACAGCATCACTCCACTTGCTGCGCTATGAAAGCTCTCACTAATTCAGGTGGAGGAGGAAGTGACTTCCAGCCAGTGCAAAGGGAGAATCTGGCCTGTAGTCATATCCAGTGTAGTGTGGATGATTACATTTTTAATATTTATTGAATGCCTTCACAGTAAGGTTCCAGGGTGGGTTACCATAATGGAAAGAGACAAAATTAAAACCAGTTAAAAGTAATTTCCATTAGCTACCGCTAATTACTGTAGTTGTAGAGTGATGTGGTGGCTGCTTTGGAGGAGGGTGAAACTGCACCACAACTTGAGGATGCTGCAGAGAAGAGGAGAGATACCCTAGCAGGGCAGTCTGTGTGTTCTCCTAACAGGGATGGGGCAGGTTGCTGTTGCTGCTGTAGCAGCACAGCATTCTTTATCGTGTCTGCCTTTGGGGAATCATTTCCAATTTCTTTGTCTTTTGATGAACTCCCACATATCTTCTGTAACAAGATTTTGGGGCATGTTGTGGGGTGGCGAGTTGATTCGCCCAGAGCCCAGGAATCCATGATGGCCTCAAGAACTGAATGCCACCTGGAATGTCCCCTCATGTGTGCATGATATGAAAAGATGTAGGAGGGCCACCTCTTCTGGCATTAGTGTTGAGAAACCTCCAAAAAAAAACCCTGTCAGTTCTCCAGAGGACAGTTTGAATACTACTAACTGTAGGAGAAAGGGAAAATAGCCACATGGCCAGCCGAGGCCTAGCTGACTTCCTTGTCTGGTCTTCCCACAGAGGCTCCATCTTGGCTTCACTGGACACATTTAAGAAAATGTGGGTTTCGAAGAAAGAATACGAGGAAGATAGTTCCCGGGCAATCCATCGAAAAACCTTCTAGCCTGGCAGCATTCTGGGGTCTCCTTGGAGCGTCGTTCCTGTTCTCGGCTCACTTTCCTGAGTCAGTGTCTGAGGAGCTCCCAACTGGTGTGTATGTGTATGGGTAGATGAGTGCCAGCATGCCCTGGACTTTCCCGAGGGAAGGGAAGGCTGGGGTTTCGGCTTGACTTTTGATTGGTTTTGCAGGTGGCAAGTGAGAAATTGGAATGAACCTGTGGGCAAGCTCTGTTCCCTTTTCAGCTGGCCCACAGACTTTGTTTTGGGGGTGGGGAGGGGAGTACATTTGTGTCGCAGAAGATGGCAAGTATGGCTGTGGAACTGAGCAACTTAGCAGGATGGAAATGAGAGTGTGGCAAAGCAGTCAGTGCATAGGGCTCCCAATGACTGGTGGAAGAACATGGGCCACGTTGAAGGTCTGTTGTGGAACTCTGAGCACAGCAACTGACTACGACCCTGTTCCTCTCAGTTGCTCAGCAGTCGTTTTTTAGATGGCCAATTCATCGCCTCCCCCTCTACTTTTAGAATTCTCTTGCACACAAAAGAGGATAAGCACATTCCAAGCTGTTACAAACCCATTTACGGCGGTCTGTGTGTGTGTGTGTGTGTGTGTGTGTGTGTGTGTGTGAGAGAGAGAGAGAGAGAGAAAGAAAGAGAGAGAGAGAATCTGTAGTATGGTGTGTGAGAATCTGGACCACAACAGGATGGTTGGAGCAGTTAATTTTAGGAACTAGTTTGTAATGCATGGTGTAGAACAGAAACACCCTTCCCTTTTTACGCTAGACAGTCCTTGCATTGGCATCTGGTGATGAGACAGTCGTCTGTCATGCAGCCAAGTGCCCAGGGCCACTCTGCAATGTGGCCTCGTTCTCTTTTCCTTCTGCCAAGCCCCTCCCCTGCCTCATGTGTGTTCTCACGGTTTACAGTGTTCATTCTTTCCGAAAGGCCGAGGCTTTATGCCCACGTCACAATCCCCGCACAAAGGGGCTATTCAGCCACGCTTGCTGGGAAGCCCCGTAATTGCTCTTAGAATTTATTTATTGAAAGCTTTTGGTGGTAACTGATCTACTAACTGGGCCCAAAATTAGTTTCCCCCATTTTTATCTGTCCTACTATCTACTACACGTCCTGTTTTAACATGTGCACCAGCACTGGGAATACCATACTTGCTTAGTAGCGTTGGGTCAGTCCTGCAACTATCCCTGCTCCTTAGAGTACCCTGTTACTTTTGGAGTGGCTGTTTCCATGAATGCACCGCAGGATGAAACAACAAACTCTGATAGAACACTAGGAGTTGAGTAAGAGGCCTCCAGAGGGAGGCTGTCATCCCAGAGTTAATTGTTAAGTCCTTTGACTGCTTCAGTACTGCTACAGAAATGGAATGGAAAAATCATCTGCTTTGAATCGAATTTTTTATTTTTTTTAAAAATATACACATTTGGTGCTTCTTATTGTAAAGGGTTATTTTTGTTGTTTTAATGCTGCTGCTGAAAACCAAATATTTCACATTCTTGGTCACTTAAGTGTTAGAAGATGAGACAGCAGGAAACAAACATTTTGTCTCTCTGTAGGCAACTGTTGGAAGAGAAACTTCAATAGGAAGTGAGAGTGCAGGGACTCAAGAAATACCATACTTGCTTAGTGGAGGCAAAGTATTGTCCTGTTTGTTACCACTGATTTATTTTGAATGTGGACCCCTTGTGCTTTGGCTGCAAACTTCAGCTTTGCCCTTCAACTCATCAGCTTTCTCAGAAAATGTCATGAGGATTAGAATAGGCCATTTAGTTTGTTAGGAGCAGCCTGAGTCCCTTCAGTGCTCAAAGCTGCAGTTGCTGTCTGGCCTAAGGGATGGGGACATCTCATAACCTCTCCTACACAATAGATAGGTAGTTAAAATGCAGTGCAAATTTGTGTATTATGCAACACATACACACCCAGTGTTAAAAAAACTTGCAAATAAAAATGTGAGGTGATAACAGTGACAATATAAGCTTTCCTAGTCCTTCAGTCCCTTCCTAATTTTAAAAGCAGGTGCGCCCTTAGGAAGAGTAGCTGCATTAGAAGTCTTAGGCTTCTCTATTAGGATAACAGGCTTACACTTGGAAAGAAAGTGGATGTATATCTGAGCTAAGCAAGAGCTGAGCCACATCTGCCTTTCCTCCATTCTTTACAGGACACCCTTCTTCTTCTTTTTGCACCAGTGCTTTCCCTGGGAAACCCTGCTCTTTAGCAACCTGAGTTTGTTTGCTCCGATTGAGCACTAAAGAGCAGTTTTCTGCAGGGAAAGCTACAGGGCAAAAACCCAAACAGCCAGACACAGAGCTTTTTAAGTGCAGACCTGTGCCTGGAAAGAGTGGGGCAAAAGGCAAGTGTGGATAATCCCCAAGAGAAGTTGTAGCTGGTGTTTCAAAGCCAGACATATGCTACTTAAGGGCATTTCCCCTCCTGCACCTGCAAAGAGGATGTGCTTGGGCAGAGCAGTGCCATTGGTGGGTCCTGATTAGGATCTCAGCAGTATTCTCTTCTCTTTAGTTCCAAGTAACATGGCCCATAAGTGATGTATCATGAAGCTTCCCCAAGCAGGAGTGGACAAGACTGCCCAGGCAGCAAATGCTGGGACAATGTAGACATTTTTGCAGCGCGTGAGGACATAGCCACTGAAAGATAGCACAGAGCCATATTACAATATTACAGTGAATGATCTACTATAGGTTTTATCATCTCATGTGTCCCTCTTAAGACACATGCATGGCCAGGAGACCCCTCTCTCCCCTACTTCTTAAGGCCAGGGCTGGGCACCTGTGGCCTTGCAGATGTTGCTGACCTTCCATCAGGCCCAGCCACTATGGCCAAGGATTAAGGATAACGAGAGCTGTCCAGTAACATCTGGAGGGCCAAAGGTTCTCCTTCCCTGCTTCAGACAGTAGCAGTTGTATTAATACATCTTCATTGAACCAAGCCCTGTAGGTTTTTCAACTGGAGTAAAATGACATTTCTCCTAGAATGAGCCTAGCAGCTAATGGTTTTGAATGGAGTCCAGATCCTGTTTTAATAAGCTACACCTGAATGTAAAGGTTTGTTGCATCCCTGAATGAGGCCTTGAAACTGGTCTTCTCTGGCAGTTCCTATTCAACCTACCTGCTTGGATTTTCAGCCTGGGTTCAAGCAAACATGCTTTTGCTATCGGGGAGATGAAGCTTGAGAAGCAAGTAGATCTGAATGTGATTGCTAACAGATTCTTTGCTTTGACACTTCATGCTCACTTGGTGGCAGCTGCATAAATCTTGTTGGGGTGTTTTGACCAACACAGAGAGGAGGTCTTAGTGTTGATTTCAGTGGAACAGATACCAAAGGGGTCGTCCTGACTATTAGCATCTCCACTGGCAAGATGTACATCCATTAGGGTAGCCCGAGATGTTTATGGGAGGGTCTACAAAACTTACGATCTTCTGCCATAGGTAAAAGAGAAGGGCCCATATTTCTTGCCTTATACTAGAAGAATGTCATTGTGTTTGACCTGCCTGATGTCTAAAATACCTGCATACTCAGTTCAGGCTCTTCTATAAAGGCCTTGATTCTCAGTTTCCACCAGGAGTAGAGCTTTTACCCGCCCCCCCAAATAACTGTTTGAAAACATGTTTTGTGTTAATGAAATGTCTAATTTCAAATCTAGGGAAACAGTAACAATGACAGCCAGTGCATGTCAGCTTCTACTGGTAGACACGACAGAGCAACTCCTAGGTTAGTGTAATAGTCTGTTTCAGGCAATACATAGGGGAGGAGAGAGAATCCTAGAACTGTAGAGTTGGAAGGAACCCTGTGGGTCATTAGCCCCCTCCTCTCTGGTCCTTTGTGTTTTTTCCTTGTTTTTCCGCATCAGTTATCTGAAGCAGCAATGTTACACAATGAACAAACTGACAGGTGCTTCCTACAATCTAGCATTGGTTCTATCAGGCTGACACTGTACTTTGCACAGATGTGTGAACCACTGCTGGGTGCTGCCCAATGTACTTAAATAAAGTTGTTAATATACAATGTGTAGTCTGTTTAATGGGGTCGTAAAAGATCTGGAATATGAGCAAGTGCCATTCTCCTTACAGCTATGACAGCTTACTCAACATCAAGGTCGTGAAGATGCTCCTTACAATAGGTGCCAACATTTAGCTTACCTATTTGTTCAGAACAGATGTTCCCTAATTCTTCAGCTAATTACTTCTTTATACTAGAACCTTTATTTATGGGCTTAATGTAGAATAAATTAGTAGTAGAGCTCCAGGACTAAAAAGAGCAGTTTGGCTTAGAGTACTAGTTCAAACAGCAAATGCAAGGAATAAGCCAACTTTTCCTCTTGTAATTCTCCATTCTAGCATGGATTTTGTACTTGTGCAGAGAACAGACCTGTATGTAACATCCCATCTTCTCTGCACACTTGGTCACCATCTGCCTGGGATGGAGAATCTTTTTTTCAGCTCAAAGGTTCTATTATCTCAGGGTCAGGTTTCAAGAGGCCACATGCCAGAGCAATTGGTGTGATTCTCTTTTGTATAGCAAGGGGCATTCCAGCCGTGAAAATGGCTTTCCAACCAAACGAGGCATTCTTGGAGGTGGGATAGAAACACAATAAAATAAAAAGCAGATGCTTGCAGGAACAAGGATGCTCTACAAGCTGGTAAGGACATCCTACAAGCTGTGCTCAGTGGTATAGTTGAAGGCATGAGAATTTTTGGCTTGGCAAGGGGATAAACTTTTCACACCAGCTCTTTAAAAGAGCCCTCCATCTTGATTACCGTGTACATTCCCAAAACACCACACTACAAAAATAGCTTTAAAAAGAAAGACACTTTAATGAAATAAGTTTTGACGCACTTGGCTTGTTAAATTAGAGAAATAAATTAGAATGTAGCCATCGAGTGATACAAAAGTGATACTGTAAACATTTTCTCATCATCACTGCTCTCACAAATTGAGAGGGGAAATGGCAATTACAGTGGCTGGCTGAGCTACTGCCTGTAGAAACTTGAGAACGCTTCCCCACCCCCTCCAAGTGCCACCTGCTTCAGCACACAAAGAGAAGGATGCAATTTGGTCCCAAGGAGATCTGGATTCTTCCGTTTTCTACAACGGTGGCCAGAAGGGTCTCGGACCAAGAGCAGAGGGATATTCCAGTGAAGGCAGCTATTGAACTCGGGGGTCACAGGCCTTGAACCCTGATTCACACAGCCAGCTGCCTTCCTCCTTCACTGCTTGATGAAGGCAGGATGTGATTCTCAATCCCTCAGAGACTCAAGAAGATTCAGCTCTGGAATAACTTCAGGGAAGCCTGGCATTCCCCTAGCTTCCCTCAGAGGTGAGTCATCAGAAAAAGAGAGTTGTGGAAAGAGCAGAACAGTCCTGAGGAAATTCTGCTTGCCCTTCCTAGGTTGTAGAGGCAATATGAGGAGTGAGGTACTTGCTACCTCTAGGAGCCTGAGGGAGGAAGTCTCTCCTCCCTGTCTTGGCCGTAATCTACAGTCTAGTAAATCTTTTTGTCATTAGGTGATGGGCCACTTCCTGTGACTGATACTCTGCAGCCAAGCTTGGTTTTGCAACTGTCAACTCTCCTCCAGGGCAGGACATTTCTTCAGAAAAGGCATCATTTCCCCCCCTCAGCCACGTGCATAGTACCACTCTCCAAGGTCTTGTCCACTTAAGTCAATTCTGTAGGGACTAGCGTAACTCCAAATTGCTTTGCTCATGAGGAGGAAAGGGACGACAATGACTAGTACCTCCAGTATAAGCCTCAAGTTGCCCTTGGAGATTCCTGTGCTGGTAAGTATAATAGCTACAATCTTAAAAAATATCTGGTCCCACAGAAAAACTAGGATGAGTGTCTCCTGACAAAGGAGGCTGGTCTTTCATCCAAGCGAAGGGATGGGGAAATTGTGTCCTCCCCCCAGATGATGCTTGACCACAGCTCCCATCATCCCTGACCACAGGCCATGCTGACCAGGGGGACAGGACTTGGGGAAATTTTAGAAATTCATTCTAAAACAGCTTGGAACAGCTTCATTCAAGGTTGATCCCATTGTGACGTCAAAACTTGGTGGCCAGGTATACCTCCAAGCTTCTGGTGACACAGCTCTGCATCCACCTCACAGACGCCCCCCGCTTTCAGCACAAATCCTGCCATGGCTGCGATAGTGTAAGAACAGGCACACTTGTTTTCTTGAAAAGGATAAATTCCGAGAAGGAAGAGTGCTGTTTCCCCACAGAGTGAGCATGTACTATAAGTGGAGTACCCAGATGTCTTCTGGAAGGAATCAAGTCACATTTTGAAGAGATTCTGGCTTTCACAGTTCAACTATGCCCTGATAGGATGGGTGCAGGGAGCGAGGTATGCCGAACAATCAAATCCAGTGCAGAGGGGAAGGATGAAAGTATCAACCCTACTATCTAGCACCCAAATCAGAGCCAAGGCTCTATGTATGCAGTTCCCAAGAGGTTAGGATACAAGTACCAGGATACTCCTAGTTTACTCAATGTTTCCCCATCAACTTGTTAGTAATATACAGAATCTTTACCTGACTACTTAGCTTCCCAGTGACTTCCTCTGGAATGAATAAAAATAAACATGATCAGCAAGTCAATATTAAGAATTTTCTTTTTTCTTTTTTAAGGCAAGGTGATGACTTTTTCTGGACCAACTTTGGCTGAAGATAGCAGATGCAAGCTTTTAACACTCTCATGACCTCTTCAAGGTGGATCCTACACAGTCCTGCCTTGGGGGCGGGGGACACTCCAGGAGGTGCCATATTTTTCGCTCCATAAGACGCACTTTTTTTCTCCTAAAAAGTAAGGGGAAATGTCTGCATCTTATGGAGCGAATGTGTGGTCCCTGGAGCCGAATTGCCCAGGGGCAAAAAGCAGATTGTGTTGAAAAGTGTTGAAAGGGGGTGTTGAAAGGAAGCCGCTGAGCAGTTGATCGGCAAGCGATCGGGAGGGAGATAGGGTGCAGGTAAAGGGGGGAGGTAAAGACAGCGAACTTGCAAGTAGAGGAGACAGGAATACTAAAACAAGCAATGAGGAGAGAAATTAGAAGAAAAGGAGGAGCAAAAAACTGCTCCAGCTAAGGAAAAGACGCTAAGGCAAACAAGAGGGAAGGGGGTGTTGAAACGAAGCCGCTGAGCAACTGATCAGCAAGCGATCAGGAGGGAGATAAGGGACGCTAGCGATAAAGGAGGCTGCTTGGAAGGGGGGAGGTAAAAGCATGGATCCTCAGGATTTTTGCATTGGGTCACCCCAAATTCACCATCAAATCACATAGCATGTCCATGGCTATAGCCTGCACCAAAGAAATCACGCATCCACTGTTTCGTGGGGCCGCAATGGCACAAAAATGTGGTTACAAAGCACGGATCCACAAGGATCCTCAGGATTTTTGCATTGGGTCACCCCAAATTCACCATCAGATCACATATCATGTCTGTGGCCACAGCATGAACCACAAAAATCATACATCCACTGTCTCGTTCAGAATATTTTTTTCTTGTTTTCCTCCTCTAAAAACTAGGTGCGTCTTATGGTCAGGTGCGTCTTATGGAGCAAAAAATACGGCTTATTGCGAAGCTTTGGTCAAAAAGGACTATCAGCCATACAGGCTGAAAGACTATGGAAGTGCTTTAGCTGCAAACCATAAACTTTGCTGGACTTGGTTACTGCCTATGATACTGTGTTTTAAAATTTAGAACAATTACAGCAAAATAAGAGAATCAGAGTTGTCAATGACAAAGGATCCCGTGGGACGGCAGCTGCGGCAGCCCCTAAGTCAGCTGCTGTTCCTGCTGGTGCTGGCGGGGGTGAGAAGAAGCGGGCCTCTAGGGACCCTAAGGCCCAAGTACAAAATTATAAGGAGCAGAACCAGTGCCTAACTATTGAAAAGGAGCAACAAAACATAGACAGACAGGAGGGGGAGGAGCTGAAGCTGCTGAAGGACAAGGACAAGGCCTTGGCCCAGGAGCTCCAAGAGAAGGAGAACAAGATGGAGGGAGTCAACAATAAGCTGAGTGAGCAGATGCGGACCTGACCAGCCACAAGAGGGAGGACAACCTAGACGAGGAGCTAAAGAATGTCAGGGCCCTCAACTGGCAGCTGCGTGAGGAGGCCAAGACCTCGGCCCAGAAGCTCCAAGAGAGCCATGAGAGGGAGAAGCAGCTGGTGGAGCAGTTGTAGCTGCTGCAAGAGACCAGCAAGAGCCAAAGCCAGAGAATATTGGAGCTGCAAGCCAAGGAGGATTTGGGAGATCAGAGAGGGCAACATCTGTATCTGCTGCCGTGTGCTGGAGAAAGAGGCATGGACCTGCCAAATGCAAGGAAGAGTGTTTAACTTTTGTATATTTATATAAAGAAAATTATATAAAGGGGGAAAAAAGAACCAAACCATTAGTAACTAGAAACCAAACCATATCAATACTGCCTGTGACCTTCATCAATTACATGTGGCCTTGCTGAATCAATTTCCTCCAAAAGTTTGCGTAAGGAGGTGCATTTTTAAGTGACGCTGAAAACCAGGTAACGGCAGCGCCAACTCAAAAGCTTCCACTCACCAACTTTAACCAAGAAGAGTATCAGTTGCCCTTTTTCTTCTACCCACGCCTTGTTGAGTTGATTCTGCAGAAGTCCAGAACGATCAGTGACATTTTCTGCTGATACACGGGAAAATTAAATGGTCTTGATTTCTTGGGACTGACTTTCCGTGAAAGTCTGGCGCTGAGCTTTCACTCTCTGGAGGTGCCTCCCATGCAGGGTGAATTGTGACCAGCTGAGGAGCTGCAGCAATGCACATGTGATGGGGACAAAAACAAGGAGGTAGAAGCAGCCCTGGCGCAGTGTCGGTTCCCAGGCTGTGTTGGAAGCCAACTTGGGCTGGGCACTCACGATATTGCTCAGGGCATCCCGCTGGAAAATGTCGTAACCTGGAACATAAATTGCTGAGTAAGCTGAATGTGGACTTGTTGACATTATGAGTGTTGAGAGCGTCCAGTTTCAATCTAGCTGTTGATCATGCAAAAGAGACACTGTGATTTCTACTTGAAACCTCTTCTTCATTTCTTCCCTCTATTACGCTAGCCGCAAATCCAGGCGCCTCCTTTCCATTCACTGGAAGCAGCAATCTTTGTGAACTTTCCTTGTTAAAGGGAGAAGGCAGCACCTTTCCCCAAGAACGACGTTTTCTTGGCTGCTTAGGAGAGTTTGCTTGGAGGGAGGGCTCCATCCTTGAAACATGAGGTGGAAATCCCATCCCATCCCACCCCACCACACCACACCATCCTTTCCCTTGAAACTGTAGTCAAAAGGCACCTAGAAAAGGTTCTGAAAAAGGCAGCCAACCATCAGGGGAATGGGGCAACTCCCCTATGAGGAAAAGTTGCAATGTTTGTGGCTTTTTAATTTAGAGAAAAGGGAGTAAGAGGGGACATGGTAGAGGTAAAGCATGAGACTCTGAACCTGAGGGTCCTGGTTCGCGCTCCACGTTGGGCAAATGATTCCCGCACTGAAGGGTTGGACTAGATGACTTTTGTGGTGCCTTCCAACTCTACAATTCTATGATTCTGTGAAAAGGAGGCATGGTGTGGAGAAAGTGGACACAGAAAGGTTTTTCTCCCACCTGTTACTTGAACTCTGGGCCGTCCAGTGCTCGCTTCGGCAGCACATATACTAAAAATTGAACTCTGGGCCGTCCAATGGAGCTAAATATTGGAAGATTCAGGACAGACAAGGAAATACCTCTTCACAGTCAAAATGTAGGATTTGCTCCCGCAGGAGACAATGATGGCCACCAACTTCAATGGCTTTAAAAGAGAATTAGATCAATAGCTGCTAGCCATGATGGTTATGTTTGAGTGAGTGCCAGATGCTGGGAATCACAACCGGGAAGAGCACTGTTGTGCTCAGGTCCTGCTTGCAGGCTTCCCACGGGCATCTGGCTGGCCACTGAGAGAGCAGAAAGCTGGACTAGATGGGCCTTTGGCTCTTTATATGTACTGAGGAACTAGGATCTGTGCACAACTAAGCACCCTAGCCTGCAGCTTCAAGTAGCAAGCTCACTAGGCGCTCCCCTGGAGACAGAGCAAATACTGAACATTCCACTGTGGAGAGACAGTCTTCCTTAATGGTAAGTTCATGTTCCAGCAACTGAACCCTTGAACAGTGTGTCCTGAGCAGGGACATAACATGTCAGGATGGGGTACAGATTGTACAAGCTACACCCAAGAAATATCCTGCAGGGGTAGGGAGTCCCAAATGAACATCCTCCCCTATATTATTAACAATTATCCTCCACTCTGAAGTCAGAGAAACCATCAATTGTTGTCGTCTCAATTCCCATTCCACTGCTCAGCCATGTGCCCAGCCTATCACCTACCTGTATAAGCACACAGGAGCCAGGTGCCAATCAAGGGGGCAAAGGTCTGGCCTGGTTTGGTTACCAAGGCAACCATGCCAAACAAGAGGGCCGAGGCAGCCTGCTGCCTTCGATTCAGCACCAAGTCTTCATCTACCAGGTCGGTGACCACCAAGTTCAGCAGCTTACAGGTCCCTTCCGTGAACACGCGGTTGCTGGGGAGAAGAGAAGAACAGGAAGGTTAACAGCAGACAGGGGCACTGTGGACTCTGAAAGGGTTGCAGAGAAACAAAATATATACAGAAGAACCAGAAAAACTTACTATTTACATACTTGGGGGTATGACCTACAAGGAGGTAGTACAAAACAAATGGAAAAAGGTCCTGCCTTGGATCACATGGGTTTTCACCACAAGCAACCCTTAGCTAGATTAGCACATTTTTAAAAAGTCCATCCCCCAAATTCACGAAAGCTGGATTTTTATTTAAAAACCAACAAACATTGAGTTTTTAAGGATCTTAATTCCCATGTGCCCATGCATATAACTAACACCTCACCCCGTCTGAAGATAAAGGACTCACCTGTTGCCTCTCTGGATGATCCTGAGAACAGACATATTCTCAGCAGATATAAACAGCTGAGCACACGGCCAAGAATTTACAGTTCAGCAGGATGTTGAACTAGTCCAGCCCTAGATGTTGATGGGCTATAATTTTTTAAAATCTTTATTTAGATAGTTTCATAGTAGAAAGCTATCAAGGTGGAGTACAGAACACACAAAAGCATGTTCCAAAAATGACAATTCTCACCATCCCTGACCGTTGGGCCTTTATGGTTGGGTCTGATGGGAGATGTGGACCAAGAACATCTGGAGGGAATTGGCTATTCCTGTCTAGAGTCTAGCTTTGGCTCTATGACTCATAATACATGCTTAATCAACTACCCCAATGCCATGGACATGGCCTGTTGTTCATACCCAGGCCAGTTCCCCAGGGCCTTAGGAGAGTGGGGTACCTGGCTATGAAGAAGCAGAGCAGGTAGATCCAATCTGGTCCAGCAAGGAGCATAATCACACCGAGCAACAGCTTCAGGAAGAAGAGCCCTCGCACCACTGCATATACCCCCCACCTCTGGCAGAGAGACAGGAAGTAGAGGTTGTTGAGATGAGGAGCCACGTAGGAAACTCCTAAGGAGAAAAACCAAATGGGTTCAAAGAAAGCAAGCATTCAGCTATGGCTCATTATTGTCACAAGGAACAAACGAAGTATCAATGCAGGCAACCAGCGATAAACAAACTTGCATTCTGTTGGAAACAATAAAATTTCATTTGAGACCATCTGTCTAGCCCAGCCTTCAAAAACTTTGTGCCCTCCTTCTTTGGACTGCAACTCCCAGCTGTAGTTCAAAACATCTGGAGAGTACCAGGTTAGCCAAGGCTGATCTAGTCTCACACAAGGAGTAAAATAATCCTGGTTAGCATTGCTTAAGATTTCCCTAACCAACACACTAGAGGCAGATCCAGCAACAAGTTTTCATCCTTCTTTCACAGAAGCTGCATTTATCTGAATCTGGATAAATCCTCCCCATCCAAATCCCCACCAGTTTCTAGGCAGATCTCTCTAGTCCATTTCTAGAAATCAAGCCTCCATTCCCTCCTATGCCCAACCTTGGACTCACCAAGCAGAAATGATCCCATGGAGAGTGAGATACGATCAGACAGCAGGTGCTCCAGGAAGAGGGGAAAGAAGTTGCTGTTAAAGTGGCAGTGAAAAACCTACAAAAGACGACATTTGTCAGACCTCTAAAAATGGCAATTAGAAGAGTACGTAATGTATCAAACCATAAAACAGGAATCTTCATTCCAGCCACACCAAACATGCCATGTGGGGAGGTAAATGGAGGTGTTGTGCCAAGACGCTCAGAGTGCACAACAATCTCTAGGAGGAGCACAGGAAGAGAATAACTATGACACAGGGAGGCAGTGGGGGGGAGGGGAGTGATGGGAATGCTCTCTCGTGGGCTCTGCTTTGACATCACACTCTCTCAAAATTACCCTGAAAGGCTGTGCTCCAATCATTTAAGGTGCAGAAGCAGCTGATTTCCCCTCATCCCATTTGTGCCACACCATAGGATGGCTGTATCTATATCAGCATCTGCCTGGAGGCAAGAGGAGGGCTGATGCCAATAGCCTTCTGGACTGTCCTCATGCAACCAAGCGACAGCGATGAGGGGTGAAGAGAGAGCCTTTGTTTGCCCCTGTGCTATAGCCACTGAAAGGCTGGCTCCAGCTCTGTTCCTCAAACAGAAGGCCTTGATTTGCTGTGGGAGAGGGAAGGATTTTCCTGAGAACACAGATTCTTATCACAGACATGCATCATGCAAGCCCTTCTTTGAGCCTGTGCAGGAAATCAAAGGCTATTTTGATAAAGCCTGTGCATCAGCTGCAGACTGACCTGTGAAATTCATTCTACAAAAATCCAGATCAGTGTCACATTCTAATCCACACCTCGCCAAATATTTATTGGCTACAATAGGCAGGAGGTTGGCCTCAGGAGCAAGAAAGATTTATTCTGTCATGCGGGAGGCCACCTGGACTCTGATAGGTGAGCCCATGCTACACCTACCTGGATCAGGTTCATAGAGACAAACCAGAGAAAGTTGCGGTGTCGAGAGAGCTGCTTGAGGTACTCGGCCAGAGTGATTCTCTTCTCTTGTTGCACAGATGGATGGTCAATATACAGTCTGGAGGAACAAATGGGCACATTTCAGTCAGTATCAAGTGATGGGTAAAGTGCCAAGTTCAAATCTGTATTCAGTCTTACAGAGCTTTTGAAAAGATAATACAGGATAGTCCCAAGGCAGTCACAAATGAGCTCCTTGAAATGGCAGAATGCAAATGACGCAATATGTTATTGCGCAGCCAATTTAGATTCTGTAATAACAACAACCATCACACTGTGTTCTTAATGTTCTTACCAGAGAAGTCTGCCTTTGTCTTTTTCACAGAATATGTTTTGAACTAGTTTACAAAATCAAAAGGCAATAAAAATACAATTTATGCTTGATTAAAAATTGACTAGGATAAAACTACTAGGGGTTAACTAGTATCACTGAATTAACTCCAGCACAGAAGGCCAGAACCATATTTTTTTTACAGAGAAACATTTGGAAAATCATTTCGACAGACTGTTCAATACAGTATTTTGCCCCAGTTTTTTGCTACCAGCATTGGACATTCAGTGGTGAGATCTATACACACTGTGGATACTAATATCTTCTTTCATCCTTCTGCATCTCAGAATACTGAAGCTAACACTTTCATAGAAAGGGAGGCAGAGCAAGGGCAAAGACTGGCACTCAGCTATCACTATCATATGAGGTACTGTAGACCACCTGGGCCTTAGCATCTATTGAATTAGCATCTATTGCAGTGCTTTTTTTCCTTGAAAAATGTTTAGGGGTACTCTCATTTTGACTCAAGAAAATCACCATTTTATAGTTCAAATCGGGAAAAATAAATACAGTAAATGGACAAAAGTACAAAGATTCATCAAATGTTTAGGGGTATGCGTACCCCCAGAAAAAAAGCACTGATTATATGCGTTGTTTATCCTGCCTTTCTAAAAGCAAAATCACTTTGCAAAATACACACAGAGGGAGAGAGATTTTGAAAGCACAATTTTTAAAAAGACAACAAGACCACGGCTAGTACTAAGTAGGCACTGCTCCTAACCTTGATAGAGGAAAGGAACAAGAAGCAAGGTATCTCCAGAAGACAGGCCTACTGTGCACCCACTTGCCAGCTAGACCCTGCTGCTTATGCCAGCTAGTCACATCCAGAGAGTCAAGTGTAAAATCCCATTAGCCCAGGTACTGAGGCCATGGTCACATGTAGGTAGTTAATTCACTGTGTAAAAGCTCTCCATCACACTAGGAAGGCATGGCTTCCTTGCCCTCCCATCAACCATGGATCAAGAAGCCCAAATGCATGCTTCATTTTTTAATCAAACTGCACACATATTACTCTCCCTGAACTTGGGAATGTTTGTGCCTGCTGTTTCAAAGAACCTTGCAGCGTGTTAAAGTGTCCGCTGTTGGCCTACAAGCGATACACTATGCTCATTGGACAGCATATTTAAAAGGAGAATGGTTATTATAGAACCCGGCGCCACTCACTCTTTCAAAGCTGCGTTTTCATCCCACTTCACGTGTCCCTCAGTCTGAAACCTCTGCCTCAGGAGCCATGTGGCCAGGGTAAAACCAACTGCCGAGCCAAAAGCCAGCACCACACAAAATATCCGGAAGGAGAAGAAGTCCTCCTTGTTCCACACAGCATAGGACATGAAGACAGAGAGAGAGCCAATGGCACTGAAGAGTGAGGAGTAGAAATTGAGGCCGGTCCTGTCCTTTGCGGACACAGCGAGGTCAGCGAGCAAAGCGTTCTGGTTGAGATCCACCATGGTGAGGAAGCTGTCATACAGGCAGAGGCAGATGAGGAATTGCAGGCCTGGGGTGGCCCAGGCAATCCAGAAAGCCAGGAATGACATAGCAAAGAGGGGGCCATTGCGGCTCAGGGCCTTGAGTCTCTTCAAAACCACTTCCGGAGTGGAAATCGCCACTCCAGACCTACAAGAGAAGGAACACATTGCCCATGAAAATTGGATGGGCCTCCTCCCACAACTATAAAATTACATAGCGGTTTTCCTCCTCTTCAATCTTTTATGTTATCCATTCACCTCGCCTTTCTGCTACCCTCTTTCATCACTGTTTAGCACTCTTTCCTTTGTTTTGATTGTCTAAAAGTTTGTACCCCATTAAACCAGTGTGTGTGTGTGTGTGTGTGTGTGTGTGTGTGTTTCTCAAAACCATTCTAGCAAGCCAATTTGCTCTGTCACTCTGGACATTGGTCCATCTTCCCTACATTGTCATCACACATGCATATATATCACAAACTCATCCTTCAGGTGTGGACCTTCATAATAGCAACAGTACCATCTACCCACAGGAATGAGGCATCAGCAGGCTTGGAAGAATCCAAAGTTTTGCAAAAATGAAAAAAAACTTAAGGGGGTGAGGACACAAAACAGCTCAGTATGGACTGAGCATGCTCAGGGGCCACAGTATACTGTCTACCTGCTGTAGAAAACCAGAAGAGGGGAGAGAAACAGCAGTTCCTTAAAAAGAGCATGACTGGCTGGAAGCTTAGACTCCACTGCAGTGTACTGTTGTAGGTCCCACTTTTGTTGTTTATAATGCTCATACTGCACCATTGTGCACACAGGAAACGGCCTTAAACTGATTCATACCATTGGTCTACCCAACTCAGTGCTGTCTGCACTGACTGGAAGGCTCTCCAGGGTTTCTGACCAGGGTCTCTCCCAGTTCTTCCTAGAGATGTCAGGGATTGAAAATGGAACCTTCTGAATGCTGGCCCTTCCTCAAAGAAGCTAAACCTGGATAATTCACCACCACAGTGTGCAAATTCATCATTCAGCGAAATAAAAACAAGTATCCACCATTTCCAAGAAGAGGAAAAGGATATAACTCATTATTGGTACCAGACAAGGAGGGAGGGGAGACGAGATGAAAGGCAACCGGACTGCTAGTCAAAACGAGGCCCACATGTACAACTGAATGGGTTAAAAGTTGTGAGAGTTGCCTCCAGAGAAATATGCTTGTTAAAAGAAACTAATCATTTAAACATGTTCTTTCAGTGGTCTCCTTGACCCTTCATAGCAATTCAGCACTCTTTAATATTCAATGCAGGACATAAATAAAGCTCTACTTACTGTTGCGTGCTAAGGAAAGCCCGATCACTCAGCCAGCCAAAGAGAGGATCGTTGAGGCTGTTCCAAATCAGAAACACAGTCTGGAGGAAAAGTACAGAATACCCAGTGAGACAGTCTGTGGTTAAAACCACTTCAACATCCAATCCTCCTGCTGCAGACATAATTATTATTTTAGTAGTTAACAATGTCCGGTTTAAAGACTTCTGCAAGCAATAACGGAAGTGGTCACTGATACGCAACAGCTTTTCTATGCCAGTGCTCTCCAGATCAAATACTGCCCTTGTGAATGGTCACTTTGTTGATTTTAAGTTTGACATAGAATCGCCACCACACACCGTACTTTTTGCACTTCATTGCCATTTAATCTCGCTTTTTACCACTGTTTCAGATAGAGACAACTGCCAACTGAGGATGAACAATTAGGAACCTTATTCACAAAAGCTGTGCCATAAAATATACACTATTATTAGCCTTTAAGATGCCACGAGCCTCTTTGTTGTTTCAGAACCCAGTTATCTAGCTCTGACAAAGCAGGGAGGAAATGTGAGTTGTTAAAAAATTCAAAACTCACCTCTCCAACCCAGAAGGAGAGTTTATCAATCTTATATACAGAAACAAAGGTGTCCACGTAGTAGAGGAGGAAGACGTTGTGCAAAATGGAAATGAAGAGGGACAGAGACCCGTAGACCACCGCAACAGGCAGGTTGAAGAGGCAAGCCAACAGCCTGAACCCCATGGTGGCTCACTCAGAGTCCTTGGGCTGCCCACATCACCTCCAGTTCCAATAGGGTCTCTCCCTCCAGCACCTACTAGTTCTTGGATGGAGCCGAACCATCATTACCCCTGTCAGAGAGAAAACATAATTGTGCAGTTCAGTTTCTTAGATTCAGTGCATTTCCTCTTCCTGACCCACCTACTATCTCCAAAAGAACCAGGTCCATTTAGCTTGGGGCCAATAAATAAATAAATAAATAAATAAAAATCTAGCTGCAGGCAGTTTTTGCTCTCTGGTTCAAAAGGAGATTTCTAATAGGATTTAAAGGCTAAGGCTGTCTTACAGTAGCAAAGAAGGTTTACTAAGCCAGGGCATCAGCTGGCTGCAGCCTTCAGAGCCGAGGAAGACAGAGGAGGGCCTACTGTGCTTTTATATGCTGCCTATAATGCTCTTCATTGTCTGCTTGAGACCCAGATTAGCTTGTATCCATAGCTTCAGGTGAGAGTGTAGAGGTGAGAAATAGCTAGCAGACCTGCATGGAGACACCAGCTGCAGAAAATGGAGCTGTCTCCTAGTTTCCATGAACAGCTCAAAAACAAGGCCATCACTAATGCCAAAAGTAGCCCTTCAGCTGCCTACATTTACAGCTTTAGTGGGCAGAAGATAAGTCTCACCTGTGTGCCTTCCATTATAGTAGATATAAAACAGCTGTTGTGTGTCAAAAGCAATGGGAGGAGGAGAGCAAAGGGCAGGGAACAAATCTAAGGGTTGAAGTGACCAATATCCAACAATAATCATACTGAGAGTAAATTCAATGAAATCAATTTACTTAGGTCCATTATTTCAGTAGGCCTACTCTAATTAACAATGAACTCTTAATTTGGGTCCATCTCACTCTGTGTTTTGCTTCCAATAGCATCCACAATAGTGTTCTGTTGACTGAATAATAACAAGTACTGTATCAAATTTCATGAGCAAGGCATGATGGCAGCAGTGACTCTTTGCCGTTCCTTCCCTCTACATCTGAGCACTGTGGTTCTGTTTAACCATCCTATCTAACAGCTGCAGAATGACTTGCTCAAAAGTAACATATCTATAGCATGCATATCTCTATAAACCAACCCCATCACTACTGTGTTTTCTGTTGTAATCCCACATTTTAAAGCCACAATGTTTGAGGTGCTAAATTGTTTAGTGCATCCAGTGGATTGCACCTGAATCAACAGCTCTCACACCCCATTTGTTCTCAGAGCACAACTGGTTTCATCTGCCCAGCTGAGGGCTACCCCATCTGTTCCGTTTGAGGATAGCCACCAATCCATCATGGTTAATGGAAGCACACGTGGGCTCCTATAGCCCACTCCCAAAACACAGTGTGGGAGTAAAACCATACCATTATTTGAAACTGATCATAATACAAGAACTTGGGGCCATTCAAGGAAGCTGAAGTTTGAAAGGCTCAGGATAAATGGAAGTACTTCTTCACAGCACACATAGTTAAACTTCAGAAATTTTCTACCACAAGATGTAAAAAAGATAAAACAAATTCATGGAGAATAAGGCTGTCAATGGATACTATCCCATTATGGCTGTACAGTCATACCTTGGAAGTCAAATGGAATTCGTTCCAGAAGTCCGTTCGACTTCCAAAACATTCGGAAACCAAAGCACAACTCCTGCAGCCAAAAAAAGTTCAAAAACCAGAACACTCACTTCTAGGTTTCGATCGTTCGGGAGCTGAAATTTATGAGTACCAAGGCATGCGACAACCAAGGTACGACTGTATATTATTTCCTGTATTGGCTGCGATGTGCCTCTGAATACCAGTTTTTCAGAATCACAACTGCGGAGAGTGTTGCACAGGCATCTGCCCGCCTATGCAATAACAGGAAGGGAATAGGGAAGAGGAGCAATCCATGCACTGCTTATTGAATTGCAAGGCAACAATGTGTACAGGTTTATCTTGCCCTGGACACTGTTTTAACTTGCCCCAGATGAGTAGTTATTGTCAAGTCCTCTTTCAGCAGCACATCACTACTTAAAATGAATTAAAAATAAATAATTGCACTACAATACCTTGCAGAGATGACACAAGCAGGGATGAACTCTTGCAGCAGTGGCACATTGGTTCAGTGACTGCCTTAACTTGAAGGCATTAGTAGGTAACATCACTAAAAATGAAACACATACATCCTTGCACTGAGTGGCACATTGGGTATTTAGAAGTGGGCTCAGTTAATCTTAGAAACATTTACTCAGATTTATATTTTAGCAATGTGGCTTGAACAAGATGATTAAAATTAGTTCAAATTAGTTCAAAATTAGTTCAAATTAGTTCAAAAATTAGTTAAATTCAGAGTTAGGGCCCAATACGTTATTAATGTAAAATAAGGGAAATAAGTATCAGGGTATCTTTCTAGAGCTATTTAGCCTGAAAATGAAACTAGGAAGTTTCGCTTCTTTTTCAGCCACATCAGCTGACGTGTTTCAGCAACATGGAACCACGTCCTCATACAAGAAAGTAGAGTCATAGCTTTGACTAATATTGTAGGCAGCCTTTTCTGTCTATGCACCCATTAGTCAAAATGTTGCCGAGACATTACTGGGAATCAAACTATGCTTCCCCACATCTAAAACGGCAGATGCTTAGCAGCTTGAGCTAGAAAACTAAACTGTGCCGCCAGAGATTCATGGACCTTCTGCTGGAAGAAAGCACATAACACAGTTTGAACACTTAATAATCAAGCCTCTGCTGGAAACTGAATGGGGTGGAAAGCATTTACAAGCAAAGATCAGACTGACGTTCCTAAGTTTTACTGATAGTTGATTTTTCTCATTGTCTGTTCTAGACTGTTTTAAGTTCTTTGGAGGCAGGGAAATGTCTATTTTTACATCTATAACTCTCTAAGGCACCATGAGCAATGATGGCACCGTATCAATCAAAGTACCTTGTCTATGTTCTCAGCCAGGGACCCTATATTGTGTCTAGTTGGGAGGGGTTGGGCTGTAAAACACAGAAAGTAATAGCAAAACGAAAGATTCAGTTGCATTTGCAAGGAATTTTAGACCGAGGCAGAAAATAGCCGGAAAAGATGACATGGGTTTCGCCACAATGCCTCTTTCAACATGCTGGAAATTACACCTCGAGTTGCCAGGTGAGAAGAGCTTTTTGGGGAGAAGGTTGAAGTCGTTAAATGCAACCAAGCCCCAGCCCCTCTCCCACATCCAGGAGCATAAAGGGGACATCTACACACACCTTGCAAGCGGACTGCTGAATAAGCTCATCGTGGGCTTTGTAAATCCACTTCCAGCCTTCATCTGGGTTACAAACGGGGAGTGGGAAAGGCATGATTCAACCGAAAGGCAGCTGGGCAAGAGGCCAGGGAGGGGAGCGCACGCCTTGCTCGCAGGGTCGGTGCAGAAACTCCTGTAAGCGCAGGAGATCCTGGCCAACTCATCGCCCACCTAACTAACCGCCCACCGGGAGGTAAATCGTGCTTGCGCGTCAACCCCAGCGTAGCTCTATGGAGCAGGCAATTAAGGCAGAATGAATGGGGAGACACCATTCTGCAGTCGGGCGGGGGGTGGGTGGGAAGAGGAGAATCCTGACAAAGCTCTTTCGCAGGCAGATCATTACAAACAGGAAAATAATCGAGAGCCCACCTTCTTCTACCCTCCAACTGTACCTGTACCTTCGGCCCAGATTCGCCCTCTTCCTTATCAAACTTGCGCAGTCGTACTTCATTTCCCACTAACCCGCCCTCTTTTACACGGCGTCAAGCGACAGCTGCGCGGCGGCCATTTTTGACACTGAAGGAATACTCCTTTGGACGCCATCTTTGATGCGGGCGCGACGGACAACGGCCGTTCAGCCAGGGGCGAAACGTAGGGAGGTGGTGTTTTGCCGCTCCAGTGGGCGGGGAGAGAGAGGCTCCTGATTCTGCGAAGAGTGGTTCCTAGATTTGGGTAGAAGTCCTGAGATTTATATTCTCCCCAGTTTTAAAAAAATAAATCTTAAAACCCATTTTTAAATTAAAACCCATTTATTTCCTTTTTAAAAAGTTTACATTTTGTTATTTAGTTTATAGTCTCATCGACATAGTTCTTCAAAACAATAGGTTTTTTTATCAACTCTTTTTTAAAGGTGAGGGCATTATTACATTATATATATATATTTATAGGCTTTAATGCAGCAAAAGGTATTTCTTTGTAGTAAAACAAGTGCATACTATGATTTGACAAAATATGTTACTTTTCTCCAGACTATAGTGATTTGTCTCCAAAAAGACTCCGAAAATGTACTGGGGGAGAAATGTCCATTTAAAACATTTTCAAAACTTATAAAATCGCAATAAATTCAACAAACTCCAACTTCAGCTATATATTATTACCAGCATATTGATGTTTTCAATGGCATTTGGACTGCTCTTTCTGTTTTTGAGTTTCTACTGGCTCCTCCTGGTTTGATTTATTCATTCTGGCTGCTGTGATGTTTATTATGATTATGTTTTCTTGTAGCTAGCTGTTAACTGTCTTGAAACACTGTAAAAAGGTAGGATACAAATCTATAAATAAAACATTCAAGTTAAATTGCCTTAATGAGCTTGTTGAATGTTGCCTGTAATATTTTTCACAAATAAAATGTGTTATCGAGGCAGAATTCAGAATTGTAATCTTGAACCACATGAGGATATGTGGAATTAAATGTTATTTAACGTTGTAAACCTAACACCACTTACCTGGGAGTAAGTTCCATTGAATTCAGTTGAACTTAATTCTGAATAGACATGATTAGAGTGCACTGTAAAGCAGTGTGATTGTGTGCCTCAAAACCAAAATAGTCTGGAAAATATGGGAGACAATGGTAAAGGAAATAACAGTGGTCAAAAAAATCATTTGGTATGTTTCTTTGGTCTTCCTGAGAACTCAGAACCATGTATGAGTCAGAGGATGGTGGTTATTCACAGTCCCATGAATATTATTTTATTTTGTCTCCCCTATTGTTACTAATAAATGACTCACATGTTCCACTTGCCCAGGGAGGGCTATCATACAGCTATTTGTTTAGACCAGGGGTCAGCAAACTTTTTCAACAGGGAGCCGGTCCACTGTCCCTCAAACCTTGGGAGGGGGCCGGACTATATGTTTTTTTGGGGGGGGGAATGAATGAATTCCTATGCCCCACAAATAACCCAGAGATGCATTTTAAATAAAAGCACACATTTTACTCATGTAAAAACACGCTGATTCCCAGACTGTGGGCCAGATTTAGAAGGTGATTGGGCCGGATGCAACCCCCAGGCTTTAGTTTGCCTACCCATGGTTTAGAGGTAAGGAAGAAGGCAGAGCTGTTTAGTAGCTATCAGTGTATCTGAAATAGCACACACACAATGGAGTAACAGAGGGTCTGATAACTCTGCCAGAGTTTTCACCAACCTCATGCATATGGCTTAACAAATGCTTCGGTCCCCTTTCAATATAAGGGTCTATCTATCAGGCTCCTAATGTCAGCCTGATTTATGGACAGTCCTGCTGGACCCCTCTAGTCCAGCATCTTGTCCTCACAGTGACCATCCAGATGCCTATGGGACACACTGCCTATGGAGATCAGACAGGCTCCTTCAGCAGCTGCTAAAAACATTTTCATTTAGACAAGCCTACCAATATATTTAGAGTGCTGGTATGTTTTTAGTTTATTGCTTGTTTCAATTTGTTGAAAGTTTTACTTGTTTTTACCAAAATGTATATTGTTTTATATTCTTTTTGTAAACCACTTGGAGGTTTTCTAGCATCAAGCAATACATCCATTTTATGAAACAAATAAAACAAAAATAAATCCACAAGCAGGATGTGGGTGCTACAGCACTCTCCCTACTTGTGATTTCCAAGCAAATGGTATTCAGAGATATATAGCCTCCAATACTACAGGTACTATACAGCCATCATGGCTTGCAGCCTTATCTTCCATTGACTTGTCTAAACTCCTCTTGTAATCATCCAAGCTGGTGGCCATTACTACATCTTGTGATGGCAAATTCCATTGTTTAACTCTGTGTTGGATTAAATATTTTATTTTGTCTATGGTGCAATTCTAACTATGTGTACTCAGAAGTACGCTTCATTGGATAGTGTGGAGTTCTAGTGTTGTGAGAGAAGCCTAGTCACTTCTTCATACATAATTTTGCATTCTTTACCTTTCTCCTAATTCCAAAAGGCCCAAATGTTGTAACTTTTCCTCATAGGTAAGTTGCTAAAGCGCCTTGATAATTTTGCCAGCCCTTTTCTGAATATTTTCCAGCTCTACAATAACTTTTTTGAGGTGTACCAATTAGAAATGTACACAGTATTCCAAGTACATTCACATCATAGATTTATGTAAATAGCATTATGATACTGGCAGTTTGGTTTTCAATCTCTTTCTTAATTCTCCCTAACATGGTGTTCACCATTTTCAAAGCTGCCATACTCTGGGTCACATTTTTATCAAGCTATCTGCTTCACCCACCAAAGTCACTTTCCTGGTCAGTCACTGCCAATTTAAGCCTAATCTGTTTATGTAAAATTAGGTGGTTCCCCCACCCCACCCCCATTGTGCATCACTTTTCACTTGCTGACACTGGATTGCATTTGCCATTTTAATGTCCATTCACCATGTTTGGAGAGGTCTTTTGGAGAGTCATACAATCCTTTGTTTTTACCACCCTGAACAATTCAGACTCATTAGCAAACTTGGCCACCTCATTGCTCCGCATCATTTATGAACAAGTTTAAAAACATAGGTCCCAATACCAATCTATAAGGAATCCTCACTTTTTACACCTCCTTCTATTATAAGGACTGTCCATTTATTCATACTCTCTGCTTCTGGCTTTTTAGCCAGTTGTAAAGCTATAAGTAAGGGATGCGGGTGGCACTGTGGGATAAACCACAGAGCCTAGGACTTGCCGATCAGAAAGTCGGCGGTTCGAATCCCCGCGACGGGGTGAGCTCCCGTTGCTCGGTCCCTGCTCCTGCCAACCTAGCAGTTCGAAAGCACGTCAAAGTGCAAGTAGATAAATAGGTACCGCTCCTGCGGGAAGGTAAACGATGTTTCTGTGCGCTGCTCTGGTTCGCCAGAAGCGGCTTAGTCATGCTGGCCAATAAAGCGAGATGAGCGCCGCAACCCCAGAGTCGGTCACGACTGGACCTAATGGTCAGGCGTCCCTTTACCTTTACCTTTTAAAGCTATAAGTGGACATACCCTCATCCCTTGAAAGTCTACTTGCATGATAATATGCTTGTTGATAATCTTCCCCCACCTGGAATGGGCATTTCTGAAAATATTAGTAATTTTAGTCACTGTATCATTCACCTGCTTTCAAGCCTAACCTGTGAGTAAGATCCATTGAATTCAATAGCACATACTTCTGAGTAGGCATAGATAATTGGAATGAAATAAAGAGTGTCACATGATCAGTGAAACATTTTACTGTTTACACCAGGTATCACAAACCTGAAAAAAATACATTTTTGACATTTGTTTTTCTTCACAGTATTACTGCAGTCTACATGCAATCTTCCTTTGCATGAAAGGAGCATTATTTATTTTTATCCATGTGAATGCTACAGGTTTGATCCACACTGCAAAGTATCTAACAAATAATATTGAAGGATAATAAGAAACCTGCCATTAAAAGGTTTCATTAATCAGGTAATAGTCACAGGCTAATGAAATAACACCTTTTTCTGGAGCTTCATCTATATTGTTCATATGTTAAGTGGTTCCTTCTTTGCATAGTGACTGTAGATAGCTAAATTACCTCAGCTGCTTAATGTGGCTGATAAAATTAGCTAATGGCAGCTACTTAGCTAAAAGTAACAAGAGGACCTAGGTGATTACACTTACAAAGCTGTTCAGTTACAATGTTATAGCAAAAGGTGTGTGTAATTGTTACTATTAGGTGGAAGAATAGCATTGGGATATAGTAGATGCTGGTTAATTGAAAATCTAGTGGGAAATCTCACTAATATTTTAGCAAATCTGAAAATAGTAGTTTTAGGTATTATTAATTTTAATACAAAGCTCTCTGATTTACTTTGGTCTTACAATTATACAAGGTAAGTCTCAATTATTATTTCATGACTACAGATATTAAAACATCATAATTTTCTTATGGCTCCCTATTGAGTACATTGTTGAGCTGAACTTTGCAACCAGGACTCCCAAGTTCATAGCGGTATAGTTAAGAAGAGCCTTTTTAGAAAAAAATAACTTTCTTAGTCTTTTCTAGGAGGAATTGTTATGTCTCTCTTAACAGTTATGATCTACCCACATATTCAGCAGCAGATCTTCCTGACATGTATATGTGGTAATGGAGAAAACTTCACCTGCTGGATAGCTGCTAAAGGCAGCTGGAAAAAAGGAAGCAACAATAAGGTGAACCAGTAATATTTTCTGGAGTGTAATGGATAGAAGAATCAACTTGTGTTGATTTTGTTTCAAACTATGCTGACTAGAGGCAAAGGGGTGGGGGAGATTTGTTGAGGAAGGGCCAGGGCCATCTTACCCATTAGGGTTAGTGGCACCTGCCCATCAGGGGCACCCAGCAGTGGGAGTCTGGGACCAACCAGGAAGAGCTGTGAGGGCATGTTGGGTGGTGGCGGCGCCACCTCTTCCTTTGGCCAGCTGTGCTCTCTCGCTTCCTGCCTGGGAGAGGAGGCGGCGGCAGCAGCGGTGCACAAAGCTACATGGCACCCTTCTCCCTCCTGCCCGCCCTGCGGCAGTAGTGGGACTGCTGAGGAAGCCTGCGCGGCAAGCGAGCCTCAAACTGCCCAGCACGGGGTGGGGAGGAGGGGGAGGGGAGGGGCGCTGAGAACATCGCCCTCACCCCTTCCTTCGAGGAGAAAGGTGGAGGAGGGATTCATTCAGATTTGGGGTGGTGGGAGGGAAAAGCTGAGGGGGGGGGGCGCACTACCATTAGGACTCAGTTCGGAGGTAAGGATGGACTCGAGAGTGTGCTCTCCATGCAGTTAGTGGTTAAAAACAAACAAACACCATCAAAAAGTCCTTTAAAGATGGGGGGCGGTTTTTAAGGTCCTATTAGATTCAGCAGGGCTTACTCTCAGGTAAGTGCAGTTAGGCCTGCAGCCTTTGTGACCCAAGTTTTGTGTCCATTTTAGGTTCAGGATGTCATTGCTTTACACACACAATATTTGAAAATGTCAGCTTTGTACTTAAACACAAATTGGCCTTCTCTGTGTCTTTATCAATTTATTTAAAGAACAACAAACTGGTGAGGGCTTTAACTTTTTGATATGTGGTGATTTGAATCATGAGGATGAATTAGAAGAACTGCTGAGTCTTGAATGAGTCTTGCTTTGGAATAGAGGACATAATTAGATTTTCTTCTGCCTTTTCATTTTATTTTGTTCTAAGGGCTTGTTAGAAATAATGTGTAAGTGTGGTGTCGGCTCCCTTTAAAAAAAAGGTAAACAACTCTGGGGATCTTTGCACCATGGTGCCAGATATGCTTAAGACGTCCCTGGGAAGGGCTATAGCTTAGTGGTAGAGCATTTGTCTCAGGTTCAATGCTGTGCGTCTCCAGGTAAGGTTGAAAGAGACTCCTATCTGAAATCCTGGAGAGCTGCTTGAGTCAGCAGACAAAACTGAGCTAGCTGGATCTGTGCTTTTTTACTTGGTATAATGCAGCTTCATGTGTTCTTCGACACCTAAAAGTTGTGTAGAACAGCGGTCAGCAAACTTTTTCAGCAAGGGGCTAGTCCACTGTCCCTAAGACCTTGTGGGGGGCTGGACTGTATCTTTGGGGGGGGGGGAATGATGCAAGAGCACCATGAGCCCCAGTTGCTGCTTACCTGTGTCTTGCGAGTGGCGTGTGAAAGAGCTCCGGAGAGGGGCTGCTTAAAATGGCAGCCGCTCAAGCGCTGCTGCTGCTGGCACCAACAAAGCCCAGCCCCTTTCCTCCTCTAGGCAGGGCGAGGAGAAGCCAGGAGGAGGCACCGCCACCGTGTGAGGGAGAGGGAAAGAATGTGTGCACTGGTGATCCACATGGGGATTCCCGGACCGTCCGTGGGCCGGATCCAGAAGGCAATTGGGCCCATGGACCTTAGTTTGCTGACCCATGGTGTAGAAGATGGCACTTCGACAGGTGTAGTTTATCATAGAGGAATGAATCACACACACCCTCTATTTTTCTCCTAAAGATGGAGAAACCATGTTCTCCTTAACCATTGATCCTGTTTCCTGGATAGATCTTAGCAAGTGACATTAGCATATATCAGAAACATTCTAAATTGGCATTTTATTGGTCAGTCACCTGTGTTTCATCTCCCACTATTGTGTGCAAGAAGTCTTAAAACTTTCTCTTTCAGCTTTTCAGTTTAGAAAATACTTTGACTCCAGAGTCAATGGCAAGATACACTACAATCCATACCGCCCACTTGAGTAGTCCCACAGATTTAAATTGCATTTATGTAGTGTAAATAGCTTGCTGTTTAAAACATCAGCAGTCATGATGGCATGTATAATCTGAGCTTCCTGCATCAACGTAAACTATCTGGTGCACTTCAGAGTAAGCAAATGTTGAAACATCATCTCTTTTCTCTGCCTTCACCCCCCACTTCTAGTGTTAAGCAAGTATCCAAGCATCTGTATAATCTATGTGGTTTGGTGGAGATGAAAAATGAGAACAAATTCACCCCCACCCAATATACTAGAATCATTGTTCCCACAACAATACATTCTCTAATTTGAGTGCTCTCTCCTGTTGTATTGCACCTGTGGCTGGGAAGCCTTGCAGGAGGGAGAGGATGCATAGATGAGGAAGTTGGCAAGAGTGGTGAGGGGAGGAGAGATAAGGGGAAAGTACTGTTGGTGGTTAGGATCTTTGAGGAAGGCAATAGGATTAAGAGGATGAGGCAAAACAGTGGTGCTAAAGGTTAAGATCTTAAGGGACAGAAAGATGGGTGAAACCAGACAGTAGGGGAAGGAAGATGTTTCTTCTTCTCTCTCTCTCTCTCTCTCTCTCTCTCTCCCCCTCCCCCTGTGGGTAGGGGATGTTATGTATATACATATCAACCAAAACCTTGGCTGCAGACCTCTTGTCTCTGTTTATGTAGGGTTGTATTTATTTTCTTTGGCCTGGTAGATGAGGCTTCTTGCATGCTACTAATGCTGTGACTTGTTTGTTCAATCATTCTTCTGACGAACTGCAGTTTGTAAACTTGTTTCTGGAAACCATTCAGCTGTGTAACTGCATCCTTGACTCCTCTAAGTGCTAAATGGTGCTGTGTTTTTCTTTCTATACTATCAGGTTTGGGGGAATATGTGTGTGACGCCAACCCCCACAAATTTAAGAATTGCCCCAAAGAACTTTTTTTTTTAAAAACCACCTGTTTAAAAAAGTCCACCACTGATAACTGCAAAGGAAAATGAAGACTGCCCTTCAGTTGATAGTAAGTTCTGCCTCCACCTTTTTAGTTCTCCAAAACTGCTACATATGAGACACTAGCAACAGAAGGTTGGGGGGGGGGGAATTGGGGGGTGAGAACTACCAAGGGGAGTCTTGGTCGATCAAGAAAGATGGTTAAATCTGCTCAGACTTAATGATGAACATACAGTCATGCAAGAGGGGGAAAAAACTTTTTTAAATGGTGGTGTGTGAGTCGTGCATCAAGCCCAGACACAGAAAAGTGGAGAAGCAGTGTGTGGCCATCTGTGTAATGAGATGCCTATTTCTGGGGATCTAATCAAGAGACAAAAAGCAGAGTTAAGCTTCTGCCCTCTCCTCTTTGGGGAGGTTCAGCTTGTGCTCCAGTTGTGGCAGTGCTAAAATCATGGGAGAACACAACTCTCCTTGGCTTGGGCCAGTCCCTTGCTGAATGATGAGGTAATAGACTGCAGGCAGGGGATCATATTATTAAAATATACTTCTCAACTTTTTTAAAATAAAAAACACACCTTAATGCATTAAGAAAATACCGTAGAAGAGAGCCGGGGTATCCTCAGACCTTCAGGAAGCAGAGACACTGGTTTATTGTTAACAGCATACATTGATAGGGATAACCAGGCACTGACCAGAGCCCACTCAGTCTCTGGTGTATTGGTGTTTGAAGTTGTGTGTATATGCCAGGCATAGGCAAACTCCGGCCCTCCAGATGTTTGGGACTACAATTCCCATCATCCCTGACCACTGGACCTGCTAGCTAGGGATGATGGGAATTGTAGTCCCAAACATCTGGAGGGCTGGAGTTTGCCGATGCCTGGTATATGCCATATATATCCTGTAGTTTCTTGAGAAATACTGCAGTTTGATGTGTTTTCCATCAAGCCAGCTGCCGCCCAATTTGAAATTGTAAGCTATATTCACTGCACAGTTAAGCTGAGGTTTGGGATAGCTATTGTGGATGATAGTTTAATGGGGAGCAGTTCTGCAGCGTTGCAGGCATGGGAAAACCAAATACTGTAGGTAATGTGCATCTGGTGAAGACATCCCCGCCCTCTCTGGTGGGTTCAGCAGTATGTCAATGTCACTTGAAATGCAGCAGGGAGAAGCGACCTGACTGCATTTTAAGCCACAAATGTATGCACAGCCATAGATAGGGGAGGAGGCTGACCCTATGTTTCTTACCTGAATTTATGCGTCATACCTGTGCCTGTTGCTGTCTGCCTAGAAACCATTCTTCCTTGGTACATGGCCTGAGTTGGCCGGTGCTAGGAGCGGTGGTTACTACAATAGAGCCTGCCTCTTCTTCAGAAGAGTTGTGCCTGAATCCCTACAGCAAGGGACCAAGCTTCTGCTAAAAAAACACCAAGGGGGAGCAAAGTAAGTGGAGCCCTTGAGACTCTCCCAGCTGGGTTTTTTTTCCCCTCATTCAAGTGTCTGCACCTGGTTGCTATCCATTTCTGTGTTCTTTTCTCCCAACAACAAAGCTTGAAATCTGAGCTTGAGGGGAGAGAACCGTTGAGGACTAAAGAGGCAGCTAATTATGTTTCCTTGCCTACCTCCCGGGCTGTGCCAGAGACACTAAATGTTCAGCAATTGCTGGTGTGGCACCCCAGGAGTTGCTAGCACTGTAAGTGGCTTCAGTCTCATGGAATCCCTTCTTCCTACTCCTTCCTAGGAAACCTAAAGGGCACAGACTTTGAATACGTTGTAAATTTTGTAGACCAAAGTGGAATTATCAGGTAGGAGGGAGACGGCATGTGTGATAAGAGAGAGAGAGAAGAAATCGGAGCATGTTGTTGAGGGTTAGATTTATAGGATCTTGGAGCAGGTGAAAAGTTGAGTAAACAATCGGGCAAATGTATTGGGCTTCAGGTCTTAGGTCTGTTCAAATCTGTTTGATTTTCATATTGGAAGTGACTGGCTTTTGATATCTAATTAGCTGAAAAGGTATCTTTTCTCCTTGATGTAAAATAACATTGTGGACAATGAGAGGGGCAGAAACGTTATAGCTGTCCTCATTTGGCTGTCGTAATCCAGAGGCAGATCTATGGCAGCAGCAGCAGCTCCTCAACTTCTGATGATCATCCTTGTTAGTACCAGGAGATGGAGTTGGTTCTCATTTGCTACATCCAAATGGAGAAGCTATAAGGGTTCTCTTTGCAGGGTGATATATTATTGCAGTGACCTTGACGTTATGGAAGTTCTCCCGAAAGAGACAAGGAATGGACAAATTCTTCAAATTTTTAAGTGGGCTATATTTTGGGCTGCTGCTGCTTCATCAAGACTGTTATTTTAGAAAACTGTTTGATAATAGAAAGTATTTATATTTTCTTGGAATTTATTTTGCTGATCATTTTGATTGACCTATGTTCTTAAATATTTTGCTATAAAATTTGTTTTTGAATTATAGTTTGTTTATGAGTGCTAAACTGGCCTTGGGTGGACTGTGTCCCTAAAGCAAGCATCCTCAACCTGCAGCCCTCCAGATGTTTTGGCCTACAACTCCCATGATCCCAACAGGACCAGTGGTCAGGGATGATGGGAACTGAAGTCCAAAACTTCAATTTTGGAGGGCCGAAGGTTGGGGGGGGTGCCTGCCCTAAAGGCAGCCTATAAATAAATCTAGAAATAAAACAGTTTTTAGTGGTAGTAGAACACTTTGGCAGACACCCAGATAATTACTTGTCTTGTCCTGGCTCAATTTATTAAGGCCTGGAAATACTTTTCAAATCACGTTCTCTGATGTGCATAAAATGAAGTATGTATTTGAATTGCCTTGCAGCAATCTCTGTATCCTGGCAAAGCAGGAGAGTGTAAATAGACAGCTTTATAAAACTCTGTGTGTGGGGGGGGTGAAGCTTGCTAGTTTCTGCTTATCCGGCAAGACCATTATGGGTCGGCAAGGCTTGTCCCAACGGGTTCCAAAGCCACTTAAGTATTATAGTATATTGTTTAAGGCACATGGTATTGTGAAAGCTCTGTTTCTAAGAAGTGTGTGTTTGTCTTGTGTGGCCAGGCATGTGATAAATCCTGGTATGCATCACAGTCTTAAAAGAACAGCAAGCCTCTCTCAGTTTGCCTTAGCTTCTGCAGGCCCATGAGGACAGATAACGAAACTGTGTAGCTAAATATGTAGCTTTACCACAAGCGGTGGTAAACTTTTGTAATGAATCAGCTTGTGCACATTTGCCTTTGCCACAGTTCAGCACCTCTTACATTTGTCTCAACAGCTTGGCAGAAACCAGATGTGAGAAAGTGATGCTTGCTTGAGAAGAAATTGTATGCGCCTTCTCCCAGTATGGCTCTGTACTATCCAACTATGATGCAGACCTTGCCTTATAACTATCTGCCTCTTGGGCCAAGTCGACCGTCAGATACTGCACACGCCCCCATGATCCCTCCAGTCCAGATGCACAACTTCTACAACAGGCCTCTTGCTGTGATTATGGACAATAACAATGGTTACAACGTAAATCCAGCAAACCAAGTGGAGTACCATCACATCCATGGTGCAAATCCTTACTTCTATCCTTACCCTTTCTGGTACTACCCCCAAGTGAGCCCTCTTCCTCTGTACAATCCCTATGCTAACTATCCTCCTTATGCAGCCTACCAAAGACCAGGCTGGGATGTGTGGCCTGAGGGATTCACCTTGAGAGGAGAGCTCCATTGGGGTAAGCTTGAGAGGATTGTGGGACCTAGGAGGGACTTGCCGGAATTCGTGAAAGACGATCTCAGAAGGGTCTATGGCACCTATCCAAGGACGGATGTTACCATAACATACCACAGTGGGGAATTTATTGTGAAAGGGGACCCTAGAGTTGGAGAACAAGAATACAGGGTAGAGAAGAGAATCATCCGAAACGAACCCACCCCAACTGCTAGTGAAGCTGAGGACAGCAGTGAAGACCGCAATAGGAAGAAGAAAAAGAAATCAAAGAGATAATGAAAGTGGTTCAAATAATACTGACTGAACATGTATCCCTCTGTTTAGACCTAAGATCTGGCGGCAATGATACTGAAAACTGAAAGAGATTTTTCTGTGACATTTTTATAGGTTCCAATAACTTTCTTAGTAGCTGTTGTATACTCACTAATATGCACACATACTTTTCTCTTGTGCTAATAGGAAGATGTTCCTCATTTTGTCAACCCCTGCTCTTTTTTTGAGTGATTCCAAATGAATGTCAGTAGTGCAGCCTTTCAATTGGATCAACCAAAAATCTACTTATAAAAACTGACTATGGATTTCTGCCACATTATCTTCCTAGTAGTACATTACCATTTTGCACCATAAATTCTTCCTGCCCCCCTCATTGTTGGAGGGATCTCTTTTCTTTCTTTCCTTCCCCCACCCCATGCCAAACATTGGCTACTTTAAGTAAATGTCCATAGAGTTCACTATGGAATTATTCAGAAACTGAACCCGAGGTCACAGTACAAGGTGATGGTATACTGAGAATCTGGACACACAACATACAGAAATAGGATCAGAGTACCTTTATTTTTAACATCAGCACAGACAAACCTATTGTGAATTCCACCTTCTGTAATACGTTTTATGCCATTTGTGATTCTTTCCTAGTGAGATGAACAATTGTAAAGAGTTCTGCTTGGCCATCAGGTTGCACTTTGTATATATGCAAGACACAGAGCATTTTAAATAAAGGAAAACAAGCATGTTTTACTGTGTGAACATTTTTGTGATAACTTATTGTAAGTACGGTGGAAATGACTGTTTGACATAAATAGTATTGTTTATTTGTGGGGTATCTGCATGCTTTAAAGAAGGAAATAATTCCTGTCTTATCACCAAACTGTGAAGTGCAGATGTTGTAGTATAGCATAGCATAAGATTATCTCTTCTGTTGGTTTCAAGAAGTACACAGAGTTCAGGAATGAACAAGAGGATGGGTATAGTTGTAAAATACAAATAATAATAGTATGGCTTTGATCCATGCACTAATCTTTTGAGTTCCTCCCTAATGTGGCTATACGTACCGGTACTTATCTTGGAGCAGATGAGAAAGCTCTGTAAGCTTCATGGTGCAGAAGGATGGGTTCATGGTGCTGTATGAAAAGAGTAATGCCTAAAGACTGAATTTTATTAAATATACCCTGTTTGATTAAGCATATGGGTCCATACATGCTGTTGGGACAATATTGGGGTGGCCAATATTCTTTCAGGCCAAGTATAAGGTTGAAACCTTTTAAAGTGAGAATTGTAAGGATCAAAGTTAAATTCAGTGGGACATGGGAATAAACATGTACAGGTTTGGGCGGCACATCTAAAGTATTGCCTTTTAACCTAACAGTGCTAACCTTCTCAGCCATTGGTTTCATACTGTAACTTGTATGCAGATAGTCACACTCATCTACTATTTTTACACAGAGATGCCACCCATGTTTTGGCAAATGTAGTGAGTACAGGCAACACACATTTTGCGTGTGTTCAAAGAATGCACGACTGTGACACATGGGCTGTTTTTGGACGCAGAAGAGGATACTGTCACTTTTAGGCTGATGGTATTTCTCTGTAGAAAGAGGAGGTGAGTGGATTATAAGATAATGTCAAAGTGCAGGTGTGGCAACATCACCTTAGCTCCACCCAGGTTAACTTGGGGTGTGCATGCATGCAGCTGCTTGAATAGCAGAGCCACTGAAAAAGGATAATCCAAGTAGATGGCAAACGTTCAGCTATATTGGCTTATGGTTATGTGTCTTGACGGATCCCCTTGATGACACACAAGATAACACACAAGAGTAAACTCGGCAGCTCCTGGAGTTTAGTTGCTGTCTAGCTGTAGAACTGAATCCACGGGGCGTTTCAATTGTTCCCAAAGCCTATGGAATTCAGTTCTCAGAGCTAGGCAGCCATGTGGGACTCCTGCTGGTTGAAGCGGCCATCTGTAGGAGAAAGCCAGATGCAATTATATTATTAGAGATGTCAAAACTCTTAATATGACAACATAGGTGAAAAACTAGTTTATCGGTAGCATTAAAAAGAGAGACCACCCAGTATCGACTGCTAGCCATGGTGGATTCTATGCTCTGTCTCCACAGTCAGAGGCAGTGATGCTTCTGAATACCAGCTTCTGGAAATCACAGGAGGGGACACTGCTCTTGGGCTCAGGTTCTGCTTGTGTATTTCCCATAGACATCCGGCTGGCCACTGTGAGAACAGGATGCTGGACTTAAATGGGCCATTGGCCCAACCCAGCAGGCTCTTTTTATGTTTTTAGTACTTTTAAAAATAGGAAGTGTACAGGTTCCCCATCCCCTGCTACTGCAGAGGATGAGAACCTTAAATCTTAGAATTTTTCTTTGTCCTCCCATATATTTTAAGCATGTCAAATTCCTGGTCTGCTTTTGCCCTCCTTTTTACCCATCCCACTGACATCTTCATCAGTCTGTGTTTAAACCACTCAGCTTAATGGCAAGCCTGCCTGACTTCTGCCTCCTCTTAGGCCCTGGGTTTTTTCTCCACTAGGACAGAAATGAAACCTGCTGATTAAAAATAAATTGTGAAATCCAGGATTTTTGTACAGCTGTGATTGGGCAGTCATGTTGTATCTCTTCCACTCCCACTAAAACGATGGCAACAAAAAAGTTGCTGTATTTTGTGTTCAATAGTAGGTTTGTTGTCTCTCCAGATGAGTTACTCTTAAAAAACAAAAAACTCAACAACCCTGTGTACTCATTGGTGTACTCACTGACCTTCTGGAAGATCACAGGGCTAGTTCTTGTTTGTTACTATTTCAGTTTATGAGTATACATACTTCTGAATACTTGGTGGTCTCTCAACTAAGTAGAAGCCCCTACCTTCTTATTTTTGGGTGGCTACATGTTGGTATACAAATACTGTTCTTGTACCTTGCTTTTGGTACAATGGTGATCATGTTATTGTCATATAAAACAGGGACTCCTCAGAATGTCTTCAGCCAGCAGAACCTCTAGTGCTGTAAATATTCCAGCATTAAGCTGGAATATTTCCCAAGGAGCTTCAAAATACAGAGCAGGGAAGGGCCTGGTCTATAAGTTTTAAAAATGTAGTTGCAGGCTGAAAAAGTTTTCCCTAGCAGCAGAAATATTTCCAGATTGGTGGGGGCCAGAAGGATAGGTTGCTTGATGAGATGGCTTCAGAAATCCCAGAATAACAGAAACCTGGGGATTTAGCCATTTTACTGTATGTATGCCTGAAGAACCTCTCTTCGGATGATGCTTCTTAGGCTTGCTAGGGCAAGGCAGTAAGAAGATTCTCATCTAACATCAAGGATATTTTGGATCAAGTGAAATGCATGCAACTCTTCTTCACCATCATAAACTCTATGATAATCTGTGTGTACTGGTCTGGCCCAAGCTAGGCCATTTTGCAGCTGAAGGTAAAGGGCAAGATGCCCCGCTCCCCATTCTATGCACAGAAGCAAAATGTGGGTTGAATCTTACTTCAAAACTGGTTGATGGCAGAGTTTCCTTCACCACACCTGGAAGCAGCAGGCTAGGTAGCCTCCACAGCTTTGCCCACCGACAGAAGGGATTGGTCTGGGGACTGAGGAGGAACAGGGAGGAGGGGGGTCTACTGCCCCTCAACATCTGTCTTCTGAGGCAGTCTCCTCATTCTGTCTAATGGTATGGTCTGCCCAATGTGTGTAGCAAGAACAAACCTTTGCCAGGATAACAAAAATGAGGGGCAAGTTAAAAACAAGAAAAGTGGTTTGGCCTTTGCAAGTTTAGAAGGGTTTATGTGTACAGGGCAATGGCTTGTGGAAACAGCCCAAGAGCTCTCCTTCAGACATAGGCCTGGCCAAAGCCAACACCAGTCCGTCTTTCATTCTTGTGATGTATGAGGGTGATTGGGATCCTCTCCTTACAGACTAACACCACCAAGCCTTTCATGTGGCGGTGCCACAGCTCTGGAATGTTCTCCCACTTGAAATTTAGGAACACAGGCAGCTGCATTAGATTGAGTCAGAGCATTGGTCTCTTCAGTTCAGTACTGTCTACAAGTGGTTCTCCATTACTTCAGACAGGGACTCTCTCCCAGCCCTACTTGGAGATACCAGGGATTGAACCTGGGACCTTCTGCTTGCAAAGCAGGTGCTCTGCCACTGAGCTATGACCCTTCCCTAATTTGTCAGGTGTCAGGCTCTGTCTTGAGGTGTCTTCCACCATAACTTGAAGGCACTTATCGTCTTAATCTTTTTAATGTGTAGTAACTAATTCCATTTCTGTCAATTCTAATGTGCTGCGTTTTTTACCCTTGTAGAGGCTAGATTAGCCTCCTAGTTTTTCCCCTCAAGCCAATTGTTGTGAGTGCAACAATGGGAAGTAGAAGCTGTGCTTTATTTTAGTTTTACACAATCATTTCAGTGTGCTTCTGGATGGGGGAGTATAGTGTCTCAGAACTGATGGCACTCAGAGGGCCAACACCTATTTTCTTCCCTTGTACTGTGATCTCAACTGACTTCAGCAGTGCTAGTACTCATTGCATTCAAGCCAGTTCACTATGGCAAAATATGTTCTGAGTAGGCAGAGACTGTGCGGTTCAGATAAGTGATATGGAATGTAGGAAGTGGAAGATGTCTTTTCTGTTGCACAAGTTCCATGTCTCATAACCATACCCTGCCACAATACCCATTACCCAGTTCTACAACTAATCCTTTCTTTTGCAGCTCCCACACATGAATCCCATTTGCTGGATTAGCACAAAAGTGTTTCTGCCTTTTTGATTGGAGCACACGGATATAGAAGAGACACCATTTTTTCAAAAGGAATATTGCCAAAAATAATAATCGCCATGTTCTTTCTAGTGACTGCCCATAAATATTAGAATAAGGCATATTCATGCTTATTTCTGGCTTACTGCTTTTGGTTTTTTTGAAGCAAACCATGGCTCAGTTTGTCAGACCAGTGTATGCCTTGTTTGAGTGGCCCAGGCATCAGAATTTGAATGGGGACCCGTATGGCCTGGGCAGACACATATTCATGATTAAATCAAAGTTTAAGACAAACTGTGGCTTATCGTGACATGTGAATGAAGTCACGGTTACAGACAATAGTGCAGCAGCTGCATTTGCATGAATGCCTAACCCTATAAAAGTAAAACCTATAGTGTAAGTCTAAAGTATAAGTGCTGAGGCAGTTATTTACACTGCCCCTTCAAAAGTTCTCTATCTTATTAAATCTTTCAATAATATGATAAATTGTTATTTATTACCCCCACCTGATAGAGGCAACTGAGGCTGAAATTGCCAACACCTCTGTAAATTTTAACTCTAATCCAAGTACACCTACTTGTCCTCAGTGAGTTTTACTCCTCTCTCTCTCTCTCTCTCTCTCTCACACACACACACACAGAGAGAGAGAGAGAGAGAGAGAGAGAGAGAGAATTGAATCGAATCCTGGTTAACCTTAACTGAAGTTTATGCAAACTACTTAAACTGCATTTTGTCAGAGATACCACCATCCAACTATTCCTACTGTTAAGATTTTTTGGCTTTCCCATCTATTTAACCTGAACTTTATGTTCCTGCATCTTAAACACATCTCACCTCTTGCCCTTCCTTTCCTAACTACCAAAAATAGAACCTCTCCTCAAACACACTCTTAACTGTTGACAAAAACAAACAAGAAAAATGTACAAAACTCTAGTAGTTTGAAATGATAGATCCTTCTTCAAGAACAAGATCATTCACTATGTATGCTGCTTTGATTTGGAATACTAGCCTACAGTGATAACTTGCTGAGATTTAATTTTTAAAACTTCAGGTTCTAGAACATACAAAATGTAGTTCAAACAAGAAAAAGTTCTCACCATACAGAGCTGTTTCTCTGCCTTGAGAGGCACACCTCTCGTTTTCAGCACATAATTTCAAATAGTGATATGAAAACAGCACTTACCTGTTAACTCTTCTCTGCTGTAGCTCCAGCTGTTTCTTCCTAGGCTGCAGGAGAAAGGCAGCCAGAGGCACTTAAATATGACAAGCCACTTACTCACTTCTCTTCCTGGACTGCTGAGGCAACTTCCACTGCCCCCTCCTTTTCAACCTTTTGGTTTCCAGGCTTTTCTGAGAAATGAGGAAAGCGTGGGAGGGCAAGTCAAGCATCCCGCAGAAGCAAGCCTGCCAGGATCCAGTTCTCAAGAAACTCCCTGGACCTGTCATTGCAGCTGTCTATTCCCAGAAAAGGAAAGAACGCGTGAAAATAGAAAGGTGAGCAGGAGGACAGGGAGCCATTTCTGCTGGAGGCTGCATTTTCTCCTGCCTTGTTTGAACAGAAAAGGAGGGTCCTGCCATCTCTTCTCCCCCCACCCCACTTCAGAATTTAGCAGCTGAAGCATAATTGAATGGCTATCAATATTCTTGTTATTTCCAGGTGCATGCTATAGTGACCTCTCATTACAAACCCTTCTGGTCTTCTGGTCCTTAGTTATCTATTGATACCCAACTCGGGGGGAAAACCAGAATGGATCAACCCAGGTGCAGTGGTTGCTTCTTCTTGTCATAAATACCGTTGGGCAAATTTACACATGCTATTCAATCCAGGTAGATTAAAAAAAATGTCTGCCTGGACTGACAACCAAACCAGCCCTGCTGTCAGCACCCCTGGACAACTATTGGACCCTCGGAGTCTTGACAGGGCTCACCAGTGCTGATTCCTATCCTGACACACACCTCCCAAGTCTGGGAGTAGCCATCTTAGTTTCCCACAATGCCACAGACCCGCTAATACTATGCCAGCAGTGGTATTGTGGGAAATGTAAATGATCACCTGTGCTGCTGCCAGGTAATCCCATAACCATGTCAAACCTGGAGCCATTTTTGAACAATGCCCATTAAGTAGTTGTGTGACCTGGTCCTCAAGTTTAGGGTCATTTCATATTTACATATTTACGTATTTGTAAAATATTGGCACATGTGCACATGAAGGTTATTTGTTGTTATGCCTAGGGATTTTTTTCAGCCAGAACTCACAGGAACTCAGTTCCAGCACCTGTTAGGTGGGTTCCACTGCCATTAGAAGAGAACAAGCAACTTCTTTTTCTAGAAAAATTGCACTAGTTATAGCACCTTCAGCTTCCCAATAACTCACTGAATGACTTGTTTAAAGCTACTCAGTCTCATGCTCAACACTGCCATCTGCAAGAACAGCCTTCCCCACCCTGGTGCCCTCCAGATGTTTGGGACTACAGTTCCCATCAGTCCCAGCCAGCATGTTTTTGTCAAAACATCCAGGTTATGGAAGGCTGTGCTCAACACTAGCAGAGGAGAGAGTTAGAGCTGCCAGTAGTCTGCACATTTCATTACTGTCAAACGTTACACATTAGAAGCAAGAGCCAATTTAGGACTGCTGAAGTGTAGGCTTGTAATTCTGTAATCCTTCCTACCTAGGGCTGAGAAAGTCAGTTACTTTGAAAGAATGACCTTTTTGGCTAGCCATCATTAGGAAGCACAATAGGCTATTGTTTATCAAATAAGGAAAACCAGAAATTTCCTGGATTCTGGTTTACAGGAAGCACAGAAACAGCATGAATGGAGGCAAGGAAATTAAAACTGGAGGGACAGATCAACAGGAAAAGTGATGTTCCTCTGGAAACACATCTATGATACTCTGTGCTGATACTTGCATGAGAAATTCTATGTGGAATATATTATTATTTATTAGCTAAATAAATTTATATATTGCTTACCTACAGTTGCCTCTAATGATTGTAAAGAATGTGCTTCTTTTAGAGAGAGTGTGTGTGTAATTTTCAGTGTCCCACAGCTGTCTGTATGACTGTTCTGAGCATGGGGGGTCTGTGTTGCATACTTATGATTGCATTCCTCCTTCCTCCATCTCCTTGTGCCTTGTTTGGTTTATAAGCCTCTTGGGGTAAAGAACTGCCATGCCTCTTCCTTGGAAAGCATCATGTACATAGAGAGATGCTGCTACATGGAATAATATAATTCTAGAGTTGGAAGGGACCCTGAGGGTCATCAAGTTCAATCCCCTGCAATTGCAGGAATCCTGCCCACAGCCTTCTCTGTGTGGGCTCACACTACCAACGTTCTGGTTAACAGCCAGCCACAGCTGAGCCAGAGTATAACAGCAGATGCATATTTCAACAAATAAATGATGAAAACGTTCTGATGAAATAGCATCGTGATCAGGCTCTTATCCCCCACATCATGATTTATATAGACAATTTAGGACAGTCTGCACTGGTGCTTCACTTTTTGCTTTGGCGCTCTCTTATCCTTCCCACTCACTGGAACCAGTCTCACGGTAGCCCAACAGAGGGCCAGTGTTGTGTCATTTGTTGTCTGAGGTTATGAAACACTTTCAGGTGACAACTTGTTGGGATAGATCACTCTGGATTTTTGCAGTGAATAATCAGAGAAGACTCAAACCATTTTTATGCTAAACAAAACAACCCACATGGCACTCTGCCCCATGGAGGTAAAAGACACAATAAACCAAATAGCTTACACCTTTTTACCCTGGCTTTTGACATGTGAGGTGTATGTTTTTAGGACCCACCTTATTTTTATGATTGTAGTTTGTTTGAAAATATTTTCCCCATTGGGTTTTAATGCTGTAACCCGCCCTAGGATCTTTGGGTAGAGTGGGTAAGAAATACTGCAAGGCGACAATGTCTTTATTACGTAGGTAGATAGCATTCTTTGAACTATGTTTTTATAGACCTAAATAAGGTAAGGTAAAAGGTAAAGGACCCCTGGATGGTGAAGTCCAGTCGAAGGCGACTCTGGGGTTGCGGCGCTCATCTCGCTTTCAGGCCGAGGGAGCTGGCCTTTGTCCACAAACAGTTTTCTGGGCCATGTGGCCAGCATGACACTAAACCACTTCTGGCGCATGGAGGACCGTGACGAGTGCCAGAGCGCATGGAAAACGCCTAAATACCATACTGTTGACGAGATAGTCATAGTTGGTGATCACTGCAATTGTCCCCACTTCATACAGTACTTTTATACTATGCTTTTTACTGGACTAGTTAATGTTAGAATTAATATCACTTTACTTGTTCTGAGGGATTAACATGGCTACTGAGATTGTCCTGGTTTTGTGGATTAGATACTCTTGAGCAGTGAGAGGAAGCTACTCACAGAGTGCAACTGGCAAAAACTGACAGGATGTTTCATTGAAACTATTTCATTGTGTACTGGAACAAAGGGGAAGAATAGGGGTTTTCTGGTTCACTTTTTAAAGTTACAGTTCCCTGCAAAGATTTTCATATTAATTTGAAAAAGCAGAAGTACCTAGGACAAGACCTGCCAAGAAAAATAAAGAACTTATTTATGTATGCTACAACAGCAGCAAGAGTCTTGCTAGCACAAGGATGGAAGAATGAGGAAATCCCAACGAAAGAACAATAGCAAGAAAAATTGATGAACTATGCGGAATTGGCTAAATTGACATACAAACTGCGTGTTAAGGACAACTGTGACTTCAAGGAAGAATGGGAACTTTTTACAAATTATCTAAAAAGACAACAAAATGATCTGGACGTCTTGGCAGGTTTTGAATAAACAGCCACAAATTTATTAGTTGAGCATATTATAGACAAGGCAAGGATATGTACAATTTTATAACATGCAGAGAACAATATGTGTAAAGAAACCAGAGAGGGGAGCTGAGGGAAGTCCTGGGTGGGGGTGGGGGGAAGGTGAAAAATAATGTAACTGGACTGATAATTTGGACTGATAATTTGTTATGTTGAAATTGTTTAATAAAAAAATTTTAAAAAACAAAAAAGAAAAAGCTGAAGTACCTATCTTTTCACAGTAGGGTGGTCTTTTGTTTCAGTTTGTGAAATAGTGCTTGATAATTTCAAAGACACAAATTAAGGCTGTGTCCACTCTGTACCTTTACATCACACTTGAAACACATTATTTCCCTAAAAAATTCTCTCTCACAGTTCCCAGAAACCCTTAACAGTGCCTAGAATTATTTGATAACTACAATATATGTACTATAATTCTTTGCTGGAAAGAATGTGCTTTAAAGGTATAGTGTGTGCACTGCCTAAAGTTTAATGTCCAGTTCTTAAATTTAACAACTAAGGAAGGTACTACCTACGTGCACATTAGTACTGGGTGTAGAACTTGCAGCTTTCTCAGTGCACAAGTTTCTCATTTGGCATTGTTGCTACTTGACTCTGTACAAATTACGGTAGCTGAGTTTCAGAGGCACTTGTGCAAGTTTTTGGGGAGGGGGTTTTATTTAATGGTTTTCTGTCTCAGGTAACAAGAAGTACCTGCCAACCTTTATTTTAAATGCAAATGTTTCCAACACCTGCCCCCCCTTTGTCCACTAGTTCTTAGGATGTATCTGCTATCAGATATTTTTGATTAGCCCCATCTACATAACATAAATGTGAGTAATTATGTAAACATCTGCTTTTTTTATCAAGAAAGCAGTCAGTAAGGCTTAAGCATTCTGCTTTGAGGTACAGTATAGTTAACAAATTATATAATTTACTACTTTTGACTAATTGCTCTCTTATTCAGAAAGCTCTACATACTAACCATAAACTTTTATACTACAGTGGTACCTCGGGTTAAGTATTTAATTCATTCCGGAGGTCCGTTCTTAACCTGAAACTGTTCTTAACCTGAAGCACCACTTTAGCTAATGGGGCCTCCTGCTGCCGCTGCGCCGCCAGAGCACGATTTCTGTTCTCATCCTGAAGCAAAGTTCTTAACCCGAGGTACTATTTCTGGGTTAGCAGAGTCTGTAACCTGAAGAGTATGTAACCTGAAGTGTATGTAACCCGAGGTACCACTGTACTGTGTTCTCCTGTAACATTGGCATAACGTATTTTCCATGCCATGATAATGTCGTTTTTCCCCATGATGATGTACACTTAGATGTTGCCAACTGAGAAACTATCCAGGATTGGGCAAATCACATTTTTCACATCTAAAGAGTTTTAATACTTCTGAGTTGTAAAGTCTGAAGTGACACAAAAGCACAGAACTAGATTAAAAGCAGACATTGGCTAGGATCCAAAGGGAGCCCCCACACATGAGGATCATAGTTCCTGAGAATCTGCCATCTGATAGTAAAGAAGCCCACGAGAACCACAATAGCAGCTCCTGCTTGAGTATAAGAAGCTGCAGGTACAACCCTGCCCCAACACTTTTGCAACTGCATAATTATTACCTCCATAGTAGATTGGTCTTCTGTGCTGAAATATACTCAGAGTCGAGTGGATTTCATGCTCTTTATTCAGCTCATAGTGGTGAGGAGGGAATGAATGTCCCCTCAAAGTATCTGCTTATATACATTATTTACACAATGGGCTGCACATGATTGGCTAATTCTGGAATTCTCCTGTAGGCCAATCAGGTTGTGGATTCACTTCTATCTGGAGCTGGATTGGGTGGCTCCTGCCGACCAATCATACTGCTGCATTGTTCTAGGACCAATCAGACTGCTGCATTCTGAATCCTATTGTTCTAGGACCAATCAGACTGCTGCATTTTGGATCCTATTGTTCTAGGACCAATCAGACTGCTGCAGTTTGGATTCTATTCAACTCAGTACATAACATGTGCACAAAATTTTGTGGACCTCTATTCTGCATACAAGGACACGGATGGTGCTGTGGGTTAAACCACAGAGCCTAGGACTTGCTGATCAGAAGGTCAGCGGTTCGAATCCCTGTGACAGGGTGAGCTCCCATTGCTTGGTCCCTGCTCCTGCCAACCTAGCAGTTCGAAAGCACGTCAAAGTGCAAGTAGATAAATAGGTACCGCTCCAGCAGGAAGGTAAATGGTGTTTCTGTGCGCTGCTCTGGTTCGCCAGAAGCGGCTTAGCCATTCTGGCCACATGACCCAGAAGCTGTACGCCGGCTCCCTCGTCCAATAAAGCGAGATGAGCGCCGCAACCCCAGAGTCGGTCACGACTGGACCTAATGGTCAGGGGTCCCTTTACCTTTACCAATTCCGCATACAGTATTGCTTGTTTTAGCCCATGTGGTATTGTCCAGATGCTGTTGGACTCCAACTCCCATCAGCCCTAGTCAGAGAATTGCCAGTGAGAAAGGGAGTTGTAGTCTAACATCTTCTGGAGGGCACCAACCCTGCCATCCCCCATGTTAATCCCATCGGTAATTTAAGACACTTTGATGGGCAGAGGAATAAGACTCTGATGCTTAAGTGCTAAGGAGTTTAGTGGAGGTACTGAGGATCTGTTTTAAAAAGCATGACTGGAGCTGCTAACCATAATACAAAGGACATGTCCATCTGGCTGGTTCTCTGATGAAAAATGTTGAACTAGAAGAGTTACCGTATTTTTTGCACCATAACACTCACTTTTTTCCTCCTAAAAAGTAAGGGGAAATGTCTGTGCGTGTTATGGAGGGAATGCCTATGGGTGGCATGCCTACGGATTTTCCTCCTCTAAAAACTACGTGCGTGTTATGGTCGGGTGCGTGTTATAGAGCGAAAAATACGGTAATTACCATTCTGCTCTTGGTGGCACATGATATAGGGGTGGCACTGCAATATAGGGGTGGGGAGGTGCTTAATCATTCCCAAGTTGTTTACCTTTAAAATAGTTCCCCTCCTCACCATGTTTCCTGGCTGTGTGTGCACACGCACACACCAAGGGATAACAGATAATAGTCTTCCTATATTTTTTCTCCACAGGGTGAAAAATAAGCTTGAAGGATGACACAGAAATATTGACCACGAAGAAAGGTTAAATACCCTCTTCTTCCTGTCCAGATTGCAAGCACCAGCAGCTGCTTTTCATTAAAAACTAACTCGGCTTGTCACTAGAGGCACAGCAATTTATAAAAGCCTTCTGGATTATTTTTTTTAAGGCACATTCTTTTCAAATGCAAGCCACCTTTGCAGCAGAAGCGAAACAGGGATTATTGCAACATGAAAGGGCCTTGACAATAGAGGAAGTGGGCAGTGATTGATCCCGTTTAGCAATGGCATTAGGAAGCTGGAATATTTACAAGTAGAGCAAGATGCGACATGAGAGTTGGCAGCAGTGTCAATGCCCTTTGTCAAAAATCATCCAGCATTTCATTTTTGCATCATACTATGTACTTTTTTTGCTGGTTTTCTGAACAGAACTTGCTTGAGCTAATGGCAAAGACTGTAACCTTAGCTCTATTTACCTGGAAGTAAGCACCTGTGAATTCTGAGTAGACGGTTAGAATTGCAGCCAAAGTTTCAACACGTGAATGCAGCAGTTGCTATGTTTGCTTTTCTATAGCACTCCCACAAAAAACCTCCGTTATTACTTCTTGGACTATTATATTACAGATCACAGAAAGAAATACACTTTTGCTCTGAGAGTTACACATCAAGGCACATTTCCCCAACCGTGGAATTAACATAGCATATTAAATTCCACATTATGGATTTCTACCTCCTTCCACAGTCTATGCTAAGATTCTGATGGCTTGAACAGCAGCCTTCCTTTCTCTCCCCCACCACACTTCATTTTTTAAAGCATCCAGCTTGGTAAAGAATTCAGAACACAAAAGCTTTGCACATTATTTTGTGACATTTTAGTTGGCCTAATCAAGGTGTTGCCCTAAAATGTATTTTGGAATTTGGATGGATCCTCTAATCCCTGAACTGCTGCATCTCTGTGACAAGGTCCTGGATCCCTGTTTTCTGGTTCTGCAACCCACCCCATGGTGACTGGACAAAGGCAGGAAAGGGCAGGTATCATCTTCAGCTGCTCCCTCAGCTAGTGCTATTCCCCTTCCTGACAAGTTACCTACAGGTTACCTACATAGTTACCTACAGGTTAGACTACTGCTGTGTGCTCTCTATGGAGGCTTACAGCCCTTGAAAAGCATCTGAACAATTCAAATTGTTATGTATTGAAGTTCTCACCCTGGCCACCAGGGGGGAATTGTTTATATAGTTTTCACTCAGGTCCAGTAAGTTACCGTATTTTTTGCTCTATAAGACGCACCAGACCACAAGACGCACCTAGTTTTTGGAGGAGGAAAACAAGAAAAAAAATATTCTGAATCTCAGAAGCCAGAACAGCAAGAGGGATCGCTGCGCACTGAAAGCAGCAATCCCTCTTGCTGTTCTGGCTTCTGGGATAGCTGCGCAGCCTGCATTCGCTCCATAAGACGCACACACATTTTCCCTTACTTTTCAGGAGGAAAAAAGTGAGTCTTATAGAGTAAAAAATACGGTAATTTAGGCAGGAAACCCTGGGCTGTTGTTGTTACAGTGTTGACAGCCGGCTGCCTATAAAGCAGGCCAGCTGAGCTGTTTGCTATTCAGTTCAGTTCCAGCTTACTTATAAAGAACTACAGTGGTACCTCGGGTTACATACGCTTCAGGTTACAGACGCTTCAGATTACAGACTCTGCTAACCCAGAAATATTACCTTGGGTTAAGAACTTTGCTTCAGGATGAGAACAGAAATCGTGTTCTGGCAGCGCAGCAGCAGCCGGGAGGCCCCATTAGCTAAAGTGGTGCTTCAGGTTAAGAACAGTTTCAGGTTAAGAATGGACCTCCGGAACGAATTAAGTACGTAATCAGAGGTACCACTGTACTTGGAGAAATCTCTGTGTTGTCTGCTATGTCCACCCACTACTTAATACAAATGGTGCAAAGATGCTGCCGCCAAATTGCTGGCTGAGGTCAGTTGTTTAGGACATAATACATCCAACTTGCACTGGTTACCTGTTAGTTTCTAGGCTCAAGATAAGGCACTAATTCAAACCTTTAAGGGGGTAAACAGTG